GACGACCACTGATTGATTCGAACTTAGAAGTTGCGATTGATTGGTTCTTCAAATGAACGAATTCGATGAACATGCAGTGTGAAATGTGAGGCAATTCGAGAGGCAATTGGTTCACATTCATTGAAGCAGGCACACACACACACTCACGAGCACACACACGAGCACACACATATACACGCACACGAGCACACACAACATGCGCACACTCACATTAATACAACATTGATATCGCTCATGCTGTGCTGTATGCGATACTGGCAGAGGAGCGTCAAGGCGTGGACGTTGGTGAGTTGATAGTTCCACAGGCGACGCTGACGCTCCTAACAGACAGCAGAGGAGAGAGGTAACAAGCAATCAGTACAAATTGTAACATTACACAGTGATACCTGTCTAAGACGACCGCTGAAGGGACTTCCAAAACCTGGTCCCTGTTACCAAGTGGTCTCCTTATCCAGGGTCATTCGGGGTTATGTACTCTTGCCGATGTTTACAGAAGCTCAGCAAGAAGGCATTTTGAGATGCAGCGGAGAAGACAAGCACTGGTATGGGCGCACAAGAAAGACACGTGTTCTTACCGCTATTGAGTGGTGCTCAGCGAGGATGCATTGCTTCATCAGGTAGAAGTAGACAATGTACGGATGCCAGCCGGGGTTCAGCGGCACCACGGTCTGAACAGACAACATGCACACAGTTTGTTTTATTCGTTGCCATTTTCAATAACAGTTTTTCAATAACCCTTCACATTTCAAAAAAATAGGTACAATCACTCATGAGGTCTTACCTCATCCACCACCTTCAACACCCTCAAAAATCATCTTTACCATCAAAACCGGGTGACCGGATAATTTTACCCCAAAAATAGGGTACAGTCAGACCTCGCTTATCCGGTCCTGTTTTATCCGGATCCCTTGCCATCCGGAAGAAAATCGTTGGTTACCGATTTACAGCATATGCCATGCATACATACAGTATGCGTGCTCGATTATCCGGTTCCCTCGCCTATCCGGAAATTTTTGTGGAAAACGGATGTGTAGCGGTAGCTACTTAGAGTAGTTTCACCTGACTGTTTATTGCAAAAGGGGGAACATTATCGGACACGGAAAAGCACAACTAACTGTGAGGAGAGCAGAAAACGAAGAGTACTCTACACAGGAATCACTGTGTAGAGAAGACAGAGAGCGGAATAGACTACGGCGCTGCGTGCACACAACAGCCACCGGAAGCAGCGTGCCCAGTACGGGATGCCATGTATAGATGGAGCCCGAGGGCAGTGCACTCAGACATGAATACGCACGCGCACCCGAGTACTGCATTCAGTGCATGCGGGGACTGTGCCATAGAAGGGGAAGGGTTAGTGATGCGCAGCCAGCAAGTACAGCGGTACATGGATGCATGAGTCTATGGTACAGCAGGCAGGGTGCGGTTCTTACACACGTACGCACGTTAGATCAATGCGAGTGAGTGTAGGGAGTAGGAAGGAGAAACCAGGAGACAGACAATGCTATGCCTAGGGATAGAGTTCGGTCATGATGCTACTCATTACACTACAGGATGTGTGCGGTTAAGTGAGGTCCGACTGTACTATCAATAATTCCCTCTTTAATCCAGCACTTTATAAACCAGCACCCTCTATAAAGTGGCATTCGCCCCGTGCTTCACACAGCCGAACATGTACATGCGCACACATGCAAACCCACACGCATGAACAGACACATGATCACTATAAACCAGAAACAAAGTGCCTCTTCCCAAGGCCAATTCAACGCAATTCACAAGATCGCCATTCTTCCAGGGCTACTGTGCGTGGCTACAACTTCCCGACTCAGTGAAGACTTCTGCATCGTTGAAAGAATTTAAAATGAATCTGAGGGCCTGCTGATGACTGAGTGCACCATTATAATTAAAAAAAACTAATCAATATAGCTTTTCGGCTGTTTCCTTTTCATGTATATAATCTTCTCCTTCTTTTACCATGGTTGGCTATCACCCACATCTTCCCGTTTTGGCTGCCATCGGAAGCCATAAGATGTTGATAAAATAAATAACCTCAAACTAGTGAAGAAAATAAATAAATCTAGTCACATGACAAAGATGTGACATAATCGGTTGTGGCGACAAACGCGATTAGGCCGGCTGCAGGGACGCCGTAATGTCGCACTCGCCCCAGCACCATTCAAACAGTTCCCTTTGGCAGTTCACGGCACGAACTTCAACAAAGCCCCGTGAATGCGTACTAGGGGAAGGCTAGACAGCATGTCTCTAGACATCAATAGGCATCGTATGAAAAGCCAGTCAATAGCACTAAAGAGCGAAAGCCTTTGTCACGGTTCGGTTTCACTCGCGCACCGGGCCCGAGCTGCCAGCGCAAACAAATGCCGGGCGCGAGCTGGCAGCACGAACAAACACCGTACTCACACGAGACCGCTGGGCCAACGGATGGCCACAGCCATCAAAAACAGGAACAAACCCATCCACGGCTCTTTCTCTTGCTAGCTGTGCTGCTGCGTGCATCCAACTGTTTTGCAATTTCTCCCTCCCACCCACGCCTCTTGATCTGTCCTAGCTCACTATTCTGGACAAATATTAATTCAATTGCAATGAAGCGCCGGGGGCCGGCGGGGGCATTCGGCGGCTTGGTCTGATTCCTAGCTTGTTGGTAACCGGCTTGAGGTTTCCAAGGTTGCTATGACAACGTGCAGTCATGCGCAGGGCCACCCAACATGCGTTGGGGGCCCAGGAAAGACAGAAACGCGTTGCTAGGCAACAGCAAAAGCGCTCAGCGAGTATCACGCTACTCATGCAGCACGCACGCTGGCTTAGGGTATCACGCTACCCTTGCGCTGCGGGGTACCACATTGCCCCTCGCTGGAATCAGACCCGCGCCCCGGATACCTTGCGCTGGCCTCCTGACGGCCAAACTCAACCAACTTGCGCGCTGTGACTGGGGTTGTGCATGCCTTAGCAACATAATGTGGCCCAGGTCGGCAGACTTTCAATTAGCCAAGCGAGCTACTCAGGCCAGGGCGCATGATCACTATTCGCAGCACTTATCGTCCATGCAGCAGTCGGGTTAACACTCCATAATTATACGGGCACTCACCTGCTTGGCGCAGAACTCCAGTCTCAGATTCATCTGGCCAGCTTTCAGCTCACCGTGTCGGTCCTCCAGATCGTACCAGCTCTCGATGCCTTCTTGCGGGATTTCCTGGGTCGAGCAAGCACACGCCGTGCACACACACACATACACACACACACACATGTACACACACGTACGCACAAGAGAAAAGGGTTAACCCGGCTCAGGAACGAACACACGTTCCCCTGCAATACATGTACAACGCAGCAGTTCATCGCGCAATAGAATTCAACACATCATAAGGGGCTATCAGGCATTATCGATAACTTTCACGAAACGAAAAAGTTTATTTAGGACCCTCCCCCACCCACCCACCCACCCCCCCTAAACGAAAAATAGATTGACTTGGACAGCAAGAATGCCTTGATGTCTCACATATCAATATTTTTCAAAACGAAACTCCCCTTGACCCACCCACCCATATATGAAACTTTTTCTCCTCGTGTAAAACATCAATAATTATGGACGGCCCCTAAGGTACCACCATGCCTCATACAACAGCAGATGCTGAGCAGTCCAAAGGAATACGCCTTCAATGAAGCCACTGTCCTCCTTGCCCCCCCCCCCTCGAATACTTGAGAGGATAAAGAGTTCCGACGTTCACCTTGAAACCGATAGGAATTTATAGAGCCGGTATTTGGGGATGAAAATAGTTACTAGCACTTACTTCAAGCGGAAATAGGAACCGGCCCATAAAGTCGTCGCTGGATTTCGAACGTGCAATGTCTGCCAGGTCCTTCACCCACCTGAGGACAAGACCAAACAGAAGATACACGGCAGGACACTAAACCCATTGTTCAAAACAAGACACCGGTTCAGTACCCTGATCAGAGAACAAGAGAGAAGAGAGAGAGAGAGAGAGAGAGAGAGAGAGAGAGAGAGAGAGAGAGAGAGAGAGAGGAGAGAGAGTGTGTGTGTGTGTGTGTGTGTGTGTGTGGCGCGAGCGCGCGCGCGTGTGCGTGCAAGAATTGTATTCAGGAAGAGGAACTAACAGTACTCAACAAACACGGCTCGAAGCAAAGGAATTTGTGCAACATCAACAGAAACAGCACACACTGTGAATTTCTGGGACAGACAGTCACTTGCAGACAAAACAAACTACAACAAGCTAAATAATTCCAGCAGAGGCACAGACAGACAGACAGACACACACACACACACCATGAGAGGTTCTTACCGCTTGGCGCCCCGTACTCCACTGATCTTCGCTACACTCTTCACCGTATCCCCCAGTGTATTCTCGTCATCATAATCCCTGCGCACGACGAGCAGCACATGTACCAACATACACTCACGGGTCACGACCAAACCTAGCCGAGTACAGTACTGTCGGTCGTCGAGGAACTGGGGGGTCAGCCTCCTAGCCTAGACCGTTCTTATTTTCATGTGCTACAGTCTATTGTTGTATGCACAGTTGAGTCTCCGTGTATACATTGGTATGCTGTGCTTGGTGAAATTCTAGCCTGGCCGTTCTTTCAGGGCCCGACAGTACTGCACGGCAATACTTTGGCATACCGTGCAGTGGACGTAGCATACAGTGAATCCGGTCGAAGGCAACCGTTCAAGGGACCTAACGCTTTCTTCTATCATACGCATGGCAGTAACGCCTACTAGTACTGAGAGTCTCACTGTGCAACAGAACTGCCCCAGGCAATCCCCCAGTCCCTACGTTGAAGCAGCTCTGAAGGACCTCTAACCCAGGGTGCTCTAAGACTGCTCGGCCAGTTCATTTGACCGTGTAGATAATAATGGCTGACAGACTTCAAGTGACTTGTGGCTTGCTGGACCTGACCTCATGGAACGTATACCGTTACTAAACCTGTACATGTAGCGTAGTGCTTGTCGCAGCATTGTCTCTCTCCGCACTGTCTCTCTCCGCACTGTCTCTCTCTCATCTGAAAGAGTGCAGAAATCAAGTTAGACTGCACTAACGTGATGCTTCAAGCCTAACAAGGCCGCTGGCGGTACGGACAGTCTCCTAACATGAATGCCCGCACTGAAGCTGAACGCGAGTGGACTTTCCAGCACAGCAGCAGAGCAAGACGTTATTTGTTTCGTCATTGCTCCATGCCTCACCATAAATCTAGCTGGAGATAACGATTCCTGACCGATGTGAGAGTCCTACAGAAGCAAGCATAAGCATACGCACACACATGAGTGCACGCGAGCAAGCAAGCAAGCGCGCAAGCGCGCACACACACACACACACACACACACACAGTAAAGCCGGTCATTTGAACGCCTTGCTCAAATTGTCATGCTTCTGTTCAAATTGTGCGGGTCAGAACAACTTCAAGGCACACAAAACTGAATTGCACTCTTCCATGCGAACAGCACAATCCAACCTCAACGTATACCACATTTTACCGGTTACAAGTCAACCTTACAGTTCATTGCCTGCTTTGGGTTCTCCTGGTATTTAATGTGGAATAACAAACAGGCAGTGTTGCCTTACTACATTTACGTTCTACAGTTACCTACAGTGACCGAGCTCGGGCTACGCACGCGGGCACGCAATCAGCCATCATGCACAGCGCACCGCGTGCGTATTATAGTCCATACACGTCGCCACGTGCCTAGTTTGCTTCACACAGCCACTTACGCAACAACTGCGCAAGGCCACAGGTTGCCCGTATGTTGCATGCAAAATGTACTCTGAATGCAGGCTTCAGAAAAAAAGTCGTCTAGGTTTTATATGATTTTGTACTGGATGTTGTTCTATGTACGTAGTCTGCAGAGCCCTAAAGAAGGAAAGGAGATGCAAGTACTGTACAACATGTAATTTTAGGTGTACATGTATTAACATGTCGGTGTCAGTCACCTGCCAAGTTTCAGGTGTAATGTAGAATTAGGCGATCAGCATTCCCATTTAACATACCGTGTACACTGTACAGTCAACTTCGCTAATAACGACTGCGGATATAACGACAATTCGCGAATAACGACAGAATTTCCATGCCCAGAGCAAAGTCCCATCCAACTGGAATACATACAATGAGACTTCGGGTATAACGACACTTCGCGAATAAGGACACTTTTCTGATTCCCCGCCGAGTGTCGTTATAAGCAAAGTTGACTGTATACTCTAGCAAAGCACCTTACAGTTCATATTCTTCGTCCCAGACGGGATTCAGCGTGGCGTTTTGTACCGACGTCTCGACGAGCTGAGCGGCCAGCCGATCAACTTTCTTCATTTTGCCTTTCCGCCGCGCATCCTCCAAGTCAGTCGGCGTCAGGTGAACGATACCCATGATTGCAAACGGGTCGCTGAAGCCTGGAGCATGATGTAGTACAGTCCGCAGTGCAAAGTAAACGGAAATGAGTGCACTTAAAACACACCACAATAACCCACTAGACCTCCAAAAACACACACACGTGAAAGTACATAGCAGCGGCGTCGTACACGCTACGGTCACTGCGGTTAAGAGCCGGACTTCCGTTCAACTTATAACGGTGTCACTATTATTTTGCCTCGGGTGCCCCCGCGAATCAGTAAAAATGCACTGATTCGGGGTGTAAACTTCGGAAACTCTCAGCGGGGGCCACCCCGACCCCACAAGCCAACTGTCTTCACATGGCTGACTATACTATCCTAAGACAAACCTGCGGATATTACAAATTCTTCACCGCAATAGCATTTACACACAGCACTCTATTGCCAGACCAAGCAGCAGCGGATAAGTGACATCTGCCGTCAGCGACGGCTGCTTCGGTTCGGACACGTTATCCGAGAGGGACCGGAGGCATCGTCATACCAAGCCATGGGCATGGCCTTCGACATTGAAGATATTAAAAAAGCCACGCGGACATCCACCAACCAGACGGACCGACATTATAAAGCGAGACCTGAAGAAGCCAACATCACTGTCCCCGAAGCCTTTGTCTTAGCCGAAAACAGACACGAATGCAATCGTTCCACTCACAGATGCGTAGAGCTCAGTTCTGAGTAGTATGCGAGCTGCTCTAATTATTAATTTTATTATTATTATTACAGCATTCGAAGCATTCACATCACGCACAAAGCACAACGATCTGAGACGGTTGCATTGTACACAACAAAGCTCACCATTCTCGTCCTTCGCCTTCAGGTCGCGACCCCGGTGCACTGTCGAACGCAAAGCAACACAAGACGAGACGAAGCAGAATTATACGAGTGATCGTTAACCACCACACGTGCAGAGATGGAAGTGTGCATAAGCTCGATGCATAAGGTCAAGAACAGTAGAGAAAAATAGTTTGGTCACTCAGAAAAAATCGACTTTGGGGATTTGTCAATCTGGCGGATTCTGGTGTTAGTTTCCATGGTAGCAGTGGACGGTTGGTACCAAGAGTACTGTAAACCGACCAATATTCGTATCACTAAATTTTTGCGATTTCTCAGAACCAGAGAGTTTACGATGGCAATTTTTGCGGAACACTGCGGCCACACACATACGTCCACTGTTGAAATTTGATTTCACGGTATGCTCTTCTCGCGAATTAGCAAACATTAATACGTTGCAAAACAGTAGGCAGTTTACATACAGTTCATGAATCCAAGACTTAGTGAGGTGCCCTTGACTAATAATACTTCAAGGTCCAGATAAGAGAGTAGAGGTGCGAGTATGATATCATTGCCTCGTCGCTTACCCGTCACCTTCAGAATTTTCCTGGGTCCCTAAGGGCACAGAAATCGATGATAAACATAATGACTGTGTCATGTGACGAAACACAGCCTGCAGTGTACTATGGCTGACACGGCCTGTACAGTTGCAGTACGGTGGGGTGGGGGACTGCCGTCTGCCACCTCGGCACACTGTAATAGGCATGTGCCAAGTTACTGAACACACATACACTATCAGTTTTACCATGCACTAATGCGCACATGCGCAAGCACACACACACACACACACACACACACATACACACACACGCGCACACACACACACACACACACGTGTGCGCACCCATGCAAGCACACGCTCGCTCGCACGCGCACACACACACACACACACCATGTACCATGTATCATGTATACGCCCGCCGCAAGAGAAACACGCACATCTGCAAATGTACTGGATGTGCACCCATAATAATAATAACAATTTCACGGTTCGCGTGAGACTCGGCGAGGAAGCCGATTTTTCCGCATCCGCCGTGGGAACGCCACCACCCTCTAGGATCAAGGCGCAGATGCAGTGCCTAAACGGTGGGAGGTGAGTAGATCAGACCCACCACCAAGTGGTCAAACACCAAAATTCCATTAGCTGCATCCATGTGCACCCATAGATTTTCTCTTTTTAGCAACGATAGCGGATCTGATTCTGATCGAAACAGATCAAGACAAGCGCTAGATAATCCACACAACTGGCGAAGCCATGTGAATCGACCCCCAATGCACACCTGGTCTACACCACACGGAGTACATCGGAATAGGACGGCCAAGACAGTTACCTATGCACACCCTACACTTGCTGGGATAACCAGTATAGACAGCACGCTGCTTTGATAAAAGTAGACACTAGATGCACTGGTACCTTGAAGTGAAATTGGAGTTAGTTACCAACCTGCCTCGGCAACTGGGTACTGGGAACCCAGGGCCAATAGACGTACCAACAACACACACACACACGCGCGCGCGCACACACACACTGAACACAGGCCCGGACACTACATGACTGATCATGTTGTTCACGTCGACTATCACAGCTCATTCGGCTCACCTCTTCGTTCTTCTCCATGCGCATGAAGTCTGCATGCCGCTCGGGACCAACGCTGAATGCAGACTGCGCAAACTCCAGCAAGTCTGTGCGCTCCACCTTCAGTTCGCCACTGACAAAGCCCATGCGATGCAAGACGACTTTGAGCGTGTCCCGATAGACCATGGCGAGCTGCAAACAGACCGGCAAAGCAGTTCAAAACAGGCCAAAATAGTGGAAATACTTCGAAGTTGAAGTACATGCACGATACAGGCCAAAGAATCCCAACCTCATAAATATAATAGCACGGACCACTATGCAGCCCTAGTGCACTACACATACTGTTCTGTGCACTCGAACGCGGCACTACGATATTACAGAGGTTTAGCATCGCGAATTTCGCGTTCGCGAACATTTTCGGTTCGCGAACTGGATTGCGAACTTTCGCATTTTTCGTTCGAAAAAGTAGTCAAAACACGAATCGCGGATTCATGTCAGGAGAGTCGTAAATTTACTACGCTGTACTGTCTGTATACGTACGCAATCAAGATTCCTGCATATGTACGACGTGTCAACGCCATGCATGTGTGAATTCTGTTTGGTAATCCTTCTCATAACGCGAACTCGTCACAAGGTTCGACTTCCCTTGGAGTGCGAACACGAACGCGAATTTCGTCACTGAGTTCGACTTTCCTTGCAGTGCGAACACGAACACGAATTTCGTCTTGCTAAACCTCCATATTCCTGAGGTTGGATTTCTCTGGCTAGAACTGTAGGTCAACAGCAAAAGGACATACACGTCTACACTAAATTAGGCATGGTGGATATGACAAGGAGAGCACACAACCCGGTCTCGCTGTAATGTAGCACTTCCAAGAACCATGCTGTTCTCGGAAAGAAAGAAAACTAGTGATGACTTCTTCAGTCTCTTAGACCTCAACGAATAATCGATCGGATAAAATCTAGGTTGACGGTTTGAAAATTCGAATATTCGACTTGAATGCATAAATTGAACGTTGCACTGTTGCAGACAACGTCAAAACTCTGCACGGTAGGCCGTGGAAGACTCTACTCTGACTCGAGTCTGAGCGTTTGTGACGTTGTGTGTTTGCTACATCAGGGGTGTAGCACCCGCTACAACTGGGACGGCCATGGCCGCACCACTTTTCGAAAAGTGTAGTCCGTCTGGAACGGGCAACACCGTAATAAAAAAATCGGGACCCATCAGACGCGACTCGGTATAAAAGATCTGGTTACGTTAGTGGACAGTTACAGTCCATTTCAAAACTATAGACGCGTACCTAGGCAAAAACCGTTATGCCAGCATCTATACCACATAAAATCTGTGATCACTTTGTGCATAAATTTTTCCAAATTGGGCGTCTGTTATCCAATCGTTTAGAAACTATTATGAGAGTAATTGTGTAGCGATCCTGAGCAATATTCCGAAAACTATTCTCAAAAAGTTCCAGCCAAATTTGAAATATTTCAAAAACCCTACGCGTCTATAGTTTTGAAATGGACTGTAGTCATAACTCGTAACATTTTGTCCTTCTCCTTTTTCACCCAGACCTTTGACTTTTGTTTGAGTTCGACTAAAAATTAGTAAAAAATGTTCCAATAGTACCCAGAACACAGGATTTTGTGTCTTTTTAAGTTTTTTTTACAAAATTTTCCCAGCAGGACCCCTGACCCCCCCCCCCCCCGCCCCGCCCCGTCCTTTCACTTCACAAGCCCCTCCTACGCTCCTCCCTGTACATGTACACTTCGTATTCGTTTCTTCTTTACTCTTGTATGTACTGGGATCAGTTTGTACCTTGCAGTAGTAGTTACTTGTACCGTAAAAGCAGAAATTTTCGGTGGTGTAATATTTTCGGTATTCTCCAAAATCGGCGGTTCGGTAGAGGGAAATTTTCGGTAAAACCCGTTTTCCAGGTAAGGCTGTGTTTACATGAGGCGGTTCAACCCGGGTTGAGTTCGACCCGGGTCAGATTTCAACCCGCCATGTGCACAAAATGAATGGCGCGTTTACATGACGCATTGCGCTTGACCCGGGTTGAAATTTCGCCCCGGGTTGATTTCAACCCTCCCCCCAAGGGGAGGGTTGAAATCAACCCGGGTCAAGAAAATCGTACAAACTTACTTTTGTGCGTATCTCGCGCCAGGTTTGAACAGCACTGCACATGCAAATTTCGCGCGAACGGATTCACGTGACCATACAGGACTCTAGAAGTGGACTTTTGGCGGCATATCAGTATTTGACCCGGGTCAACTGTCTTCATGTAAACGCTCACCTATTTTTTCTATCGTACAAACTTTCAACCCGGACTGAACTCGACCTGGGTTGAAATTTCTCATGTAAACACAGCCTAAGTGTACTAGTACTACATGTATACAGTATCGGTTGTACCGAAATTTTCGGTGCGTTTTATTTTCGGTAAAAATTGTCGGCACCGAATCGCGAAGTTACCGAAAATAAAACACCACCGAAAATTTCTGCTTTTACAGTAGTTTTTAGTTTATAGCTTGTAATTGTTGCGCTCTTGTATTCGTCACGTCGAGCTCCGTGTGGCAGAGTTTCGAGAAGGTAAATGGTGGCGAGCGAGTGAAATGTACCCTCTGCGATGCGTCGCTCAGATTCAATGGCTCGGCTACGAGTTCGATGCGTTCGCATCTTGAAAGGAAACATCCGACTACTTTGACAACCACGTCGAGCTCGAAGTAAGTGGAGATAACGAAGTCGGCTCAGTCAATGCAGCAGTTCCTGGGCAAGAAGACGATCTCCGTAGCTCGGACTTAGCACTAACCTGATTTTGGAGTGGCTGACTGGCTCGCTCCGACCCATGTCGATTGTTGCCGATAAGGAACTTGTTGAGTTGTTGATGTATATTGAACAACGTTCCGACACCGTATTCGTTAGTAACGTCAAGTCTTGCCTTTGAACGAAGGTATCGTCGCTGTTCGGAATCAGCACCATCCAGCCAGCCTGCTGTGAGAATCTGGCATCGGCGCTTGATCCTCACTTCAAGGACCTTGTGTTATTGGGCGAGGATGACCGTGAGGAGGCTCGCGATGAACTGAGGCGTAGAATGTCATGCGCTGACTCTGCCAGCAAGGAATCAGAGGAAGATGAAGAACCGCCAGCAAAGCGCCGATGCGCATCGGAGCCCAACCAGTCCATTCCGCCAGTGAGAAAGGAGCAGTCATTGCTAAGCTGCCTTGCTGGAAAGCACAAGTCCTACCATCCTGTATCTTCTAGCAACCCCAAGCAGCTCAGTGTACAGGAGCAGATTCAGCTGTACCTCGACCCGCCAGGTTGCGACATTGACTCAAGTCCACGGGATTGGTGGCGACCGAATGCTGCTTCGTTCCCAGCAGTTGCCAAACTGGCCAAGCGGATCATTTGTATGCCAGCGTCTTCGACGGAGTCCGAGCGCAACTTCTCCACCACTGGGATATTGACGGAACGGAGGAGGGCACGGCTCAGCAGCGATCATATCAACACACGATTCTCTTTCTCAACTAGAATCGCTCCCTCCTCCGTGAGTCTCAGTCTGAGCCCGGCACCACAGTCCCGAGCCTTCCAGACGTCTTCAGTATGCCAGACCTGGAAGATGTCACCCTGAGCAGCGATGAGGAGTGAGTGAGTGAGTGAGTGACGAGGAGTGAGACCAGATTCATTTTGCTTTCCTCTTTTGTTTCATTCTTCTTGTTCTTGTTTCTTCAAGTTACTGAAAGAGTTCTTGATAATTGTGAATAATGAATTTTCTTGTGGAATAGTAAAATAATCGTTCGTTCGCTTGAGTGGTGCTAGATTAATGTAAAACCGGAAGTCGAACGAGTCACAAAGTCGAACGTTTTAACGTCCAATTTTTTCCTTATTTGAAGAAACGTTATCGTGAACCCAGTTTGAAATGTCTGTGTAAAGATGCACATACATCGATGCATGTTCTTTCCGTTGTACAAACATTGTTAAACTCTCTGCACGTTATCATGCCAAAATTACAAAAAAGTTAAACTTTTTGGTCGTTAAACTTTCCGGTTTTACAGTATGTGTTGGTAAAATTCATGGTTCGTTACATCACTAAAGAAAATACGAGCGCACTGGACAGGTTTCAAACACGAGTGCAGAAGCCGGCCATCCACTGCGTGCAACTCAAACTTACCACCGAGTCGTCGAGATCGCACGGCACCTGAGGGATTGCCTTCCTGCTGGCCACTGGTGATGTGATGGCGGAGGTATTTCGCGATCCGCTCGGGTTCCTGCTCTTCACCGCATCATTACGCTGCACAGTACAAACGGGATACACACACACACACACACATACGTGTACACGCACACATGAACATGTACAATTAATTATACACACATACGGACTAGCCCCTGGTTCGAATCCTGGTGGTGACAGTCATTTGTCAGAGAGTGATAGAGGGTGAAAGAGGGAGAGAGAGTGTGTGTGCCTGTGCAATTGTTTCCCTGCTGCGATCAATTCGTCTCCATGGAAACAATTTGATACAAGGAGCAACAATATGGTAATTACAATACCTTCATTCATCGACCCTTTCCATGCTGGCCCCTCTTTCTTTCAATCAATGCACGGGAAACAGAAATTCTGCAAAAGGGTATGGATCGCGTACCAGCAATGAGCGTCCGACACGGCTGCTTTCGCTCTTTTCGATCTGCTCCCATTCTGTGAAGAGCGTGTTCTCCGTGCATGAGCTACCTTGACTGCAGGGCACACAACACATACATACATAGTACAATAAATATGAGTTTTTGCGAGCGCGCAAAAATAAGTTAACACAGAAGGCGCATGCGCCGCACCGGACACTTCACAGTTTGCTTCCTGCTCAGATTTGCATGGCTGACTGGTGACTCTCTTCAAAGTGTCCTAATGTGATGGCGCTTCTCCGACAAATGTTCTTCATCTGTGCGAAGGGCAACTTCATGATCACTGCACGCCACATTCCTGGCGTCACCAACGTGCGTGCTGATGCCTTATCCAGCCAGGAGCTCCTCCGGTTCCGCCACCTCCACCCGACAGCCAACCGGAACCCATCTGACCCAAGACGCCTTCCATCCCTTCCTGGGGAGACAACGTCAGCACCCTGTACCTCCTCGTGATGGAAGCCGGCCCATCTCTCAGCCGGTAAGCTGTAATACCCGAACTGAGATCTCTGAACACATTGACAGCTCTGCTGTCATTTTCTGTCCCGGCGCTCTGCTGTGCCCCAGCTTTCTTTCTTGCCCATTGCCTTATCACACTAGGCAACTATTGCGCAATCTCTGGTGTCGTAGTGGGAAAAGGATGCTTTATCAATTTGGGGAGTCAATCTCGCTCACCAGGCTCATCCTGCCAGTGCGGCTCACACAGCCCACCCGGCTCTCAAAAGATGCGACAGGGTCACTCACCTTGCCGCCAACATAAAGATGCGGCCAGGGTCACTCACCCTGCTGCCACTAAAAATAATACTCACTGCGAGCCTGGCAAACAGCGATTGACAAACCACTCCTATCCCCACAACATAATGCTCTCAATGCTGTGTAGTGTGCATGCAGGTGGGTGTGTTAAATGAATTTTTGCGAGCGCGCAAAAATAAGTTAACACAGAAGGTGCATGCGCCGCACCGGACACTTCACAGTTTGCTTCCTGCTCAGATTTGCATGGCTGACTGGTGACTCTCTTCAAAGCCCACCCTCCCATGCCCTCTGCTTCTTTTCTGCTGTGCTGCACCATGCTGAGGCACATCTTCACTTTCCTCTTGGTATCACAATAACCAACATTCAATATCACATCTCTTCAGTTTAATAACCGAATAAAGAGGGGAGTCAATCTCGCTCACCAGGCTCATCCTGCCAGTGCGGCTCACACAGCCCACCCGGCTCTCAAAAGATGCGACAGGGTCACTCACCTTGCCGCCAACATACAGATGCGGTCAGGGTCACTCACCCTGCTGCCACTAAAAATAATACTCACTGCGAGCCTGGCAAACAGCGATTGACAAACCACTCCTATCCCCACAACTCAATGCTCTCAATGCTGTGTAGTGTGCATGCAGATGGGTGTGTTAAACGTTGATCCCCGAGCTGTAGAGAGTGCTCGATGTCAAACACAGGGCTTAGAACATAGCAGACTCAGCGGAGGACGTTCAGGTTGGTTGTGACTCTGAGTTCATGCCGCTTGGCAATCATCAGACAAGTGAATGCCGAGACAAGTGAATGCTGAGTCTGCTATGTACCCAGTACAACACATGATTCAACTCCAACAGCGTGTCATGGCGTTATCATTTATCACGCCAGTGTAAACAAACCGCAAGCACGTAAAGTGGACATTTCCAGAAAAAGAACACACCACGTGAGAAGCCACTGAGAACCACATGCACTCCCGGCCTCGTAAATGGTCCTTTACAAAACCGGAAAAAGGTGGACTTTCAGGTGTTAAAGACAAGCCACACGTGCTCACGGTTACCAATGGCAACTGAACGGGGACGTAGCTGAGCTGGTCCCCCGTTTAGGGGGCGCACGGCCGCATATGTGTATGTGTAGGATGGCTGGTGTATGTCATTCATGGTCATTATGTGCATGCTGAACCTAGGTCGACATTTGGGAGCCCCCCCCCCAGTGGGCAACGCGCCTGCAAGCTCTGCACAGTGCTATACCTGGCTTCTGCAGCATGCTTGGTAGATGGAGCTCGGCGCCTGAGCATGTCACACAAACAACACAATGTAAACAAAAGCAACAGCAACAACAACAACGAACTGTCAGTGGACACACGTACATACAAGCAAGAGCATATCAGCGGCCAGAGTGTGCAACGCTATGCCCACAGCACATCAAAACTAGATCATTGCTTTCTGGTCAGTAAGGTACTCGTACGGTAAAGCACCGTTGACCCCCCCCCCCCCCCCCACGTCGTGTCCATTCCCAGCTGGTTTTTCGGCAGGGGGCGGGAAATAGATCAAGTCGTTCAAGTGCAGTACGATGTACAACACAGCAGAAGAGCAGACCTGGAATGCTGGATTGTGCACATGTTCATCCTGCACTGGCACGTATTGCGTACAGCAGCACCTACGTCGGTTCAAAATCGTATTTCGTTGTGTACGCCGACGTCACTTTACAGGCAGAAATTCAACAGGTGGCGGGAATTAGAGCGGGGGCGGGTCAACGGTACTTTACGGTGTTCGTACATACACCGTGAACACAGGCAGTACAGGAGTACGTTTCTCAACTGGTATAAGGACTTTTCGTGGACCAGACCAGGCTCAGATTCTAGTAGGCCACAACCGGAAGATGAAGATAAGGAAAGCTGATTACCGTAAAAGTCCGTAAATATGTAAGTACTTGCTTTCGAATTTAGTTGTCCCACCCGCACCAACTTTCGAGCGGGTACTAACTTTCGGGCAGGAACTAACTTTCGGACCAGACTTGTGTGTAGTGGAGAAGTCATTTTCCATGTAGATGTACGTGCTACATGCTGTGCGTGCGAACCGTACCGGTACGTATTTCGGGCAGTACTTCGAAGTATTTTTATCGGGCTGAACATGACTTCAACAGACAGAATCAAAAAGATGAAGGGGGGTATTTATTTCGGGCAGGCACTTATTTTACTCACTTTTACGGTAGCTTTTCGCACACGCATGCTCTTAAAGTGAAGTACCGTTGATCTGCCCCCGGGGCCCCCCTCCCCAGTCGAATTTCTACCTGTGAAGCGACTTCAGTGTACATGTACCGTAAAGTCGCGGATAAAAGCCGGGTTTGCATACAAGCACATCGCGGATAGAAGCCTGAAAATCAAACGGCTCAAATGCATTATAAGCCTGTCGCTCGTAGAAGCCTGGCTTCTATGCAAGCGCGGATCGGGTAGGTCAAGAGTGCATGCGCTATGTATGGTGCATAGTAAAACTGCCGCCATACCGGTAGTCAGTGGTAGATCTACGCGTGTCGCGCGTAGAAGCCTGGCTTCTATGTGTATACAAGCCTGGCAAAAATATCAGTGGTGCGTATAAGCATGGTTTGCATCAAAGCCTGATGCAGAAAGCGGCTTATGTGCTTATAAGCCCGGCTTTTATCCGCGATTTTACGGTATACGTCAAAATACGGCGCTGAACCGACGCATGCACAGCTGTACACAATACGTATATCAGTGTAGGGATGTCTGTGAATGAAAACGTGCACAATCCAGCACGGCGAGTCTAATCCGTCATGTCGCTGCACTTAGTACTGCATGCACTTGAAACACTTGATCTAATAAGCCCATTGCGCATTGCCAAATATGGAAGGTATGAGTAATGCATGTGAGTACGCTGGGATCAGCAATGCAGTGTTCAGCACCCCGCACGACCATGCCCAGGTGGCTGTGTGCACGTATGTGTGGGGTGTTTATGGTACAAATTACGTCATTGCGCAATGCCAATGGGCTTATTTCCGCCCCCTGGTGAAAAACCCAGGGGCGTAGCTCGTACATCTGTGGTGTGGTGACCACTGTAATACATGTAATTTTAGGTGCATTAAAATTTCGGTGCCAGGGACCTGCCAGGATTCAGGTGTAATCTAGAATTAGGCGACCAGCGTTTCCTTCACATACAGTGCATACTCTAGTGCCTTTTAGGTGTAATTTAAATTTAGGTGCCTGGTTTCTCTACCGAAATCACCAAAATTAAAAGTTACACCGGAATTTGCATGCTTTACAGTATGTGCCAGAGCACATCTGCGGTGTACCATGTGGTGACCATGTACCATCGGCAACTTCATAGGCGCCATTTTGTCTATTTTGACTATGTAGTAGCAAGAGTACATAACCCCCCCAGAGTGTGCAACACCGATCCAGCTCTGCATAGGGTCTTGGTCGAGCGGAATCGGATCTTCTGATGGCATGCGTACACTCCAAACCAGCACAAGGCCGGTCTCGAGGCAGGGCATCGTTGTTTTTGATCCGAGAGTACCCGCGACTCCCCGGGTTCCCGTCAGATGTGTACGGTATTATGACGCAAAGATCCGATTACGCTCGACCAAGACCCTATGCAGAGCTGGATCAGGCGTCGCACACTCTGGGAGGTTATGTACTCTTGATAGTACTGCATGCACTTGAAACACTTGATCTAATAAGCCCATTGCGCATTGCCAAATATGGAAGGTATGAGTAATGCATGTGAGTACGCTGGGATCAGCAATGCACTGTTCAACAGTCAACACCCCAGACGACCATGACCAGGTACTAGGTGGCTGTGTGCACGTGTGGGGTGTTTATGGTACAAATAATTATGTCATTGCGCAATTGGCTTATTTCCGCCCCCTGGTGAAAAACCCAGGGGCGTAGCTCGCACATCTGTCGTGTGGTAACTATGTGCCAGAGCACATCTGCGGTGCGATGACCATGTACCGTCGGCAACCTCATCGGCACCATTTTGTCTATTTGACTATGTACTAGTAGTGTGCATGACGGCCACTTGCTGGTGTGGTGACCGGATTGCGCTGACTACACGCGAGCTACGAGCCGGAAACCAGCCGGGAAGCACCGCAGCCTGCAGGACGGATCAACGGTACTTTACGGTACTGAGAATGTGTGAGTCCAGAGAGATGGATTTCGAAATATTTGGGGGTCCTAAACTTCATGATTCCCCAGATCAGGAAATCCCTTTTAGAAAATCATTCACTGGTTTGAGAAAATCCTTCAAATTTTGTATTATAATTATGATGCCAGGCTCAAATGGTTACTATTACTCAAACTGATGAATAAGTAATTCAAAAGTCAAACGCAAACACATTTTTCAAATAATTAATTGATAAAATTCCACTTTACCGGAGTGTTGGGCCACCACGGAACGGTCGCGACTTCGTACTTGGTTCTGCAAGCATCTCTACCAGCTAGTTATGCTCCTTCCTCGAGGAACGATAACTGACGACAATCAATTATTGAATGAATCAGACAACTCTTCTCAACTTCACTAAGGTGACATGATGCATACTCGGCAACTTCGTGGAAATTACTAATGCGTATCTCTCCGGGCGTCACACAACCTCCACTTCTTTGCTTCCGCAAGTCCAGCGAGCACGAACGTGAGACGATGGGTAGATCCAGTAAAGTCAATGTCGTGTATTGTGCTTCAACAAACTAGCTGTTACGTTCACAGTTTCGAAAGGACATGTGGAACACCCAAACAAAAGGACTGAAGAAAGTGATGCCTCCCTTTTTCGGTCTGAAGAACCTACGCGTTGTTGTACCCGCGCCCGCGAAGCTGTTGTACTCATCCAAAATTTGCGGTGAACCTGCAGTTGTTGGCCTGGTACATGCACTACACACCCCAAATGCGCAAACTCGTCCCTCTCCGGACCTAAAAAGGCGTGGTGATTGGAAAGGAGTCGTACCACCCGACCGGGCGTGTACTACTCCCAGCACATGGTGCACCGGTGGTTGGCTACATACGTATACAGGCAGCCGTCTACTCCGGGTTCACACTACACACATCTCTTGTGGGGATCCGGAGGGAGGGGAAGGAAGGACACAGCTTCGGTGACGTGTACATGTATACTGATCTTTGACGTGAAAGAAGTGTGTGCGTTGTCCATCGTGTACATGAAATTGTGTACATTATCAAACCCAATGATTGGGAGCCAGACAGGGCACGTCCGAAGTCACCAACACTAGATGTACCACCTGACCAAGATCAAAAAAAGAGTCCATGGGGTCATGCACTCTTGGCACTGTGCATGTGGGGCGCCGGCGAGTTCATACAATAAAAACCTAATACCCATATATGGCGTATGAACATTGCAATATTGAACAGTCATGACTATGACTAGACTATGTGTACCAAATGTACATGTACTCATACATAACTATTGCCAACAGCCCACAATTGCACAATATGCAATCCCAGTATAGTACTCGTACCCAGCTCCTACTTTTCGCTGGATAGATAAGACTTGCACACACGGAAAGGGGGGGGGGGGGTACAATGTACACCAGGGAGTTGCCCCGATTGTCAACACAAAGGACCTTCGCTATTCGTGTTCTTTACCATACGAACAACTAATCATTTATCCGAGCAGAGCCCGAGCTAGGGATCGATCGGTCATGTGATCACCTGGCCCGGTCCCTCTGCGCAGTTTGCGGCTGAGCTCCAGCTGTGTGTATTGCCAAGAGTGCGAGTACTCTTGGTATTACCAAGACTCAGTTGCCAAGAGTACATAGACAAGAGTGAGCAGCTCCGGACAAATCGTCCCACGGCATGACGGGTTTTCTACGAATCATGATGACGTAAACAAAACAAAAACTTTGCCATGGGAGCGATTTTCTGCAGAAGAGATGCACAGCCGCACACTCTGGTTTATGTACTCTTGGTATTACCAAGAGTACATAAACGGGCTTGACTTCGTTTTTGACGACGAATGTACGCGTGGAGGTCAAGTCCGGCGTGACGTCACTCGGTACTTCGGGACAATTTTGGGCACCTTCTTTTCAAGTTTTCACCCACTTCCAGTCATCGCAGAAAAAAAACGAATAACACCATCATGATCAGGAGCCAAAGAACTACGACATACCATCCTTGGCCGCTCACATGATCACATGCATAGGACCAGGGATTCGTAATTTTACGACTCCCTGCATAGGACCAGTCACATGCACCTCCGGCCGGTACACACACATACGCGGTACAGATACGAAACAAGGCGGTGAGGAGTCTGAGGACCCCGGCTACGCCAGACACCACTCGTATTGTGTAACGTCTTCTGCACGGCTTCGGGTACTGGAATTTGTAGTACATTGTACCGCATGCATACACATGGCTGGCTAGACCAGCACCTCCAGTTGTGTACACGTTTCTTCTCGGATTCTAATGTAGACAAGGTCAGATGATACGTGTACATAATGGTCACGCTAAAAACAAAGCTGTAAAGTGGTAAGAATGCTGAACTAGAAAAATGTGTCAGCTGTGTAATTCGCCAATGACCGACCAGCAGCCAGGCCAGAAGTCCATATCGACGCGTAAAAATCAGTACATAAAACGCTCTGTGAAGCAAAACCCGGCGAAACGGGCCAGGCTTTCCGCAGTGAATTTCACTCACCGTGAATTGCACGTTAATGTGAATAGTGCATCACATGCAAAGTTGCATGTGTGCGTGTACGTACACATGCACACGCACGTACCTAAAGTGCGAAGAGCCCTGCGGCGTGTGAGGAGCACAGGCTGCTAAAAGAAGTAGCATTGCTCAAACATGGAGCCGTTCTTTCCCGTGTACACTGGCTCGTAGTCGTAGAAGAGGTGCAGGGCAGCCGCCGCAGCATCGGTGTTCGCAGGAAAGCTGTGAGTACTGGCGCGCGCCTCGTTGACGAAGAAATCAGCAAAATACTGAGCGGCCTTGACAGCGTGAAGCGAGTGGTTGATGTCGTACTTGCTGTTCCACTCAAACATACTCTTCTCCGGGTGAAAGATGGACGAGAAGATCGGATAGTCGCGGGCCTCGATGAGCGAGACAAACTCCTTTCCATCTCGGTCAGTACTAGTAGCCAGAACATCAAAGACATTGGCAAGAGACACAGTGGATTCAAAGCTCTCAGGACTTATTCCGAGCCGGTGGAAGTTCATCGTTAGTGGCTCCACGCGCAACCATTGCGCAATCTCATCTGGACAAGATCCAAGAAGCTTGCTATCAGCAGCAAGTTTCGTGAACTTCAGCGGAAGGCTGATGTTGGACGAATCAAAAAAGCTCAGCAGATCAGAGCTCCCAAACATTGCAACGAGCTCTTCCATTCCCCTGCATGTAGCCCAAACCGGGAAATGATCTCCTTTCTTGAACGCTTCAATCGACTTATTGATAAGCACTCGGCTGTTAAGTGCATAACCGGAATCGCTCAAGTTGGCACCACCACCCGGCAACAATACGCCATTGAGTTGCTCAAACACCTCTCCGGCCTGCTCTGCACTCAGGTTGTTGAATACGGGCACGGCCCGTCCGCCCGCCGCCTCCACGAACTTCACGTAGGACGCCGCTATGTACATGTGGCCATACTTGGCAAAGTGCCCATAGGTGCCTTGTGCCAGTACTCCTATCACTGGTCTGTCTGTTGCATAAGCACCACAGGTCAGCGCTGCCAGCACAACAACCACACATGCAGCCATTTTTACTGGCTGCGTTAACGCAATGTCAATGGCTCTGTGGCCACAGAAACAGCAACATAAGGTTCTTTACGTGGCTGATCGGTGTCCGAGATAAAGATGGGACCGCATGCGATTCTGGACCCAGCACCGTCAGCCCAGACCAGTGTGATTGCTGCAGCACACGCAGGTTATGTCAGCTTTATCAAAGCTCGAGCATAGGCGAGAATCGGTGATTCAATACTAGGATTATTGTCTCCTCACGTCCTTGACGAGCCATGGCCTGGATCGTCATGGGCTAACCATCCGTAAAGTTAGCGCAAACCTACTTCCCAAAACTGTTCTTTCCACGCATCTCTGTTTTTTGAACATGTTGAATGTCACACAGAACTTCAGAAGTGAATCATCATCAATGAAAAAGTTCAAAAACAGTTCACATCTTTCAAGCTGGCGAACGACGTCGCGACGTGAATCACGTGATCGTGATCAGTTTGTGCGAGTCGTAACATCACAACTCCAACGACCCCGCGCCAAGAAAGTCTGAAAGAAACATTTTTTTCACTTTCAAACAAAGCTTGATCAAAGTGTGTGCATGTGTGCTAGCTTTACTTTTGTTGAATGTGAAGTGAGTGAGGTGAAATGGCGGATTTTGAGGATTTGGCCCAGCAGGCCGAGCAACTCACCGCCAATGTCCACGCAGGTACGGAGCTGCCGAGGGTCCAAAGGAACTTGCAGCAGATTGCTCAAGCGGGTCAGCGACTGTGGACAAAAGCTTCCACAACTGACACGGATACCACCGATGTGAAAGCGTGAGTTTTCCTCACATAATAGTAATCTAAAATGAAAAATAGGGGATATTGGGCTGTTGTCCTTGATTTGGTGGTTGCAACATACTTACAACACTTCCTGCGACAGCATTATTGGCACTAGTATGCTAGTCTATAAGACGTGGGTGTTGCATCTAAGCCTACAAATATAAATTGAAGTAGGCAACAGCACCACTTTCACGCCACCTTCACCTCATTCTGTGGTTTCACACAGGGATGCTGAAGGCCCACATCTGGGCATGTGGTGCAAGCGGATTCGGGCGGGTGTATCCCGGAGAAAATTAAATAGAGTCTAGATCGGTCAAAGACATTATGATGATATAGTTGTTTGAGATGAGATTTGGAAGTGATCATGCATATGTACATGTCCATGATATGGAAAGTTGTGCCTCTTCTCCATTCCTTTTATTAAATGCTGTAGAAAGCAAAGCATGTATCATGCTATCAAGAGTACATACAAACCAGAGTGTGCAGCTTGGATGGGTTGGTGTCACGGCGAAATTCCGCAATTACATCATTTTAGTGATGTAGTGCGTACAAGCAGGATTCAAGCAGGTCTCTTTCTGCACAAACGCAGCTCAGTTGTACGCACTACGCCACTTCCCGCCTCAGATCTGCACCAAATATGATGTAGTCACGGAATTCCGCCGTGACAGACGCCCATAGTAGAAAAAGCCCCAAGATGCACACTCTGGTTTTCATGCACTCTTGATGCTATCTATGATTTGTGCGTTGATCTGAGATAAGATTTAGAAGTGTTATCATGTCCGTGATATGGAAAGTGGTACAATGTAACTTTTCTTCGTGCTGTGCTGTGGAAAGCAAGGCATCTATCTATCATGCTGTCTGTGATTTGTTATGGATTGATCATATTGTGGTTCAATTATGTATTCTGCTCTCCTTTGCAGATCACTCCTACTGGGTAGCCGCGGGTTTGACATTCCAAAGCTCTCCCATCGTCTTGAGAATATCAATGCCGCCAAGAGTTTTGAGCCGCTCGCGCCCGTTCGCGACACAGACATTCAGGTACTGTAAGACATGTTATTATAACGAGTCGCAATTTTAACGATTGTCCAAAAGTCATAGGTTAACGAGAAGACACGTTAACGATCTTGCGGTCTTCAGGCGTATCCGCACATAACACGTATGAGGCCTTACAGCCTCAACAGAAATTATTATAACGAAAAAATCGCACCCGTTAAAACGTTACATTTACTTCCACGTTATAATTACATGTCTTACAGTAAATTACTTTAAAAAATGGTGCACATACATTATTGTGCACGTACATTATAACTGTTTGCACTTCCTGCTAGAGTTTGTAGTACGTTTCCATGCTTTATAGTGAGCTTGGCATGCAACTTGTGTTCTTTGAAGCAGTGATCCTGATATTAGGGCGCACCATTCCCTTTGGTTGGGAGCCTAGACCGGAATGCTCTATCGTGTGGCTGAGAGTGCTGATAATTGCGTGCTTCTTGTGTGCTCTTCTGCCGTCGCTGGCTTCTACCTTGTGTGCAGGGTTTCTTACGCAATGAACGCGAGAATGCCCTACTGACGGCAATCGAGGAGACCCGCCGAAGTGTAAGTTGTGCTGGCCGCCTCATGCATTCTTTTTTCCTTTCGCGTATTGCCTGCTATCTGTTCGAGTATATCTGTACGTTTGTGATTTGTGATCTGTGACGTTTCTTTCTGCAATGGCCGTGCAGACTTTCGCGGCTGCCAATGACTGTCACTGGGGATGTGTTCGTCAGGAGTGGGAACAGGACAAGCAGCGCATCCTCCAAGCACTTGTCAGCCAGGGCTTTGACAACTTGACCTTGCCGGCAGAGGCACCGCAGGTACGTCGGCAAATCGAGCCAGGAGCGCGTTGCTTTTACTTCAGAAGTAAACGACTAAATTGCTAGGTTTTGTTGCGTGTATGCCGATTTGGCAATGTTAAATTATGTATCCAGTGTGTATGTTTGGGGGGGGGGGGGTGATGAAGGATTGAAATGGTGACTTCCATTCAGCTCGTTGTTGTTCTAGCCACAGTTGCAGCTCGACTTTCTCCCCCGTGCCCTGTGGCTGGGTTTACCAGTATGTCAGTGTAACTATGAGTGTAGTGGGCCAGGGCAACCAGAGTGGTGGCCTGTGGCAGCCCGGATGATAAAGTGTCAATTGGATCACCAACGTTGCTTTGTCAAGCTACTATTTTTGAGCAACGGATCACATCGCCCACCTGGTTATTAACGAATACCGGTAGTTGAATATGGATTCCTAGCTACAACCCAGCACAAGCCTTGAGGTTGCTGCACTTGTGTATAGATCTAATTAAACATTTTCTTTTCCTGTATCCCACGGTTCACCTATTGTCGTGTTCTCATCTGTTGGCAGACACAAGCTACTCCAAGCCACCCCACCAACCGTAGCAGCAGCTTAGACCCGGTCGAGGCTGTCTACGCTCGCCAGGTGAGACTCCTCAACACGATGTAATGATTCACATGGGAATTTTTTAGGCTGGGCTCCCCGGACTGAACATTCTTGAGCTCCCCACCATTTTGTTCGCACAGCGTTGAGCCTCGGCTTGGGTATCAATGGAGGGGGCTTCATGATTTGTAGATTGCAACTGTTCTGACTTTCTTTGTACGGCTCGCCGGTGCTGGTTTTGCCGAAAACCTCGTGCTCTGTCTCTATCTCTCTCACTCTCCCCCTGCATCTCCTCTTCTTGTTCCTCCTTCTGGGTAGGTTTGCGTTCACAATGAGAAAACTGTCAACGGCCTGCAGTCCAATCTCACCGCCCTCTTCGAGAAGGCCTCTGAGAAATTTACGGAAAAGGTGGGTGTTGGTGCTGGACGTACCCACGTTCAAGATTTGCGTGTGTGTGTGTGTGTGTGTCACTGTGTGTGTGTGTGTGTGTGTGTGTGTGTGTGTGTGTGTGTGTGTATGTGTGTGTGCGCGCGTGCGTCAACATCTATGTCTCAGTCTGTAGTGCTTTACGCATGCCTGATATACACTCCATGTCTTAAAGAAGCTGGGTACTCCACTGCCTAAAGAGAGCTGTGTGCCCTGAGACTGATCTTTTTCACACAGCAAGGAGAGAAATCTCTATTGCAACTTCAAGTTTCACCTTGCTCATGATCGTACCGTGAACGACATGAATTTCGGAGCTGCAACAGAACTTCCTCTCCTTGCTGTGTGCACTTCATGTCAGTCAATCGTGCTTTTGAACTGCATTGTAGGGTAGAGGCACCGTCAAATCTTACCCGTTGGTTAGCCACGCATTGTGCACGTGGGCTGCCTAACGAACATGTCGATGTGGATGTGCGTGTTTACATGTGGGTTTTTTTTGTTATTACATGTATACATGTATATGTGTGTGTTGTTGTACCGTGCAGAGTGCCGGCGAATGTTGGCATTTGCTCTCCGGTCTACTGGACACACCGCCTCTGCGCTCCAGGACACCCGAGGCTAGGTAGGGTCTACACAGCGTGTACTTGATTGTAGTGTTGTTAATACAGTGTACACTCAGACCACACATAACCGCACACATCCGCTTTCCACAAAATATCTGGATAGGCGAGGGAACCGGATAATCGAACACACATCCTGTATATATGCATGCCATATGCTGTAAATCGGTGACCGACGACTTTTTTCCGGATGGTGAGGGATCCGGATGAAAGAGGACCGGATAAGCGAGGTCTGACTGGAGTGTCCGAATTCCGAATACCTCAGTGCCAGGAGTTGCTGACAGCACTATTTTTTCTTACCGAGTGTTTGTTTGATGACCTGGCTACTTCCATGACTCTGGGCTACCTTGGAAGAAGCAAGTACTGTAATTTAACAAATTTTCGGTGTACTTTTATTTTCGGTACTTTCAGTGCATCTGTTTCATACCTAAACTTTCGATACACCGAACAAACACTAACACACATAATCAAATAGGGAACTGCTTCTCTGTACCTAAATTTTCTGTTTGCCTAACCTGGCCTTTGCCCTCATATTGAAAATATTGAGCACCTAAAATTTCTGAAAGTAGAGTACATTATCATAAGGGTCTTGTGTTGTGGTATGGTGTTTACATGAATGTGGACCCACCAAGTCTTGTCCCCGCCAGCTGTAATTGTATCGCCACTGCGTTCCTTGAGATAGGGCTCATGAATTTGTTTGTGTGTGTGTGTGTGTGTGTGTGTGTGTGTGTGTGTGTGTGTGTGTGTGTGTGTGTGTGTGTGTGTGAGTGCGTCTGTGTCTGTGTGTGTTCTAATAGAGCAACTACGGCACTCCAGGCTTCCTTCATTCGGCAAGGTAGAAACTTCCTCCAAGCTGGGTGAGTTTAGTGCAGTTGAAGGCACCGGAGCGCTGAGTCTGAAACAGGCAGCATGCTGGGAACAGTGTTTTCTTATAGTGAAAGCTACTGCCCTGTCCCATATTCCTGTGCTTTCTTGCATGGTCTGTTGTGTAATTTGTAAAGCTAAAATTACTACCAAGAGTACATAAACCAGAGTGTGCAACTCGGGATGGTTCCTGTGGGAGCGTAATTCGTGCAGTATGTCATTTCTGACGCCATGGTAAGCCACAGGTACGGTGAAAAGTTGCGTAACCAGTCGCTGTCGTGCAGGTCACTGAATTTGTCCTGATTTCGGTTTTTTGATACGGATAGCCTGGTGACTTTACTTGTTGGTGGATGTACGCAGCGTACACAGTCACACAAAACACCGAAATCCTGAAACAGGACGTCTAAAATCAAGCAAACTTGGCTGATTTCCGGGCTATGAAACATGAAAATTTGAGCTGTACGCAAGTCGCGGCTTGGCTGACCTCAGCAGGGTGACGTAGTGCACGAAGTGCGCTGTTTCAGATCTGATATGCACAGTTGCACACTTTGGTTTATGTACTCTTGTTACTACGTATACAAATCTGGCAGAGTACCTCTCCTTTGGGTATTAGCTGGGACTTTCCCCCAGACTGATCGCCAAGCATGTGTGAAATGTAGTGTTCTACTTAGCCACCACTTTATCATTTGAGCCAGAGCTGTCTACTTCCCTGCTCCTTATGTGTTGGTGCCATGCATATTTCTCTTTGGCTCTTGACCTCACGTGAGGGAGAGCTCAAAGGGGGAAGGTGAGGGAGAGCTCTGAGGGAGACTATTTTATAAATCAGAATGATCAGTAGTAGGTGCCCGGGTAAGCCCGAAACGTTGGAGAAGAAACAAAACATCTTTTATTGCTTTCTGTGTGCCTAGGTATATGGACTTCATGCGCACTGTGGTGTTTGGCCACCTGTCCTCTGCTCAGCTGGGTGGTGTGCCCAGCACTCAGCGCCTCGTCACCGCCTTCCTGCGCCTGCAGCTGCCACGGGACCGATTCCAGACCGAGGTAGGCTACAGCACTGAGTATCCATCGTTTACTGTCTTGCCCTTCGGTCCTTGGGTTTATCGGGTGTTAGCGGCCGGCGTGAGTTCCCTTTGGGAACGGATACGGTGATTTACTTTACTTTCGGTCCTTCCCTCTGTTGTCAGTTTGCTTGACTCCACAGCCTTTCAGTTTGCGTTGAAATCAGCTGGTAAGAACTTCCGGTGGGGGTACAAAGCACTCTCGGGTGCTAGCTGTAGGCATTTGCCGCTCGACTTCTGATCTCAGGCGACCCATTGCTGTTCCTTGTCACATTGACTGTGCGTGTGTGTGTGGGGGGGGGGGGGGGTCATGCATTCATGCATGCATGTGCTTGTCCATATGTATGTGTGTGATATCATTTCACTGCAGGATGGCCAAATTGATGGACAGCCAATCTGGGCTATTCTCTACTATTGCCTGCGGTGTGGTGACGTCCAAGCCGCCATTCAAGTTCTCGCTCAGTCCAGGTAAGTAGTACACCTGGCCCGAGCGGCCAGCACAGTGATAGGCAACCGTCATGATGTCGATTCAAGGTAATACTGTCAGCTGATCGCCTGATGTGCTGAACAGAATGCAGTCTGTGTGTCAAGGTACCGCCATTCAATTACTTGTACCCCAGTGCAGAATCATTCGTTGTAAACTGAACATAGAACTCGTCGGAGCATATTTTCTGTGGCTGAGTTAAACTGAGACACATTCATAGCATGTGGCCGTTGGTGGGTAGTAGGTGGGAGGCAAGGGTGCTTCCTATACTCTTGTTTGAACCGTTTCTTTTTTATTGGTCACGAGTGTGTTATTCTCGTCTATGCGCAGGCACTCCCTGGGCGACTTCCAGACTTACCTCGAACGCTTTGCATCCAGTGAGACCGGATGGTGAGTCATGTGTTGGTATGAGCTGCTGGGCTGGCTTGTTGGCAGTATTCCACTATGCATTCTCTATGATTTTCATTGACAATGTATTACACTACATTATACTTGCTGGGGTCACTGCTACCTTTATTGGGGGGGGGGGGGGGGGGGGTTCTGATGTTCCATGTAATTTGGGCGCCGAACAATAATTGCAGGACCTCTTTCCCCTGCACAACGCCCTTCACCAATATCACGCAATGAGTGCTTGTTTTTCTCTCAGTCACGGGTCCATTGCAATGCAGTGAGCATTGTGCAACTGTGCCCTTAGCTTAGCTTGTAGCAAGTCAGCTGGGAGTGTATGGTGGTGGGTTTGTGGGGTCTGGATGAAAAAGATGCCAAAGGTCTTTAGCACAATCAATTTCCTGGGTCTCTAAACTACTAAATACACATATTTGGGGCTTTTCTATTAATCAAGTCAACAGCCTCATTTTCCTATGGTTCCTTTTGAGCATGTGTACCGTTTGGCTTTGTTAGTGCTAGTATTGTTGGTCAATGGGGTTTCGTGTGTACATACATGTACATGTATGATGTTATGCTTTCAGGCTGCCGCAGACGCTGGAGTCTAAGATGCATCTCGAGTATAACCGCGTTGCGCGTCACTCTCCTGATCCGTTCAAACGGTACGTGAAAAGCATGTCAGCAGCTGCTCTCTTTGGCACCGCGTTGCACTATTCCTGTCCTTTTTGTCAGCAACAGCAAGTTCATTGGGAATTTTATGGGGTGATCAACTGCATTTCATCTACACTACTAAGGGGTCCGTGCCTAGGTTTGTTAATTTGCATTCCTGGCTGTGTGTCTGTGTGTGTGTGTCTCTCTCTCTGGGTGTGCGTGTGTGTCTGTGTGTGTCTGTGTGTGTGCGTGTGTGTACGCGCGTTAACAGAGCTGTGTACTCCATCGTGTGTGGGGTGGATCCTCATGAGAATCATGCTGAGGTGTGCGTCAAGACCGAGGACTACCTGTGGCTGAAGGTTAGGGCCAACACCTACAGTCTCCAATTATGTATAATTCAAACACAAGGCAGACGATCTGATGAGTGTTTTTGAACACGAAACTCGGAGTAACGAGAAAGCTTTTTGGTCTCTGTTGTTCTGCCTTGTGTAGTACGCTCTGCCCTTGTTAGGGTATTGAGCACTATTTGTAACACGGACTTCATACACTTTGTCTCATTCAAACACATGTACATCACTCTGAGTTTGTTGGTGGTGGCTATGCTTTGTGTAGGCGGGTGGGTGGACGATTGTGTGAACTAAGTCTTGCATCTTGAGATTGGTGAACTAAAATAGATTATGTCTCATGGCTCATGTCGTCAATCAAACGAACATTCCCGCATCTGGAATAACACTGCCACCCTCCAGGACCATGCCAACTGACCGTTGCATTGCAGGTTGCAGAGAATATGTGCGAGTGTATCTTGTTCAACTAAGTTTAGTACTTTTTGTATTCTCAGTCCTAGTGTAAACCATAGGAGGGTCTGTATGCATTCCGGCTCGACATGCTTGCTTATACATGTATTTCATGTTGTGATCGCTGTCCCTGCTCTATGACTTTGTGTGTTCAGCTTCATCAAGCTCAGCCCAGCGACAGCATACTGCCTAGTAGTCACAATCTTCCTGGACGCTCAGATCAGCTGACTTACGCGGACCTGCAACGCACAATGGTGGACACGTACGGTACGGGCAGTCAGGAGACAGCGTGCAGACCAGCCGGCGCCTTTGTGTGTGTGTGTGGGGGGGGGGGGGGGTGTGTGTGTGGTGTGCACGTGTGTGTATGTGTGTGTGTGTATGTGTGTGTGTGTGTGTGTGTGTGTGTGTGTGTGTGGCGTAGGTTTTGATTTCCGGCGGTGTTGTACGTACTGCAGATTCGCTCTCCTACTACACTGTGCGTTTGTTCTTGTGTCAATGTGAATGGCTATGCTGTGCCCCAACCTGCACTGTATTCCCGATGAAACACCTGGGTAGCTAGGCTACACAAAATCTGACTGTATGAATGTGCACACCAGTTGTTATACTGTAGCGGACATTGAATCTTCTTTGAGAAGTCAAGTGGCCACTGGGCGCTGGCCTTGCAGTCGTAAGCACTGCTGGCCCATCTCATGATCTGTGCAGTGTTACAGTGCGTGTACGTGTTAAGCAAGTAAGGGCGCTGGCCGCGGTAATTCCACCGGATTTCTATGTCCACAACACTAGCATGATAGACTGGTAGTGCACTTATTTTGACTTAGAAGTACATTTGTATATGTAAAGTACATTTGTACACATGCTTGCTTATACCTCTGTGTGTGCTGTGCAGGAGAAGTGCATTTCAAGGCGCAGCAGAAGCCATGGCTGTACTTCAAAGTGCTGTTGCTGGTGGCGGATTTCGAAACGGTGAGTCACTGCCACTGCCACTACCTTCTCTTGCTTGATACTGATGATTAGCTGGGCATGCACTGCTGCTCAGACAAGGTAATTACGCTGTGAGTATTGGAAGGTTGTGTCTAGCTGCGGGGGACTTCAAGCAATGGTGCCTCCATGCTGGCGATGAGAATGTGTATATGTGTTGCTTGTTAGTATCCTGTTGTTGACGGTGAGAATGTGTGTACATGTACGTGTTGCTTCCTACTCTACTAAGTTCTTAGCGTCCTGTTGGCTTGTTTCCTGTGGTCTTGGATCACTGTGTTCTGTTTGTGTGTGAGTGTCCCCGTGTGTTGCATCCTGCTGGCTGGTTTCCTGTGAGTGTGAGCGCTGTCTTTTGTCTATGTGTTGGTGTGTTGGTGTGTGGTTGTCTGTGTGCTGGTCCCCGTGTGTGTGCTGCATGCCGTCTTTTATTGTGGCCTGTGTGTTGAGGAAGTCACACTGTCAGCGTGTGCTAGTACCCGTGCATGTCCTGGTTCCTGTGTGTGTGCGGGTGTGTCAGCGTGTGCATGTGTGTGCATGTAGGTGCATGTGTGTGCATGTGTGTACATGTGTGTGTGTGCTGCATGTACTTTATTGTGGCCTGTGTGTTGTGAAAGTCACACTGGCAGCATGCGTCAGTGTGTGCTGCTACTGGTACTAGTACATGCACATAGGTATCCGTATGACCCTGACCAACATGATGCGGGCCCTGCTGATGCGTGCGGGGTCACACGTGTGTATGACTGTGCTTGCCTGGCTGGGGCCAATCTGTGTGTGTGCACTGTGCTGTGTTGCCAGCTGTGGCTGTGTTGCTGCCTGTGCCATCTGGGTCAGTTCCCCAGTGTGGAAGGCAAGCTGGAGGTCGTCTGTGCTGCTCCCGTGAGGGAATCCAGCCGGTGTACTATGTGTGTAGTTGCACGTAAAGTTCTCCGATTGCTTCTCACAGCGTCTATGCTTGGTGGGGTTTCTTCTTTCAGCTGGATAGGAAGTGGGGTTGCTTATCATACACACTGTGAACGGATCCTGGCGTGAACGCTGTACTGGTCACCGAGTGACGGGTGACGTATTGGCGGTGCTGAGTGCATGTCCGAGAGGTGTTGTGTGTGGGGAAAGTATCCGTACTTCTTCCGCCGCTCCTGCCCTGCTCTTCTGGCGCCGTTGACATCCTGCCAGCAGGTATAAGTAGAGGTATCGCTCTCCCCTCGTGGATTGTCAGTCCAGTACCATTGGCCGGTGACATACACAGTGCTCATGCGGTCGTGTAGAAGTAGGTGTACATAATTGAGCCCCACGTCTTATCTTTCCTGTGTTGATCAGTTACGGTTGCTGTAGCAGCTTGTATCAAACACTTCTACTAGGCTGCAGCAGCTTGTATCAAACACTTCTGCAGTCCCGGTACGAACCCCAGCATGGCAATGGCAAGTCACTGCCTAGTGTTACTCTGTAGCATGATCCTAATCATCAGTTATGCTGCTGATCTGTCCGCGGCCAGTGCACTGAGATCGCCAGCACTGCGCCGGTTCTACGCCGCCGCCGCGCTACACCAGCGCAGAGGCTCCGGTGACGGCTACGCTCCGCAGAGCTGCCGCCCGACCGAGTTCTACTGCCACGGCGCACAGCACACGTGCATGGATGCGGAGCAGTGCTGCCCGGTGTATTACCGTAAGTCGAAGTGCGCGTCGCGCGTGCAGCTCGGACCAGACGCCGACGGGTGCCTTCGTGATCACAAGGGCGGATTCGAAGTGCACGTGGCCAAGGTGGAAATGCCTATGCCGTGTATGGAGGGCGCACTGAAGAAGATCAACCTCAAGTACTACCACGAGGGTGTGCAGTACCGCGGCTTTGTGTACGAGTTTGGCGGCTCGTACCCGAACGGCCAGGCGCTGGACGTGATGGATCCCATGTTCAAGTACAAGCACGGCGCTCACGGCTTCCAGCTGGTGAAGCACGCCGGCTCCAGCACCTGCACGCACGCGCAGGCCGTGCGCGCCATGCACGACTGGACGGCGACGCACAGCTACAAGCTGCTGACACAGAACTGCCAGAGCTTTGCCAAGTACATGGTGGACACGCTCCTCTCCGGATGCGTTGACGCGCGCCCTCGTTTGTGAATTACAGTCGACTCCTGATGTAACGAACACCATTGTGCAGGAGAATTAGTTCTTTATAGGTGAAGTTCATTATAACAGAAATTCACTTAACACTGCGGGTTCGAACTGGGATATGGACGCTGGTTCGCTATAATTATCACGAAATTCGCTGTATGTGAGTGTGTTATAAGTGGAGTCGACTGTAGTCACCCGTGGCACGAGATGTCCGCCTGCCACCCTCGCTCGCACTCACCCTTGCCTGGCCTGTGTCTTGACCTCTGTGTGTGCACTTGCGTGTGTCGCTTAACGTGCACCGTTCTTTTCGTGCACGCGAATCCACGCTAGTTTTGCTTACTGTTGGTTCCTGTCTCGTGTATTTCACGGTCTATGCTTACAATTAGCACACCAGCTCTTCATTGCAATTTGTCTTCATCAACACTTTTAACTAATGAGCACGTTTGATTGCACATTCTGGACACAACAGGCATGTAGCCCGCATGGGGCACGAGGGGGGGGGGGGCATACAACCCCCCCCCCCTCCCCCCTCTTATAAATTTCGACCTTGGTTCAGCATGCACATATTGACCGTGAATGACATGCACCAACCATCCTACACATATGCAGCCGTGTACCCCACTAAAAGGGGGACCAGATACGCCCCTGCACAAGGTTTGAAATCTTCTCCAATGACCAGGTCGAGGGTGACTGCGGCGAAGCGTTCAAACAACTGGAAGTCGTCTTGGTCTCTGGTCACGGTCCACTCACCAAAACCGTGCAAAGAGATCACATGCGAGTATGCAGCGACTCTTTGTGCAACGTGAGAGAGTGTACGCCATATGCATCAACTCTGGCTGGAGACTGAGAATTTTTTATGGACCCTGATTCTGTGGATACTGATGACGAAATTTTTGTAAATGCAATGGTGTATGCATCGTAGGGCGTTCTGGAATGGACAGTATCGTGCGTAATCGAACGCGCCCAATGCCACCTCTTCAGTCGTTCGAACTCTTATTCTTACGATGGCCTATGGCCAATAAGAGACATAGTGATGGATCCGCTGCACGCTGGCTTGAGAAACCACCAAGTGCCGTGTTTTGCCGGTTATAAATCAACCTTGTATGGCCTAAAAACTGAACTAAAAAAAGGGGCTGTGAACTTACAAGCAGGTTGTTACTGCCTTTGAACCCAGACATCGAGGCCCCAAGTATATGGACCGTCAACATTATAGGTTATAGCCGGGGTCGATTTACAACCGGTAAAATACGGAATGCGCAAAAAAATGCCCAGTGGTGTGGAGGGCGCGGCTGCCTCTAGTTACCGCCCGGTGATGGACCAAGGGTCCGGAAGTGCATTGTAAAGCCTGTGTTGGAGTGGAAATGTTGAACGCTGTGTGTGTGTGTGTGTGTGTGTGTGTGTGTGTGTGTGTGTGTGCCTGCATTCTGCACTGTGTGTCTGTGTGTGCGTAGGCACTGGAGTTCCTGTGGCGGCAGCCGTCCCTGCGCAGCCACGCCGTCCACTTTGCGCTGGCACTGCAAGACTCCGGCTTTCTACGCAACACGGAGAAGGTCACGGGACCTATATGTGAGTACAGTGTGCATGCAGTCGTCATCCTCCACCGCACTTCTGTTGAGTAGAGTTCTAATGTCCACATGCCACGTACACTTTCTACACTAGTGCAATCACGTGGCAAAGATATAAACCACTCTATTCAGAAGCTCCTCTGTAATATTGAGTAGGGTTCCGATGTCCACATGCTGTGTACACTTTCTATACAAATGCTCTCACATGGCAAGGATGTAAAAATACAGTATGTACAGTACATGGTGAACAGGTTAACATCACACCTACCACAGCCATAGATAGTGGTTTAGCAGCTGCATCTGCGCCTTGATCCTTGAGGGTGGTGGCGTTCCTACCGACACGGAAAACTCGGCCTCTAGCCTGCGAACCGTGAATAAATATACCATAGATAGTTGCGATGCTGGTGAACACCCCATTGATTAGCGTACAGTGCAGCAGTGCATCGGGTCTTTTACATTGCTCCAAGCATCAATCAATCTCTGCTCGCGTGTGTGTTTGCTTGTCACAGTGCAACGCGATGCTGGCGAGCAGCCTCAGATCAATGTTGGCCAGATGGTTCAAACACACTTGCAGAGATTCGCCGCCACCGACCCACGGGAAGCGCTGGAATACGCGTACATTCTGAGGTACGGTTTACCAAGAGAAACAAAAAGATCAGTACTCCGTTCCACTTTGTTTCTGCAGCATGCTATCCTTTTTGTGATTGTTTCCTTTCTCTTGTAGTTTTTGAGCAAAGGTGTTTGCTACTGCCACGGGTGATTCACATTTCATGTCTGTGTTGTTCACATATACCCAGCTGTTCCGACCTTTTCACTATTGACTGTAAATGTGCGTGTACACTGTAGGTTTGGCCGCAAACTGAAACTGGCATGTTTGTGTGTGTGTGTGTGTGTGTGTGTGTGTGTGTGTGTGTGTGTGTGTGTGTGCGTGCGTGTGTATATATGCATGTCTGCCTGTTTGCTTGTCTGTGCATTCAGACCTTTCACCGGACTACCGGGAGAGGAGCTGTTTGAGCAGTCGGTTAGCGCACTGGCGTTAGAGACACGGGAGGTAGGTGCTGCATTTAACAATGGTCTATTCCCCCGCTGTACCACTACTGGCACTAAGTATGAGTAGTAACAAAGCGTCAGAGAATAAATGCATGTAGTAAATTGACAAGGATGACAAATTTTCATGCATGCACACCTAGGCAAGCAACTCCTTTGTCCTCGTTATATTTGGAGGTTCTGTCCAACAGGCAGCCGCACTGTCGCACCTCCTTGACAAAGTTTTCCTCATGGCGCGGCTTTCCTGCATAGTCACTCACATCTGTGGACCGGGGCTGAGAATGAAGGGTGGGCTCGACAGACATGGATTCGTCATGCATCTCAGACAGAGATTCTCAGTACCTGTTTCTGCGACTCGTCAAAAGTAGCCATTATGAAAGTGGAGAATGAAATCAAGAAGACAGCAACAGTAGACCAGGGAATTGAAGGCTTGGATCGAATGTATTTCTTCTCAACGACCCCGGAAATTTTTTTTAAGGAGTGTGTTAATGTGCCGTGGCAGCGTGCTGGAGTCTGTGTTGTTCATGTGTTCTGTCTCTCTTTTTTGTTTTTGTTTTCCATGACACAACTTCTGGTTTTGTCATCTGTCACTGTGTTCCTGTGTGACTAACTGCTAGTTCTCTGCACTCCTGGGAGAGATGAATCCTGACGGCAGTGTCAAGGTATGTTACTCGCCTTGCTGGTGTGCAATGTGTAAATCACCATTAAGGCTCTCCTGTTCTCAGTGGTTTGTGTGTGTGGGGGGGAGGGGGGTGTATGGAGGGGGGGGGGGGTCACCGGGTCTGCGTGGGGTGTGTGTAACTCCTCTATGTGGTCTGCTGAGCCGTAGTGACAACTTCCTTACTGCCCGACAGGCTGCCTTCACTGCAGCATGTAACACCTCACCAGCCGGTGCTGCTCCTGAAAATGTCTCTTGTATTGCTGGGCTGCCACTTTAACCCAAAATTTGGGCCAGTGCATGCGAAAACGTGTCTTCGGGGGAAACCGATTTCTTTCAGAATTTTGAGAAAATCGATCGGAAAGAAGAGTTATATTTTTTTGTGGCTCGATCGCGGATCTTGTCTATATTCCCAATCGATCTCAAGACGACAAGAGAAGCGACAAGCGATCGACTTGCAGCAATAGTCATGGACGTGGCGGCGCAGGAGGAGTTGGAAGTAGCACTTGAGGAAGGGCCTCTGAGTAGACACACTCGCGGCAGACGCCGAGCAGCACGTCGGTTGAGCTGTACCGCTCGCGTGATTATCGTCGGCGCGTCCGAAGAGATCGGCAAGGTTTACTATCGAGGAGGAAGACGACAATTAATTTTATTTGGCGAGTCGTGAGTCGGAGCAGTCGGCAACTAGCAGCTGTACTGCTCACAGTGACTCTGACGAAGCCCCAGCTAAGCGTCCGGGAGTGAAAGACTCCTGCTTTGAGGTTGAAGGCGAGTCGAGAGCGGATGAATTAGGCGGAGATTCTGTGGACTCTGCAAGCGACGATGAGCAGGACGCGCTTCAGAGCATTGCCGCTGTGGACTCACTGATTCTTGAAGGCTGTGGCTGCGTTCGGAACTACCATTTCAGCAGCTTCACGTCGAGCGCAATCCTCCATTACGACGACTAAATCTCGGCGATGAAATCGAAGGACCTCGGCACTTTTGATATTGGTGTGCTGGCTGCGCTGCACGCATGACGATCCTGTCGACTGTCGTGCATCAGTCGACAGCTTCCGCAACGGAACGGACGCGCATCACGTTTGGATAAACTGTGATGGGATTAGATACATCGTGTGTGGAACCGCGTTTATGCAGCTCCATGTGGTTGGCAGAACATGACTGTGTGCAAGTGGACAAGGAGAACAATAGCTGTCATCCTGGTGCACATGGAAATCTGGCAATGTGCCTTGGAATCAATTTTGTGCAGAAGTGGGAGACAGAGCGCAGCAGTTTATTCTGAACTACAGCTTAGTGTTCAGTCTCCCTTTGCCTGTAGCACCAAGAGGGAGAGGTGAGGAATCTCCCATAAACTTGCCTACATCTGTCGCCTACAAGTTTGTCCTTTCGGAACATGTCGAGCAGTCTGGTGAAGCGCAAACCCTGGGTTACCCATTATATTTTCGTATCTGTGGACTAAGAAGTGCAAGTCCATCGGGTTCATGACGCGACGGATGGACGTGTGCAAAAAGTGTGAGCTGCTCTGGGACAATATTCGTTCTCCTCGTGCATAGGATGAAAAGAATTCTGCAACGGAACCACTCTGTGACCATGTTGTCTTTGCACAAAAAGAACTCGAGTTCTTGTTAGCTCAGCGCCGCAAGAACTTGCTGGACAATGTTGCCCGGTTTCGACTGGAGAACAAGGCAGCCTTCATTGAATGTCTTGGCCAATACTAAAGGCTGATACGCAAAACTGTTGCTGCTTTCAGCGACACTGTAGATAATGCATTATACAAGGCATATTCTATGTTGGACAATGCCATAGAAATCATGGTCTCTATGTACTTTCAAATGTGATATCCAACTTTATCTTCCACAGAGGTGTTCTCTAGACTCCTGTGATTGATTTTCAAGAAAGAAAAAAATTTCAAAACATTTGCCCTTAGACACGGTATTGCATGCACTGGCCCATTTATCTTATACTGTATACTGTAAGACATGTTATTATAACGAGTCGCAAATTTAACGATTGTCCAAAATTCATAGGTTAACGAGAAGATATGTTAACGATCTTGCAGTATTCTGCCATATCCACACACAGCATATATGAAGCAGTACGGCCTCAACGGATCTTATTATAACGAAGAAATGTCATCCGTTAAAACGTTAGATTTGCTTCCTCGTTATATATACATGTCTTACAGTAAGCAGAAATATTCGTCTGGAATTTAATTTCGTCTTTTTCGTCCAAGGAGCTTTTGGACTAAATTAAATGTAGGACGAATATCGATTTGTCCAGCGTTTCTATACACTCTTATGACCCATGGACGAAATTTTCAACCGGACGAACTACTCTTCTTTGGAGTTGGACGAAATTATTGACCGACGAAATTTTCTGCCTCTACAGTACTAATGTGTGTGTGTGTTTGTGTGTGTGTGTGTGTGTGTGTGTGTGTGTGTGTGTGTGTGTGTGTGTGTGTGTGTGTGTGTGTGTGTGTGTGTGTGTGTGTGTGTGTGTGTGTGTGTGTGTGTGTGTGTGTGTGTGTGTGTGTGTGTGTGTGTGTGTGTGTGTGTGTTCCCTACAAAGCAGGATTCCTAAAGCAGGATTTCTGTATGTATTGTGCCGTAACTCATGTGTTTGGTTTGCTTGGTGTGCCGTGCTTACAGCCTGGATACCTGGACAGGTTCAAGGTGGACTCGCGCAGCGTCATTCGTCACGTGGCCAGCCGGGCAGAGCAGGAGGGCCTGCTGGAGGATTCCGTGCATCTTTACGACCTCGCCGGGGTGAGTACTACTAGTTACGGGGCGAGCTGCAGAGTTTTCCTCTAGCTGAGTGCTGCTGTGCGTGATGGAGTTGGCGTGTGAATGTGTTGGAGAGTGTCTGGATGATGGAGTGATTGAGTCTGTACACTCGATGCTCAGTGCCATGATTACTTTTGTATTGTGTGCTCTCGTTCTCCTGTGTTGCTGCGTCCGGTACACTCTGTTCCGCTGCCATAACATGCAGCTAAGCATCAAGTCGTTGAATATCAGTATCACACCAGTCAATGTTGTGCTAATTGTTGCACGCTCTGACTCAACAGTATCCTGCTTATAATTGTTAGTGTTTTCACGAAAACAGATAACTTGTAAACCTTTGGTCCTCTCTTTTTAATTAATTTATTTATTTGTTCACCTCAATCTCATAGCCTATGCACGCAGCGCTAATATGGTTTTTGCATTGTACTTACCAAGTGTTGTGTGCCATCTCTTTCTCCTGTGTTACTGTGTCCAGTGCCATGACAAGGTTATCGCCATCCTCAACAAACTAATCAGTCAGGTAGGCACAAGGACTCCAGTCGGATATGCTGGAGGGTGAATAGTTTACTGGACAGCCCCCTGTGTTGTATTACGTCCGGAAAGACACGTTGAGCATGTGTATGATATACATACGGGTGCAGGCAGGGTAAAGAGGTTCCAGTGATGGAAACTCGATGCCCTTGACTGCCCAAGCATGCTATAGATCGCTTCACATCTGCCAGTCGCGTCACTCAAATTTGCGCCTTGTGACGCGACTGGATTTCACTTTTTGCAGCACTGCGGTTGTGGATGGCTATGGTGATGGTGATGGTGGTATGGTGCTGCTCTGTCCGCTCTTTGCTCAGGTATTGGTTGGCGGCTCTGGTGTATCTTCTACTCGCAACCACCTCAAAGCACTAGGGCTGACCATTGCCAAGCGGTGAGTGCAATTACTTCACAACATACAAATAGATCTGCTGCTGCTACTGCTTCCTTTGTAAATTGGACCCGCCACTAATACATGTGACTGATCAAGAATAAGCGGATGAAGAATGTGTTATTACTCCGAGCTTCGCACACTAAGCGATCATAAGACAACAGCCTAGTGTGTGAAACTCATAGTAACAACACATTCTTCATCCTCCTCTTCTTGTTGGAACTAGATCCACCCTTCAGGATTGTACTCCTTCGGACTGCCTGGAACCTTTCTGTTTTCACATGTACTTGATCGTGATCATGCTGCCAATCTCGTCTCAATGTGCTCCGTCTCGTTTACTCCTTCCCCTGTGGCATTGTGTGCAGGTATCGCTCACACGGTCACAGTGCGAATAGCGGCAACATGTCATCGTTCTGCATGCTCATCGACCTTGTGCAGTTCTTTGACTTGTTCCGTGCACGCCAAGTCGGACCAAGCTTAGACGTGAGTCAGAATAGTTTGATACACTGCCAGCTGGCATCAGTCCGTGGCTGGTTTCACCCTCACTTCCTTGTATTGGCTATTTTCATTATGTGCCGTGAAGTGCAGACAGTAAATAAATAAATAATGTGTTTGTGTGTTGTATTAAAATCGAAATATACTCACCGCTCTGTATTTGATAAACAATGGGGTCGGTGAAGGAGGCATGAGCAGTAACATTGTACACAGGATTAAATTGCTTTTTGGTAAATTATCCGGGTAGAAACTAAATACGGTTGTATCTTCTTCGGTGCGATGCGTAAATCATGTTCATAGTAATGTTTGATGCTGATTTCCATCTCCTTGCTAGTTTGGTAGCATGAACTGTTGCTGCTGCTGCTTCCATTGTTGTGTGTCTGCATGCAGGTGCTGCGTCGCTTGAAACTGGTACCGCTGACTGAAGGCGAGATTGAGCAGCGTGTAACCGGACTGCGACAGTACACGGACGAGGTAACGTGCACGCACGCACACACATACACACACACACACACACACACACACTCTCTCGGTTAGAACCGTCAGGCTCCTAGAGAAAGACTTCACTTTGGCTGTACTTTCCAGTATGTTCTTGCGATGCGAAACGATTGGTACATGTACTGTGCTCTGTGTGTGTTTGCTGATGTCATGCTCTTAGGTTCGACACGTGCAGCCTGATGTTCTGCTGACCTCGTTGTGTGTGTTTGCTGATGTCATGCTCTTAGGTTCGACATGTACTGCCTGATGTTCTACTGACCTCTATGCAACTGCTCTACCAACAGTACACCAGCACTCGGTCAGTACACTTCTAACTGTCGTAGAGACATTTTGAACTTTCTTGTGCTGTCAGCCTTGTGAATAACGACCCTCATCGGGCATGAGAAAAGTGTTGCTGTATGCGAGCTGTCATTATTCGTGTGGTTTACAGTATGCAGTGGATTGGTTACTTGGTCTGAAGATAAAGACAGTGGTTATTCCCGAGCTGTTATTTGTGAGGTGTCTCTGCCGATATGGAAATGCCAGCGGAAAGATTTTCCGTGCGAACCCCGAGCTCTTTCATCCATCTTCATGTCTGGTGTACGTGACAGTGTCGAATTTAATGCGGATCTGTTTGTGTCTCTGGTGATACAGTGGTGGTGGATCTACGCCCATGCGATCAATGTCGTCTGCTGCCGACGCCTCGACGGTAAGAGATTTTTAGCAAAATTAGTGAGTGGCTTCAGCCGCTTGGGTGTAGTATGGCTTTATTCTTAAAGCCAAGTGCTTGCTTTTATAGCGGGCATTGTTTTCCAACTCTGCTCCTTGCGTTTGTGGCGTTATGGCCACCATCTTTTCCCGGTTCTAAGTCGACCTTTTAAAAGGGGTAGTCGAATAACGATTGGCGTTTAGCCGCTATTGGTCATATTGATATTGAACCGGTAAACTGAGGCCCCGAGTATTGGGGTCGTCTTATAACCGGTAACATACAGTATTGTGTTGCAGTCACTCTGCAGACCTGAGTTTTGATGAGCATTGCACGTTGCCTCCTCTCAAGATATTGATTGATTGTATTGCTGTATGTCCTGTGCATTGCGCTGCTGCAGCTCACCGTTCTCCGTCAGCAGGCTCGTACGCTGATCACGTTTGCCGGCATGCTGCCCTACTGTATGCCTGGTGACATGAACGCCAGACTCGTGCAGATGGAGGTGCTCATGGAAGTCTAGTGGCGGTGGTGGTGGAACAGTCCTCGCTCTCAACTAGCCTAGGTGCTCACACGAAGACATCTTGTTCTGTACGGGCCCGTGCAGCTGCTGCTAATGCTTACCAGCACAATGCATCACTTGATAGTCCCGCGCCTGTGTTCTTGCGGGCCGATCGTACTGACTGTGGACTTCTTCTCTCCGCATCGCTCTCCACGTGTAGCCTTCACTCCTCTCAATGTTGAGAACTGCTAGGGTTGAGATGCTGTATGATGCAACGGTGCACTCTGTGCCAATGAGTGACATTCTAACAACTCTATGATCAACCTCATTCAAACAGTTCCCATAATGTCCTTTGGAAAAGCTATTATGTATTTTCTGCTGATTTTCTGGTTTTTTTAGTGGCTAGTATAATTTGGGGACTGATTGCTGATGTTGTTGTTGCTGTCATGTTGTCCTGTTTTCATCCCTGCCTCATTGGTTGTCCAAATACGCAAGTGCCGTCTTGTGCGTTATCTGAACATGTTGTCCAGATGTCAAGCATGAAACGCTGTGCTTTAAATCAATCAATTATCCGGAAAAAAATCATTCCGGTATGAACAAAAGGCTACAGAGCATTATCCCGTTCCTTCAGGTCACTTCACTCGGCCGCAATACGAGGTAGAGTCTGTCAGGTCGTTTCCTTCTACAAGTAAGTTACACTCATACTATGCTTTCCCAGGCGATCCGCGCTGGCCCGGCCCGCGCCCGGCACTGCCCATAACTTTGAAATGTCCGTAACTCTGAATCACATACTAGTACTCGTTTCAATGTCACTTATTATGTGGAAGGGCCAGTCCAGAAATCAAACAATTTTGACGTCACTATTCCCACAAATGATGGCAAAAGGGGAGTAATAATTTCCTCCAAAACTCACCCACACGGTCCCCGGTAGACCATGGTAGACTGAGGTGCCCGTAAAGTTACTTACTTGCAGGTCTGGACAAGAGAGATGCATCTGTGACCAACTGTGCATGTCAAGCTTCATGGCTCTGCATCGCTGCTCTGCAGCTGCAGGCCACCCAGCACTGCCATGCACCTAGCTAGGGTCCCACCAGCATCAACCAGGAGCACTACAATTATTTTATAGTATAGTGCTGGCAACTGAAATCCGACCCCCTGAGCGGTGCGCTCGCATCGCAAAGAATGTGAACCCACGGGGTCGGATTTCAGTTGCCAGCACTATACAAAAGTACTCTTGATCTCAACTGTGCAGGCAACCAAGTCTATAATATTGAACCATGTGAACTGGTTCCACCCACACACGTCAAGCATACAGCGAGGCAGTAACGTAGAGCCATGGTTCCATACCATCTTTCGTATGTGCACGTGACGACTAAACACAAGTCTACATACATTGTGAATCGCAAGGGAAAAGACGGTTGGTCAGGTGACCCGAACAACAAACCAGGGAGTCGTAAAATACCGGTATTTTACGACTCCCTGCAACAAACTAACTGGGCGGCCTAATCACAAATCTATAATGATAAAATCCTAAAGGTTGAAATCAATCACTTTTTTTCATGAAACTGTAATAAATCTCTAGAAAAAAAGAGATTGCATGATCAGAAGATGGAACACGACCAAAGATAGAAAGTCAGCGACGTCAGAAATCGCCAATGGCCCTCTAAGCATGAGGCACCTATTAATGAGATATGTAGGTTTTTGACATAAATATAGAATTGTACAAGTTTAATAGAAATTCTGAAATGGCTATAAGATACTCCCGGTTCAGGGAAATTCTGGACAGGAACATAGTTGAGAATGGTACATTAGACGAGACCATTCGTAAGCTGTGAGACAGGAACGGTTGATGATGTTGATGATCACTTGTGCTCCAGCGCATACTCAGCCAGTGCAATCACAGCCGGCAAGGTCTCCTCGCCGCTGGGAACAATCTCGCGCGCCGGCAGAATGAACGTGCTCTTGTCCCTGAGCTCGATTCCGTACGAGTACTTGACCTTGATGGCTCCGTACGTCCAGTCGGCCGTGGAGCCGGACGCAACATCTACATGTAGGTAGGGGACAGTGAGGAGCCACACATACACACACAGACACACACACATACACATACACAGACACACACACATACACACACACACACACACACACAGAAACACACACAGAAACACACACACACACACACACACACACACACACACACACACAGAGTTACATCTCCACTAAATATGTGCCCCGGACCCCTTCCAAAGGCGGTGCTATGCGCCTGTGAATTATGTAACTGTAACTACTTGACTTGCAGGATCACGGTATTATGATTTCACAGTCCCAGGGTAGATCTGGAGTTGTACAGAGTCGCAAAAAAAAGGACCACTGGTCGTAACTCACAGATGATGCGAGCGATAGGTCCCTCCGTGTACACAGTACCATGCACAGCCTTCAGAGCATCAATGGCTGCAATGGAAGCGCCACGCTGAAGGATAGGGAAGACAAACGAAAAGGTGATGCACATGTCAGCATTATTATTATTATTTTTATTATAATGCATTCCCGCGGCAGCGTCAACAGTGCAAGTGCAAGTCACCCATGCACAAACACAGTCCACACGTTCGCTTATGCTGGACATGGTAAGAGAAGCATGTCAGCATGCAGTCAGAAAACTCAATGATCAACACACAGTTATATTTTTTTCACAATTCGTGTATAAAAGCCTGATTCATACGGTCGCGCGATGACTTTTCCGTACGCGACATGAAGTATGAATCGGCCTTAAGACTCAGTTAGACTGAGTCTTACACATCCATAGGAACGCTACCACCCTCAAGGATCAAGGTGCAGTTGTAATAGTGAACGGGAAATACTAGAAACTGGGGAGAAATTGTTCAATCACAAAAATTAATTGTAATTCATTCAAAGCCATATCTTCGTCTTTCAGTCAGAATTATTTCTCATTCATGAACAATCGGAATGCTCCTCCACCATGCTCGCGTACGCGTAATTGTACTACCCCAGGCACCTGCTTTTTCAAGGGATTCCAACTAAAAGTTGACCTACACTTTCACAAACTGCACATACTGTAAACCGCCCAATATTCGCATCACTAAATTTTCGCGATTTCTTAGAACCAGCGAGTTTGCGATGGTAAAAGTTCGCGAAACACTGGGGCCACTTACATCCACCCACTGTTGAAGTTAGATTTCACGATGGTTAATATTCGCGTTACTCTCTTCTCGCGAAAATAGCGAACATTAATCCGTCGCGAATATTAGGCAGTTTACAGCAGTGCATGGACCGCACTCATCGGACTGCATCATTTCCCAGTACTAGTAGTTTGGAATTCACAAAGGCTTCCAAGAAAAATAAAAGAAGATAGATTTTAACACAGGGTGATTCTACTCGTGAACCATCTCGGAAGAGGTTTTCTGATGCCACTAAATACAAAGTGAGACTACGAGCGGCGATCTTCTCTTAGGGTCTTACCAGATCAGCATTGTCTGGAGTCAACTCGGTGCTGTAGGCCCACGGGTACATCCACAGTTGACCAAAGCTGTGGAAGTTGATGTAGATCTCCAGGTTGGGAATGTTCTTCAGGAAGTCGGCCACGTCGCGGACGCTGACCTGAGAGAAGGCATGTGTACCGGCGTAGTCCTCATGGCATGGGTTCTTGCTGGCACCAGACTCTGCACATTACACAGGACAGGACAGGCAAAGACTATGGTGAACTTGCAACAGATGAACAGGAAGAGTTCCTGTGTGCTGTTTTGGGTCACATCGAGCTTCTTGTTTCTGTTCTCCTTTGCGGATCTGAACAGGGCAAGTATGGTGCTCACCATCCGTCCAGTATGGAAGGTTGGCACACCTTTCAACATACCACTGCGCACCCAGTGTAATAAAAAACGGTTTGGTTCACCGCATTAAGGGGAGGTTGCTATAAACAACTTTTTAATACTGTGATGCATAACGAATTCAACTCCGAACCCCCCTCCACCGAGCACCGCCGTTGCTGCCTGAGCTGACTCACCTCCCCAGTGCCAGTCCCAGTTGCGGTTAGGGTCAGTTCCAACACAGCTGCTGCCGGCATTCGGCTCACGAGTCTTGCGCCACAATCGATCCTGCAGGGGAACACCGACAGAGCATGCAAATAGAGCAGCATCAATTCCAGACGCTCCATGATTCTATTGGCATTATCGTGTGGATCAGATACGTCGGTCTGGTCAAGCCCACGGACAAAACGGAGCAGGATATGGCAGTTGATTCCATGATAGACAGACCAACCGGCTGATTTAAAAGAATGGATTTCTCTCATCTCCTCTCACAGTTGTGTGCGTGTAGACATATCCGTCGGCGTTGAAGACCGGCAAGATGTAGACATCCATGCTGTCAATCAGGCTGGTGATGCTCGTCTCCTTGCCGTAGCCTTCCAGCAGCTACGGCACAAGACAAGGACAGAAAAGAACAAAGAAAGGTATGTGGAAAGTTAGAACGAGTTGGACGCTGGCCACTGCATCCACTACTAAACCACGAGAGGGTTTAAATTCCAGCTCCAAAAGTGTGCAGAAGCCTCCAGCTCTCATCACTACCTGTAGATATTGTAACCTACTTCGAAGTACATTGCATGATAAGTCTGAGCCTATATAGCCATGCTCCTGAATCCTGCTACCAACCCAGAGCCCAGCAAAGGGACCCAGTCCTATCCAAGTAAGCAGTACAACCTCACCGAAACAAGCTGTGCATACCGTCGTGTCTTGTATCAAAGCCTGTCTCATACAGAAGCCTGTTTGGAGCACAACCCTGATTTTCAAGACACACTGTCAGCACATACTAGTACTGGTAAGCCTGGCTTTAGTGTTCCCATACATAGAATACCTGGTTTGAATAGAAGCCTTCATAAGGATGTGCAGACTCCACTGTAGTGTAGCCACTTCATGTTTCACACAGTTATACACCACTACCCAAAAATGGTCTTTTGGCTATAAATACTTAAAGATGGGCCTGGCCCGAAAATTTGGATTATATTTAATTAAATATAAGAATTTGTAGCCAAGAGACCGTTTCTGGGTAGTGGTGTATAGCTGTGTGAATAGAAGCCTAGCCCTGACAATGGCTTCTACAGGAATATGCCTGGCTTTTAAAAATACACAACATTATGGCAGTACAAGATGGACAACAGGACGGCACACTCACATGTCCCAGGATGTAGACGACCGTCGCGGGCGAGATCCACTCGCGCGAGTGTATGCCGCCGTCCATCCAGAACGCCGGCTTGCTGGCGTTGCTGGAGTGGCCAGTGATGTGCACGGCGCGCAGCACTCGGCCTTCGTACGTCTTGCCGACCTCGACAAGCTTGGCAATGGAGCTATACTCGGTGGCCAGTTCCTGGACACGATCAGCAAAGAAATCGCCAGCATAGTGGCGGGTATCAATGCCACTGCGAAGAGAAGTTGATGAATGTACCTACTCAGCATATTGATTACTCCAAGAAATGTTCCAGATAACTGCAGATGTGATGTTTTAAGTACTTTGTACTAATGTAGGCTTCAAGTTATATTGCCACAAGTAAGGTGGATGAATGATAACGCAGGAATCATCCGTAACAGTTGTCATTCCATTCGAACCCAGATGCAGAGGTCTCCGCTCTGGATACGACGTCACGACGACGCAAGGATGTAATAAAGTGATAAGCAGACCGGCTTACGCCCAATTCAAATTGGATTTATCCAGAAGAACAAAAACCCATCTGCCCAAGTTTCTAATCTATGTGCCCAATGCTGTAGACAGCAAGCTGTTTCGGTCATAATCTATGTACAGTCATGTACATTCAACCTGCAACTGCAAACAGTTGACCGACTTACATCCAACCAAGTCTGGATCTCCTCCCAAGTGTGATACTTGCTGTAATCCAACGGCAATGCAGTCTCGTTTTTCGCCGACGGGGCCTGGCCGACGGACTTGATAACACTGTACACATCATCGACGGTGACCTCGTAGCGGATGGAGTGCGCCTGCAGGAACTCCGACACGCTGGCAAAGTCCTTCGGGGAGAGGTTGATGTCGACGGGATGACCGACCGCATGCGGCGCTCTCCAGAAGTCAACCTGCGAAGAAAGCAATAGGCAATAAATTTAAAGTACTGTAATGTGGCGTATAAAAGCAGGTGCTTACGGCCGTATAAGCCGGGGTTCGAACCGTGCTTCTACGTCAACAATATCAGCCTGCACTGTGCAGTGCATACTGCCACGCATGTACGTGCACATGTCTTTGCAGGGAGCGGCTTCTATTCAAACCATGCTTCTATACAGGTCATGCTTTTATACGCGACACCACATTAATTATTAGTAACGTATTGCACTCGGATGTTGAGCCAATAGTAATATGTAAAGAGAAAAGGACCTATAAGTTCCTAGATATGACTAACAGTCCACCATGGTAACGAGATAATTATACAGTCAGATAGCGCGACAACAAGGCACAAAACTGACAAGGATATTCAGACATACTACGACCTGACACCTAGCTAATTATCTCGTCGCCTTGGTGAACTGTTAGTCATAACTAGTAAATTACAGGTCCTTTCTCTTCACATAACGTATTACACGTGTGTATTTGTATGCGTGAGGTGCATAGCAGACCTACAGTCATCATCAGCCGTTGCGAAGACAGCCAAAGCCAATTATTCGCAAATAGTTTCGGATGACGACTACACCATAGCTTAGTAGTGGTAGAGCATCGCTGGCCATAAGTGAAGGTCCCTGGTTCGAGTCCTGGTGGTGATCAGCAATTTTTCTTCTTCAGACTTTTCCCGTTTTCTTCAACTCCCACAACCTTATGAATGAGTCAGCATGCTAGTACCGGATACCGGGCAAGTTGTTCATCCGGTCACCAAAACCAGTGGCTACTGTGGACAGCAATTCTCGCCTGGCATCAACAACATGCAGCATAGATTTTCCCGGTGCACCACTACCCATTTTATTAATATTTTCTTTTTAAAATACACAATATCATGAATAAAAAAATAGGCAAATTTGCCTGTTTGTTCTTCGACTCTAAATAAAACAAACGACAAACAATAGCATCGTGCAGCACATCAGACCCAATCCTGCCATAGCAGGCCAGGGAGCGACATGTTTTTCATGGTGCCCTGGGCATGGGTGCACCTCCTCGTACCCGAGGCCTACATTGCACGTACTGTAGTTATTGCACAATGTATGTACCTCTCTCGAGCTACAATAGCATCGTGCAGCACATCCGCAACTTACGTGCACAATTTCCTCCTTGATTGCCATCAGCTTGTGCAGTTCCTGCGCGCTTTGCGGCACGACGCGTATCACCTTGTAGCTGTCAAAAAACACGGGGATAGACATAGACGGTAGTGTAAGAAGGGACAGCAACCATGGCTCAGCTGATCCGCTCCTAATCCCGTGCCCGGGAAAATCCTACCCTAAAAACCTGGCAAAATTCCATCTTGCAGGTAAGCGAAGTGGTAAAGTTAGTGTTCTTTTGCAGCTTTTATTGATGGGGATCATCTTCCGACCGATAGGACACGGGAAAAATTATACCGAGCAAATAACATGATAAAGGGTAATGCCAAATGCTCCCATCCCATCTACACACACTCCAGTTGAACTGCACCCGCCCGTGATCTTTAATTGGTTCACTAAACGCCGTAGTAAACGGCCATGCTCACATGCATGAGACAGATAGTTGATGAATTTTTTTAACGACCCAATCCTGCCATAGCAGGCCAGGGAGCGGCATGTTTTTCATGGTGCCCTGGGCATGGGTGCACCTCCTCGTACCCGAGACCTACATTGCACGTACTGTAGTTATTGCACACTGTATGTACCTCTCTCGAGCTGCCCTCCCCCCCCCCCCTCGCACTTACAGAATATTTCAAATAATTTATTTTAAATTTCAAACGAGATCAAACCTGTCATTTTCGCTGTGTACCATAATTGAATAACACTGACATGGTACATTTCCAGGTTCTACAATGAAGTCTGTAGACTGCAGACCACGAACTACGAAGAAAGTTTTCAACTTTTCAGACACAGCTAACATGTAGTAGGTCAGTCCTTGAGTCTTGGTCTAGCTGACAGTCTCCGCTTACCCTTCATAGGTCTTGGTCGCCTGGTGAGCTGCCACACAACTGAACGCCCAGACAGCGATCAGACACAGCAGCGCTCTCATTTTGAAAGAGGCTGGTCTCTTGGAAATTTTCCGCGGGTTTCTGCTTCACTTTGAAGAGAGGCAGGAAAGAGATGCGCCTTCCTATTTCGTTGAACAAACCGGCGTCAAACCTGCAAAGCAAGCTCTGGCCGAAAACCATGAAGACCGGATCGACAAAATGGGTCTCCAAACTCTCCACGGCCACCTCAGCGGCTGGACAAGCGTCGATCGGATTGGTACCTCCCACGTGACTATCATGCAGCACGTGATTCTTGTTCATGACGTATCATTAATTTTGGTCCTTTTTCGCAAAACTTTCAAGCAAACCACCAGTACAGCATACCGGGTGCGAGGTAAGTCATGTGGCCACTCGCGTACTCGGTCAGTCGTCATCGCGTTCGAGTTTCGTTTCAGAAGTCGGCATCAATTTTTTTCAGATCCTTGAGCTACATGTACTTTGATTTTTTTATTGCCTTTGAAGTGAACAACTAACTATTACTTCGTAGTTTTGCTAACTTCGTAGCTTTGACTTTGCTTTTGGATTGATTCCTTGGAGGAAGTCATCATGGCGTAAGTATTCTGATAAAATCTATGTTGCCACTGCCAAAGGGTGCGAATCATATTTTGTGATTGGCTGTGTCTTGATATTCTTTATTTACCAGGGCCATAGCAAAACCGAAATCTGAAATGACTCAGGAGGAATTGGAGGCCAGGGAGCAGGAGGAATTTAACACTGGACCCCTGTCAGTACTAACAGAGGCTGTGAAAAATAACACTCAAGTGCTGATCAACTGCAGGAATAATCGAAAGCTGTTGGCCCGCGTCAAGGCGTTTGATCGCCATTGTAACATGGTGCTGGAGAATGTGAAAGAAATGTGGACTGAGACTCCTCGTACTGGCAAAGGCAAGAAGAAGGCCAAGCCAGTGAACAAGGATAGATACATCTCTAAGCTCTTCCTTCGTGGAGACTCTGTGATCCTCGTGCTCCGAAACCCCAAGGCAATTGCTGCCAGATAACTACCTCATCGTTGTGAAATAGTGTGAGTTCTGAAAGTTTGACATGTCAATAGCTGTGAATACTACTGTTCCATAATTAGGTCAACCCTTATACTGCCCCAGCTTTCACTTGTTCTGTTGGTGAATGCCGCATAGTCCATGCAATGCTGCCGCCTGCGCTCAGTACGGGGCTCGATGTGTTTAGATACGAAGTCCGGTTTCATCCACCTTTGCTGTAATCTTGCGTGCGCGTGTTGATCTGCTGAATATGCTTACCGCGTGTGGATAACACAAAATACAATGTTTGACCATTGAGCACTGCAATGGTATGCACATGCGATTGTTAGTGAGAAGGCATGTGCGGCGGTGACCTCCTTTGTTGTCTGCTGGCCTTGGAAAAGCTAAGCTCATTGGAATTGAAATGGAAACGCTGCGCTTCTTTTGACTCACGAGTCGGATTTCTTTGACCACAGCTAGCTGTCAGTTTGACCAACCCTTTTAAAATTGAAAATACCACTGGACAACAAACGGTTCGACTTCACAACATGCCTGTTTTCCTAGGCTATGCAGGCACTGAAGCGTATAGACAACCGTGTTGTGCTGATTCAATGCTACAGTTCAGTTCTGTATAAGAGAGCTCTGCCACCCAGGTGTCAAGCACTCTGTGAATAGTGGAAGAACTTCCCCCACCCCTCCCCCTCCATTGCGCTGTCTTCCGGGAGTGGGTACACGGCATGTGTAGTGGGGATTACCGCTAAGCCCGTGTATAGGCCCGGGCGTATAGAATAGCAGCCTCGATTTCCTGGGCGGATACAAGGGCACGGGCGTATACTTGGAATAGGGATAGCAGTATGTACCGTATTTTCCGGGGTATAAGCCGCACTTTTTTTCGCTAAAAATCGGACCAAAATCGCCCCTGCGGCTTATACACCGAATATGCTTGCGCGAATGAATGCTTAGCGTACATCAGTATGCATGCTGACGTCATGTGACATGTCATTCGACTCAGCTTCGCGCCGGCGCCTGTGTTGCTATCCCGGCACTTTTACTAGTTTTAGTGCATCACTATCAGTGGCAGCGAGACTGAAGATAGTGCAGAATGATGACATGGAGTGATCTGTAGTCAACACAGCAATACACCAACATCTCTGCAGCAACCTGTGGTGCACTAACACTTCATAATCTGATCTAACATGGTATTTAGCTCCATAACCATAATAAATTTGTAGAAAGGCCATTTGTCAATGAGTGTGAAAAATCTTGGTTTGTGGGTGCGGCTTATACTCCGAATACCAACTTTTAGTCAATATTTTGCCTCAAAAAGGGGGGTGCGGCTTATACCCCGGTGCGGCTTATACCCCGGAAAATACGGTATTGGGTATCAGTACCTGTTCATGTACTGGTGTTTCCGGCATACCTGGGCGTATGCATGGGCATGGGCGCTATTTTGAAACAAAAATGTTGACTTCCCCTGACTGGGTGTGTACACGGAGGGTGGGCGTAATTATTATTTCGAGTGGGCGTATACAGGGGCTTTTACGGTATGCTAACAATAATGTCACAGCCCCAATTTGAGTGGATGTACATGGTGATCCACTAGGCTTGAACAAATTATACCAGTACCCGTTAATTGGCCGTTATCATTCCAATCAACCAATCGATAGATTGTAGATTACTAGTACCGTATTTTCCGGGGTATAAGCCGCACCGGGGTATAAGCCGCACCGGGGTATAAGCCGCACCCCCCTTTTTGAGGCAAAATATTGACTAAAAGTTGGTATTCGGAGTATAAGCCACACCCACAAACCAAGATTTTTCACACTCATTGACAAATGGCCTTTCTACAAATTTATTATGGTTATGGAGCTAAATACCATGTTAGATCAGATTATGAAGTGTTAGTGCACCACAGGTTGCTGCAGAGATGTTGGTGTATTGCTGTATTGACTACAGATCACTCCATGTCATCTGCACTATATTCAGTCTCGCTGCCACTGATGTTGATCAGCAACACAGGCGCGAAGCTGAGTCGAATGACATGTCACATGACGTCAGCATGCATACTGATGTATGCTAAGCATTCATTCGCGCAAGCATATTCGGTGTATAAGCCGCAGGGGCGATTTTGGTCCGATTTTTAGCGAAAAAAAGTGTGGCTTATACCCCGGAAAATACGGTACTTGTAATGGTAAGGGATTTAGGGTTGCAGTACCAACAATTAGACTGTGAAATTTCAACCAGTTGCCACAGTGAATATGCTCTTGCCAGTGGCAATTACATAATTGTGGTGTTTTGAGGTTCAATTGAACTGGAAATGACCCTCTTAGCTGCCCTTCCATCTATATGTATTTTCATTGGTCTGATATAAAGATTTCGGATAATACTAGAGAGCAAGTTGCAGTTGGCTCGTTAGTCTGACACAGCTTGCAAACAATCATGATTGAGTTTTTGGTCGGAAGAGAAATCGGTAGGTGAAAATGATCGTTCCAGCCCTAAAATCCATGATGAAACCCCTACTTCTCTAGCAACATGTAGTGGTCTTGCTGGATTTATCGCTTCTACATCTCCTCTGCTTAGCTATATTCATGTGCGCCTCAAATTTCCTTCGCTATTGACGGTGAACTCTTGCTTCCCTTCGTGTACATCTTGCGTAGTGGTCTTACAGTGGTACATGCACACTGCTTTCCAATCTGGTGGGGTTTCGTCATTGGGATTCTTGTGTCTGTTCCCGGCACCAAGAATAGTTTCTGTACCATAGAGAGGTTCTGCTATACGTGAAACGCAGAGAAATCGCGTAGGCCCGGGAACTCTCTTCGCGTTCCCGTAACGTAAAGAAAATCTGTTCTGCTCTACGTTCACGTAGAGAAATCACGTGGAATGTGTACTGGGACTTTCCCCGTCCATATTTGGCAAGTTTTCTGCCTGCACTTGATCGATGCCCAGCAGATCCGTACGCATTTTCTCTGCGTGTGCCACAACGTAGAGAACCTCATCTCCGAGTAGAAATCTGGACCCAAAACACGCGAAGCCGTAGACTCTAACCCAGACACCTGCTCTCTACGTGATTTCTCTACGTTTCACGTATAGCAGAACAAACTAAACCTTCCTTATACGCACTTGATAACAGCGAGTCCAAACAGTGCTATCGTCCCCAGGAGTCACGTGTGACGAGCAGCAGTGCATATGTGTGTTGGTGCAATGAATTCATGAACTTCAGTAGAATGTACATGTACATGATTGTACTTCATAGTTCAAACGGCCGTACAAATACAGTTGTGTGTCAGTAATGCGGCACCCTTGCGGCCGGACGCTGTAGGAGAATGAATACCGGTATTCTGGATAACTGAAGCTGCATAGCCATCTTGTACTCACACATAGAAAGGACTGAAGAGCATGATTGTACTTCTATATCTTGATGCTCTACTGCTACTACAAAAATGTAGTATCCTGAAACAGTCATCATGCTCATCTATAGACTGACTTGCATGTAATGTTACAGAAAGGCAAAGTTCATGATGCTCACTGTCCACGTTTGAGGGCTGTAAATAGACAGTGTATGATCTGTCAGTATACTGCAACTGTCTGTTGGATGACTGAGCGCCGGATGAGTGCATATCAAAGGTCACACAAATACTCAAGTAGTAATATCCTTAAAAAAAACAAAAAAAAAACATCGCGTATTCATTAGTTGGTGGAGTTGAAAAAAGGACGAAATATCAGAAGAAAATCTGACTGTCGCCGGCTGGACTGAAATCTTGGGAGCAGGGAGTCGCCGAATACCACGTCAAATATCTATTAATTTTGACGACTTCCCGCTTAGGACCAGATATGCTCAACCACTGAGCTATGGTGCATCCATTATAATTATTTCATACATAGTATGTTCCAGGGAGTAGTATTTTTACTGAAGTCACACTGCCGGATACTCGTAGACCCATGCGTACATTGTGATGCTGGCCTGGTTGTAGCCCAGTGCGGCGGTGTGACTGTCGGTGAGGTTGTGCCGTGTCAGCCTGTAGTCCGGCGCTGCATTCTGCTGTGCCGTGACCGGACAGGCTCCCGGTGCCTGGCCGTGGTACGCCCATTCGCCGTTACGCCACAGCAGCTTCATGGAGCTCGAGAACACCACCGGGTCTTCCTCGAAGAACTTGTATGCACTCATGGTGCCAGGTCCCTGCTTGCATGTCAGCCCAGAATGGTCGCTGTGGAAAATGCCTGCGTTAAAGTAGGATGCCGACAGAAAGAAGTCCTCCGTGCCAGACGATAGGTACTGGATGGGCTTGTCGTCGATTTCCACGCGGAAGCAGCCCTCCAAGTAGGAGAAATCAGAACTGCTGCCACCGAATGTAACCTGTAGCAAATGTTCACATACCGCACACGCAGGCACGCACACATATAAAATTATAAATACACATGCACTTGTACTTATACTTGCTCACTGCCATAAAATGGTCACGTGCCTCCCAGTCGAAGAGGGGAGAGGGATTCTAAAGGAATCTTAGAAAGATGACTCAATTGGCTATTGAACCGCCCAGCTGACACCCCCTGAAATGCCCAGACTCTGGGTTGACTTGGAAGTGATCCAACTTATGGGCTCATCACACCTCGGTAAAGCAAGCGGGTGAGAACAAGGTGGTGAAAAAGATTGACGGCATCATGCATTATGGGATATAAAGTACTATTCTTCGCCCCTGCTACCTGTGCCCGTTATTTGACCTGAGATGTGCAGTACCTCAGCTACGAGATTTTTACAGCCCTTGGAGGTACACGTTATAGGCGGTTCACACGGCAGGAGAATCTGCTGCCTGATGATTGGTTGTTCAACGCCGAGTTACAACAAACAATACCTTACTTTCCTGTGTATCTCTTTTGTACTGCGCTCTGCCCATCTCAGGAAATGAGCACGCTAGCAGGCTAACCCCAGATTATGCACTCTTGGTTCGATGATACTGATCTGCTTCATTGTACTTCAAAGTATCAAGAGTACATCACCTGGCTAACATGTTTTCCAAGCCAACAGCATGTTACAAGGCGAGGACGTGCAGTGCTCCTGACTACAACCAAAACCCGGTTGGCAGAGTCCCGGTCTTGCGACCATTTCAACCTTATGGGGAAACCCCGGTTCGCACCCTCTTTATGGTCGCAAGACCGGGATTCTGCCAACCGGGTTATGGTTGTAGTCAGGAGCACTGCACGTCCTCGCCTTGTAACATGCTGTCGGCTTGGAAAACATGTTAAACCTATCAAGCAAGGCTTCTATATTATGCCATAACGTGGTTATGTGCCCTTGATTGTATGGAATACGTTAGTCTGGATGGAGCACACGTCATTACGGGTTGTCCGTAATTATCGATCTTTTTCACGAAGAGAACAAGTTTCGTTTATGGGTGGGTGGGTCGAGGAGAGTTTAGTTTTGAAAATTATTGATAGCTGAAACATCAATCTATTCTAGCTGTCAAGTCAATCTATTTTTCGTTGAAGTGGGTGGGGGAGGGTCATAACTAAACTTCTTCGTTTCGTGAAACATGTCGATAATGCCGGGTGGCCCCTTTAAAATAACAGGTTGTACTGTACCTGATAGAGCCAGCCGGATGTGTTGGCTGGCGTGGCGGCAGCAGTCAGATACTCTAGCGGCTCCATGGTAACGTTCTCCGCCTTGTACAGGCGCAGGCGCGTGTTGCTAGGTAACTCGTACTCACCGACGACCAGCGGCACGTTGCGCATGCCGCGTCCGATGTACCAGTACCAGCCGCCGACCGGGGTCCACGCCGTCACGCGGATGCTGCTGCCGAACGGTATGCGATACGTGTTGTATATTCCGCCATCGGCTTCGTGACCTATACGCTTGGTGCCCCAGGGCAAGTTGGCCTTCTCGGCCGACTCCGGACATCCAATGCCATGTCCCCACAGCAGCATGAAGTCTATCGACGCTGCCGTCTCGTTGTCAACGTACACGCGTATGCGCGTGTTCTCATTCATAACCCCTGTGCTTGGTGAGCTTGTGAACCACTGCTCCGTGAGGTAACCGGGCGCGCCAGGCGGCACGTTCAGAATATCCGTCTCTGTTGCTGCGTCCAGCCAGCCGTTCTTGGTGGCTGCTGAGATCGACTCTGCTTTGCTATCCAACTTGATCGCTCCATGAGCGCTGGCAATCATTGATGCGCCAGCGACCACAAAGAGCGTCCAAACCTTGATCGGTGCAGTCATGATTCTTATTACGCGCAGGTTTGCTCCAACCGATTGAACGTCCTACAATGCTCGCCGGCGGTGTTCGTCTCTTCTTGACCTACACACTTGTACAGGGTAGTATTTAGAAAAGCGATCCTGTCAGCTTTTCTATTTGCGGGTGTGCTGTTAGTGTAGTGTAGGGACTGGCAATCCGCAAGACTGAACTACTACTAGTACTAACTACTTTTCTGAACTCAGCAACTGAATTGCGGACGCTTCACTCCACTCTCCATGATCCAGCGCAGGGCAAAAGTCTGTCTGTGCTGTTGCTCTTTCTTATATGTAGTCGCCAAAATGATAATCACGACGCTAGCCGTCAACTCGGAAGATCGTTCTGTGCCATGCCGTCAACAAGAGTTTTGCCTCACGCGATCACCAAGGAAGAGTAGCCCCTGATCTACTCGTAGCAGTTGGACTTGGACTTGTTGTACTTGTATTGGAGCACATGGTGCACCGGCGACGAGCGTATCGATCGAGTGAATGGGAGAGCCGCCTTGGCTGCATTCACGAAGCTCAAACTGAAAAAAGTCAAAACTCCAGACTTTTTTTGTTTCATGTTTTCTGTTTTGAACGATCGACGAAGTGTTTTTGTTACGTTGTTCATTTGTTGTGGCCGTGTTCCCAGTTACGTTAATAGTAATAAAACAAGCCGTTCAGCTAGCTCAGTGCTCCTGGTACTAGTATACACTTGCAAGGTCTGCTGTGAACTAGAGGAATATCAACCGTCATCATTTCGAGTTAGTGTATACGTTGATCACTCTTACTAGCCATAACACTATTGTAGCTGGCACAGGAGAAACGGTAAAAGTTTGAACCATACAGGTATTTGTATCTTCCTATTCAATTTTAATTAAAAAAACCCATAGAATTAGTACATGAACTAAGACATAGTTCAAGTGACGGTTTAAAAAAATTGGTCGTTAGGCGTCACATCATGGAAACAGCGAACAAGCCAGTAGCAGTGGTGACCGGCAGCAACAAGGGCATAGGCCTTGCCATCGTGGAGTCGCTGTGCCGCAAGTTCAGCGGGGACGTCGTCCTGACGGCACGGGACGTGGGCCGCGGCGAGAGTGCGTGCGCCGAGCTACTGCGGCAGAAGGGCCTGAAGCCGGTGTTCCACCAGCTGGACATCACCGACGACGGCAGCGTGCGCAGGCTTGCCGCGTTCCTGCAGTCGGAGTACGGCGGACTGGACGTCCTGGTCAACAACGCCGGCATCTACGTGCTCGCGAAGTGCGAGAAGAGCCCGGCCGAAAAGGCGCGGATCACCATGGAAACGAACTTCTTTGCCACGCACCGTGTATGTCAAGTGCTGTTCCCGCTGCTGAGAGCTGGGGCGCGGGTTGTGAACGTTGCATCCGGTCTGGGTCGCTTGAGCAAGGTGGGCAACGAGAGCTTGCAGGAACAGCTCGTGTCGCCGCAGCTCACTGAAAGCGATCTGCTAGGTATGGCCAGGGACTATGTGGCCGCCGCCGCCAACGAAAGCGGCGACACTGCCCCGTGGCCGGCGGATTCCGCCTACAGCATGTCCAAAGTCTTTCTCATCGGGCTGACGCGCATCCAGGCACGCGACGTGACTGCCGCGCGGCCCGCGCACAGCATTCTGATCAACTCCTGCTGCCCAGGATTTGTAGACACGGACCTGAACGAGCACAGGGGCAGGCTGACAGTGGAGGAAGGCGCCGAAACGCCCGTCGTGCTGGCGTTGCTGGATAAGGAATCACCGTCTGGGCAGTTCTACAAGAACACACAGGTGTGTGAATGGTGACCGCCACAGCTAGCCATGATGTACACCGTACTGGCGGTGAATTGAATTTTTAATTTTTTTACGAGAATCCACGAACCTCGAGAACAGAATACTGCATGATAGAGGTGACTACAGACGCAACTGTGGTGGTGAAACCGGGAGCATCTCCACCGACCTGAGATCTCGGCTTCAGCGACACTTCAGTGCAAATTACTTCAAGTATTTATAGCACTAACATTCAGAGCTAGGCAGGTTGCAATAGATGATGTGCCAAATAACGCGCAACTAGACTTGAGAGGGCATGGCACACAAGTTGCATACAAATTGTTCTACAATGTGTACACGATAGACCCTGAGCTCTGCAAGAATGCAAGTCACAGGTAACCGTACAACTTTGAACTTTGTATGCAACTACTCTGCAATGCCCTCTCAAGTCTAGTTGCACGTTATTTGGCATATCATCTATAGCACAAACAGTAATAGGAGCAGCAGCAGCAGCATTAATGATTGTATTCCACAAAAGCTGAGAGAGTTCTGTGTGGCTACGGCCGGATATGATTTCAGCACAGGTATTTGAGACAGCCGCCAAGCCTCTGTCGCTCACTATATCGGAAGTGGCTTTCCGTAACTTTGGTGTCTCTCAATGGATTTGAGCGAAATTTTCACCACACACTCCTGCCACTATGCTGGCCCTCTGGACATGATTTAAAAGTTCTTGTGCCTCACTGACAGGCGCTAGGCTTTCCAGGCCGGAAAAACTCAAAATTCCGGCATAGTGCCACGGTGTGCAAGCCACCCAGGTGCCAAAAAAATGCATTTACAATTTTTTTCACATTTTCTTGCCCATTCTGTCCGTGCGCGGGATCCAAACCTAACCTAAAAAAGTCCAGAAGCAGCCATGGGTGGTGGCAAGAGTACATAACCCCCTGGGGGGTTATGTACTCTTGGTGGTGGGATAGGGCCCCTCAACGTGGCCCTGGGATCTGTCACAACGGCACGAGTGGGCGTTCTCTCACAGACTCGTACTCCCACAGACCGAAATTAATATTTTTGGATTTTTTTTAGTGAAAAATAAATTTCACCATTTCTTTGATCGATGGCCAAGAAGCTCGAAGGTCAAGTGCTTCGTATTATAACTTTCAATTGCGCAACGTGCATCAATTATGCAAATTGCAATTGATTTCTTCTCCGGTGGAGGGCCAAGGATTAATTTATAAGAAGAAAAGAGGACCAAAGATGCTACCAGCCTAGTTACGCTATAAATAATATCCACTAACACCACCAGTTACTTCACAATCAGCGCATTGCACGACACTGGCCAACGGTACAGACGTTCTACACCTACATGTATAATAATTAGGAGATCCCCAGATAGGCGTTAGCCTTTGGGTAATCCTGAAATAAAGATTAATATAATGTAACTGGCAATCAGCTCTAGCACTTCTTGGATGCGCGCTCCAACAACCTTCCAGCTTGGAAGGTTCAACACGACAAAGTAAGTTGTAGAAATAACACAAGGAGGGGAAGGTGAGCGCAACCAAGACAAGCATGAGCTGAAAGTCTCAGCAAGAGTGTGAAGATCGTTGGCCAGGGGCGTAGCCAGGATAGTGATCAAGGGGGGTGCCACGACTTTCCCCACACAAAAGTACAGTAGTCATGCACTTATGTTGGTCCTTTCATGCATATTATTCGATCCGTGAATTGGGGGGGGGGGGGGGGGGAGCAAAATTACTAATTCGACGCTGAAGATCAATCAGTGAATGGCAAATCTCCAACCAGGGAGTAGTAATGATTATGGTATTTTACTACACCCTGGCGTGCTTCCAACTAATGATGGACTAAGTCCTGGATGCTGCTTTCTCCAGAATTATCACACTCTCCATCGAACTTTTAAATTAAAGTGGGATTTCTCGAGCCATTTTTCCCCTTCGTCATGTTTGATAGTGCAGTAAGGCATCCTTGGTCAAACCTACACTATTTCCCACAAAAACTCAAAATGCACTTCAACGTTACTTTCACTCTTCTACTGCTGTATCCACACTTGCAATACATGAAAGAAACTTTGCCTTTCCACAACGAGACCAATTTACAGCGAGAACTACATTATACAAAACATAGCGAGAACAAACTGCTATGTCTGACGTGTGCTTTCCGGCCATAGACCGCGTTGCTACTTCCTTGCTTCTACCAATGGCGTGTTTGTATGATTCTTTGCTTACAAAACATGTGGAGTGCGATGCAAATCATGTGCTGAGCCTGCTGAGGCCTGATGTGACACTGCACAACGGCAGGTACGAAGCGGAGTTCCCTTGACTAGAAATTTCATTGCAAAATGGCCAATCATGAGACACTGCATGTGGTTTGGTTTCAGATACATTGTGCTTGCAGGTCTGAACCAGGAAGTAGAACCTACTACTCCATGCTGGTCTAAAACAGGGCAGGGATGGCTACAGTGTGCGATGTGCAGAGTTGCGCATGTGATCAGCGGGTCTGCTATAGTCTCTCTCGAACCAGCTAGCTGTGAACCAAGATCGAAATATTTGAGGGGGGTGCTTTGGCACCCAAAGCACCCCCTTCCTGCCTACGCCCCTAGCCCTGTTGGCGGATGTACATGCACATGTACAGTCAACTTCGTTTATAACGACACTCGGCGGGGCATCAACAAAGTGTCCTTATTCGCGAAGTGTCGTTATACCCGAAGTCTCATTATAATTAGTATTACAGTTGGATGGAACTTTGCTCTGGGCATGGACATTCTGTCGTTATTCGCGAATTGTCGTTATATCCGCAGTCGTTATTAGCGAAGTTGACTGTATGTCAAGAACGATACTGGCAAGACCGGCATCAGACAAAACGGTCAAGGACGTATAGCAACATACCACACAACTAACTTACTTGTGTGGCTCTAAAGATTCGAAGATCAATTGGAGGGGAAGCTAAGCGAACATGAATTGGGAAGAACCGAACGCCTCGGTACTACAGTAGAGTACTTCGACCAAGACATTTGAGATGAAAAAATAAGCAGCAGTACCAAGCAGCAGTTTGACACGACGATCGTTTCGCCGTATGGTAGGGACGGCTCATAAGATAGGTGTGCATAGTTAGCTCGGACTCGGGTGGAGGGCCAAGGATTTAGGCTGCGTTTACACGACAACGATTGAAAACGATTTGCGTTTACACGACAACGAAGTAGGACCTAAACGGAACGAAATCATTGCGTTTACTACTATCGTTTACACGACAACGCCCGAAAACGATACCTAAACGGAACGAAATGGAAACGCACTTCAAAGTGTTTTGAAACGTTTTCAAAACGTTTTCAAAACGCTTTCGTTCTCGTGTAAACGGTGAAAACAGTGAAAACGATTGGAAATGGAGCGCGGTCATGGAAACCATTCCGCGCGGGACTGTATTTCGCGGGGAATACCTGACCTTTGCGACCACCAGCACGTACCAACTCCAACTAACGTGTTACTTCCCGCCCTTGCGCCAAGTCAGCACGTGCTAACTCCAGCCTGATCGCCCGTTTTCCGTTTTCGTGTGAACAGTTCAAAACGGTTTGCCGTTCTCGTGTAAACGGTTTGAAAACGATTCGAGGCCAGCCCGTTTTCGTTCCGTTTCGTTTCGTTTCGTCTCCGTGTAAACGCAGCCTTAATAATAATATTTATAAGAAGAAAAGAGGACCAAAGATACAAGTTACGCTATCATATCTACTACCACCACCAGTTACTTTACAATCAGCTCATGCGATAGTATTGCACGACACTGACCAACGACTCGTAGACCTACTGACGTTCTACACGTCACCTAACTGGCAATCAGCTCTAGCACTCCGTGGATGCGCACTCCAACAGCTTTCCAGCTTGGAAGGTTCCAAGTAACATAACACTGAAATCTGTGGACAGCAACTGTTTCGCTCTGTTGTATATAGAAATTACATAACGAGGTAAGGGGAAAGTGAGCGCAACCAAGACAAGCACGAGCTGAAAGTCTCAGCCTCGACTTACATGATGTACATGTACATGTACATGTACATCCACCAACGTCCTTCACAGCAAGGTTGCCTGCGGTCAGAAGTGTAAACTACTGGAAGGAGCCTAACACAATGATTATGTCCATGAGGCTTCCTGGGACACCAAGTAGGTTTGATCCATCGCGGATATTCCACGAAGACTTGCACTTTCCACACTGCCACTGACACCTGTCTGCCATGTGAATAAGTGCAAAGGTAAAAGGGCATGTGACAAAATTATGCTAGGGACCGTTTACATGAACCATTTACATCTGTCATATACCCGTTCATTGAGAATCACCTTCCTTCTCGCCAAGAAGCATAGCAATGACTCTTTGTCCTGTGTATCCGCAGCTATGTCCTTCCTGGTCCACATCTCCTGATCCTTCAACTGCTCATTGTCCAGTATCGTACTTGGTTCCACAATCGTATGGCGGTGAGGTCATCCCTCAGCAGCAACAACTGAAGCTCCTGGGACTGGGAGTCACGCTTGACTCCATGCTCGGTTTTGGCGCCCAGCTCCGGACAGTTGCCGCCCGGGCGAACTGCGCAAGGCAGCTCAAGTCCTGAACGGTCCTGGCATGCTTGTCGCGTACCGTGGCTTAGAAACACCACTTTTCGAGTACACTCCCCTTGTCTGGATGGGAGCTGCTCCCACGGCCACCAGCCTCCAGCAGGCGCGTTCAGCGACGGGCCCTGCACATCCTGGGGCCCAACGTGCTGCTGCAGAGCCTCAACGCAAGGCGGACGTCGACGGACAGTACACTAGTGCGTAGTGGCCGCATTGTCATTCCTGTACAACATGTACAAGCTGCATGCTGTGCCTGCCTGGTCTCCCTCTACTCATATCAATGGTTCCTCCTCGCCTCAATGCCCGTGCTGAGCCCGTAACTCGCAGGCAATGTCGGAAAACCGCTGTTCACCCGTATCATTATTTTAACACTCTCCCCTCAACTGCTCCCCATTCCCTTCAGCGCCCACTATTAAATGGCCTTGTAATTATTTGCTGTCATCGGTATACAATGGTCATGTTTGACAGCATGAAAAATAATACCAATGGTCATGTTCTAGCAGGCACCGGTTTTGTTCTACTCCCCGAGGCCTGACGCACGGTAGTGGTAGTCTACACCATAGCCAGCCAGGTTCTATTAGTATTTTTAGTACTAGTCTATCGTCTCGATGATCACGGAAGTCCACGTGTCACACAGCTGGTTCCAGCAGCCACCGCAGCTGACGCGGTAAAGAGGAATTTTGGAACGGCTTCACTGGACCCGAATGGGAGTGGGCATAATTTGTCTGTTATGTCACTCTTTTAGGACCTGCAGAATTAGACCAAGGATATACGTGTACATACTGTGCTTGTCTGTTCGAACTTCGTAGCATGGGTGATCTAAGTTATAAACGCGCACTGTTTTCATAACAGCATGGATGAAGGAGCAGGCTTCCTTCTGGCCACAGCGCAACCGTTCCAAAACGCCTTCCCTCCGGGAAAATCAGGTGATGGGGATGCAGCGGGGGACGGGGGACTTTCGCTCGCTCTCTCTCCCTCTGCTGGCAACTGTTTGCGTGGGTTGTGACCTTTATAGTATACCTACAAGCACGTGCGGCTGGCTGATTTGCGAAGACGCCGCTTGAAACAGCTTCTTTCTCACCGGCTTGGAACGGTTTCCGCTATCAGTATCACAGCACTGAGCACCACCAATTATGACGTTCATGAACACTGCTCAACGTTCAACCCATAAATTATAATATTCAGCCTCTACTGGATGGTGGTATGTGTTCGTGTAATTTTTAGTCTGAAGACTGAAGCCTGCAACTACACTATGCTTCAAGGTGTGATGTGCCGGTGCTATCTCGTCTCAAGTCAAGGGTGAGAGGACTGAGTGAGAAGCGAAGTAATGTACAGCCACCGTAGTATTCGTAGACCATTGTGGCTGTTCCCAGCCATCTGTGGTGAAGCACGCATGACTATGCTGTGCATTACAGATCAGAGTCGGCTTTCATGACACTGTACTTGCACTGTTGCAGATAACAATTACATGCAGCTTCACAATCATGTTTTGCAAGAGCAACGTTCTGCGCACAGAGAGTTCTTCTTTCATGGTCTTCAGTCCTTGCCAATGCCAATGGATCCACAGAAAGCGGTGGTAACGATGTAGAATCATGTAAACCTACACGAAGCATAAGTATTAGTACACTATACTTGATTCGTTATCAACTTTAACGATGCGTATTGATATGTAGGACTACTGTATGTTCAAGACGACCTATTGTAGACACGAACACAGGTCAGTATGTCAGTAACAGTTAGGGCAGTGTGTAGATCTACAGTCAGTCACCATGGTCACTACGAGTACGAGTCAGTACACTTGGTGGACTGTGCCAGACACTGAGCCAGCAGCTCGTCAGGTGGCACTGACACCGAACTGCCTCAACAGCACTGACACCGAACATGTACAGCCTCCACACTCCACAGGCACCCCAACGCCTGAGTGTACAACCCCACACTTTTTGTAGCTCCGTCTTGACTTCACTTCTCTTCAGCTCAAGTCAGGACAGGATAGGAGTCAGGCCTCAGGGTCCACGTCTCCTGCCTAGCGCCTGGCTCCAGTCCAGCGCATGCTAGACTCTAGTCTCTACGCGAGTCAGCATGACCATGATGACCGTGAAGTCGAAGTGCGATGTACACCATGGTACACGTACACTGATGACTACATGGTACCACATGAGTACAAACATGCTGCATACTCATTATTGAATATTGTCACCAAGGCAGGCGGGCCAGCCAACCCTTGTTCTGCGGGCCTTCACGAAACTGCTGTCTCTAGTCTAGCCTGATTCTCTGTTTGAACCGCCTCGGATATTTTTACTTTGCAGCCTACATGGATAGGCGACGAATATGACTGGGGAGTTGGGATTACATGTAGTAGTTTGACGGCAAGCATTCCGTTGCCTTCACTTGTAGTTGAGCTGCTTTGTGCTATTCTTTCACAAACCGCCAAGGAAGACAACTGGTGTGAACTGCTAGCTATTAGTAGCTCTTCTTTGCGCGGCAACATCATCAAGACTTAGTAAGCCTCTGCCTAGACTGTACTGACTGCGTCTGTGGTCACCGATCAACTAACTATTACTTTCCCAGGCCTGGGCTTTCCCGCGTCCCGGCCTCAAACTAGTCAAAACTACCGAGCGCTCCAGTGCAGTACAAGCGAGCACAGGAAATTATATGGTTTCCGAGCGGACGTATCTACCGAGCCCCGGGGCCCCGTGCCAACTATATCAGTACTCCTGGCTATTTAGCCTGTAGCGCATGCAGAGTTAGACGGGCACAGACTCAGATCTCCAACGCCCAACGGCCCAACTGCCACAGCGCCAACAGCTTCTGGAACGTCCTTTATTTCAAACGTTTCTGAAATCTGCTATTTGTCAGTAGTTGTGTGTAGCCACCATTCGTCCGCGTGTAGTTTTGTGGGCGTGAGCGACCGGTCGACCATTCCGCTTTCGGCACCGCCCTGGATCGAGAGGAATGAGTCGCGGGGCGGCCAAGAAAGTCCTGAGAAGGACATGGCGGACTCGCGGCATTCGCCTGAACGCTGATACGCCGCTGAATGATGTAGAGATCACCAATGTGGTGCTGGGGTCCGGGTCGTTTGGAGCGGAAGACGTACGCGTGGCCCGATGGTGCGGGGCCAAGGTAGCGGCCAAGACGCTCCAGCGGACCACGGAAGAGGGACGGAGAGGCTCGAGTTCGGCCGAAGAATCAACGCTGGACTTGCGCTCGTTCTCGACGCACCAGCGACGCGTGCTGCAGGAGTGCCATCTGATGGGACAGCTCCGTCACCCGAACATCGCCCAGGTCTATGGGGTGTTCATCCGACCAGATGGTAATCCGGTGATTATCAGCGAACTGCTCGGCGAGAGCATGCAGCAGCGACTGGCGTTCGGCACGCGCCTGACGTACCGTGACGTGGTGGACGTGGCGCTAGATGTTCTGCAGGCCATGCGCTACCTACACACGCTGGCACACCCTCTACTGCACGGCAGCATCTGCACGAGCAACGTCCTGTTCTCGCTCGGCGGCAGCGTGAAGCTCACGGACAGCAACCTGGCGCTGGCACGCCTGCACTCGGCCAGTCACTCGCACATGGAGACGATGCCGGAGCAGCACGTGCTGACCTCCACACCCACCTCTGCTCTGTCCCTAGGCAGTGGCATGGACGGCGGTGGCGGTGGTGCTACGGCGGATGGTGTGGCGCCGCGCAGCGCCAGCGCCCGGCTCTACCTGCCGCTGGATGCGCTGGACCACGACTGCTACGACCTGGGCATTGACACGTACAGCTTTGGCGTGCTAATCATGGCCATGGTGCTGCACAGGGAACCCAACGTGGACGAAGTCACCAGGCCGAGCGGTGGCGGCGGGGATCGCCAGCGCAAGCTGTCCAACGTCAACGTGGAGCGCTCTCGCCGCGCCACCGATCTCAAGGCGCTGTCGGCAGCGTCGCCGCAGTTCATGGACCTGGTGGACCGGTGCATGGACGCCATGACACTGGACCCGGCTGATAAAACCGACGCTGCAAGTGCAGGTGCAGGCTCTGGTGGTGGCGCTGGCAACAGCGAGGAAAGCCAGGACGTGGTGGACTGCGGCCTGGAGCGCGCCGTCTCCAGAGAGCTGTTCGGCCTGGTGGAGGCGCTGCGCAGGCGCGACGACTATGTGCGCTGGCCGTCGACGCGGTGCTCGCCGTTTGCACGCGGCCTCCAGGAGCAGGCGGACCTGGCGCTGGCCGTGCGCGGCCTGGAGCGACAAGTCCAGGAGACGGTGGACGCCGCGACGGCCACGCTCGCCGACCAGGAGAAGCAGCTGGAGCGGCAGGTCGGCGAGCTGGCCAATATGCACCAGCAGGAGAGGCGACGGCACACGGCGCGTATAAAACAGCTCGAGGCCAAGCTGAGCGCGTTTCAACGCGAGGCGGCCAGCAATGGCAGCGGTGAACTGTCGATCCACCGTGAAGGCAGCGAGTCCGGCGACAGTGGTGATGTCCGCTCTCAGTCCGCCATCTCCAGGAGTATGTCGTCACCACCGCCGCCGCCAACACAGTCCATACCACGCTCTGCGTCAATGCAGCAGCAGCAACACAAGTTCTCCTTTCAGGCAAGTCCCAACTACAACCGTCGTCACTCGGATGATAGTGTGGCGACCAGGGACACCTTGTCCCCGCGGAACGACGACGGATCGCAAGAAGAGACCGACTATGATGGGCCCGTAAGTGCATATGCACTGACGCACACACGTGCACACACGTGCACACACACGCATACACACACACATGCACACACACGTGCACACACGCGCACACACACATGCACACACACGTGCACACACGCACACACACACACACACACACACACACACACACACACATACACACACACGCACACACACACACGCACACACACACACACGCGTAGGCACTGCTGCTGCAGTAGTGCACGATGCACAATGTGCACAGCAAATGATTTGCTTCGTTCTGTACCAGTATGCATCAGGGAGTCGCAGCATGCACGTGTATCCTCAAGAAGGAAAACGACACGGGCGACTGTAGCGCTAAATCATGCAGGTTGAAACAATGAAGTGGCCAAGGGTGCAGTTTAACCTCACACATCCGTTTCCACTAAAATATTCGGATAAGCGAGGGAACCGGATAATCGAACGCACATACTGTATGTATGCATGACATGCTATAAATCGGCGACGCAACGATTTTCTTCCGGATGACGAGGGATCCGGATAAAAGAGGACAGGATAAGCAAGGTCTGACTGTACTACCATCTTCTGGCACACACTACTAGCTTTGCAGCACAAAGGCCTGGGCAGTCTACTGGCACACTGAGAACGGAATCTTTTTTTAATCCACTCTGTGGTTATCGGGCGAGGCAGATGTTATCTTCCACTCAGAGGGTGGTTAATGATGAGCCAAGTTCTTCGATTCAAACACTCTGCTGTGCTGTGTATAGCTAGCTGGTGCTGTACCGACTCGTTTCTGTGTCCTGGTTGTGGTGTGTAGGGTCACATTTGTGAGGTGCACATCCGGGTGCCGAGTGGCGGTTTGACTACTGTGCAGGTGAGGTGTTGCCAGATCAGGTCCTTCCAAGATTTTTTTTTGGGGGGGGGTGCAGGGATATATTTAAAGATTCTTTAGAGTTACTTTGGCAGGGTGGTGTTAGTTTAATACTGATAGTCCTTAGTTTCGCACATGACTTTGTTATTGAGGCTGTGTTGTACCGTTTGGGTATTTGACCTTTCCTGCATGGTTCAAAGACAAGCTGCTGATGATAGGCGATAACTTTGCGGATTGGAGAGTATTCAAAGCGAGTAAGCCACTGGGCAATGGCGTAGGAAGATGTTTTGATTTGGGGGGGGGGGGGGGCTGCTTTTCAGGCACTAAACGGCTCATGTGCTTATACCTGTTGTACATCTTGTACTGCCTAATTGCCAACATCACAAGGCATGAAAACCTCGTTGGCCTACGAATGCATTATACATGTATCTAAGAGACTGAATTCCTGGCCGCCCTCACCCTCACTATATTTTCCCTGTGTGCCGGTGTGCGGCTACAGATTGATAACCGCGACACTATCGGAGAAATCGTCCAGGGCCTCTGTGATGAGCATGGTAAGCCAGCTAGCCATGCATGAAATGTACTGATCCATGTGTGAGAAGAGGCAACAGTTGCGTTTTAGCTGTACACATTGCGGATACTGAACTACAGTAGAACCTGCCCTAACCGGACGCCTTTGGTGCAGCGGAAACTGTCCTGATATGACAGGATTCTGCTTGATCCAGAGATGCACGCTCGAACCACAGCAATATGGTGCATTGAAATTTGTCCGGGCAATGCAGGATTCCGCTTGGTACAGGGTCCGGCTAACACGGGTTTTGCTGCGCGCTGATTCTGTGCACTCTGTACTCGCTTACTACAAAAGGACTGCCTGGAGCTCAATTGAATTAGTGGACCGACGAGACAAAAAGGCTTGCCAAAAATCACCGCAATATTGAGTCCTGGCGGCCTGCGCTGGGATGTGAGAACTATTCACACATGTCCAGGCCACCGCGTGGCAGGACTCGGCCTTTATCCACTCACTGGATACCATACGACATCCACCGTCTGTGTTTGAAGAGACTTAGTGATGTACATGTACAGCAACTGAAGATTCCGCGGCATGTACAGAGGGCTGGGGCAACTGCTCATCAGACACTGCATTAGATCAACCTATGAGCGTATACATGTACATGCTAGCTGGAAACTGGACTGGAAATTGCGAATGCACGGGCCAATTCACCACCTGGTGGAAGTGTTACGCATGCATGCACTGTGCAATAAAATCATGTCACCAATTCTGAAGGATTCAGTGTGTCCGTATTGTTGCCCTGCCACAGGAATTGCTGACTTTGAAGAGTATTCCCTGCTCCTGGAGGACGAGGATGCTTTCTACGAGAAGGCAAAGAAGGTAAGGTCGAGTACTAGTATTGGCAGGTCCAGTTGTCTAAACTGTACATTGCAGTCTGTTTCTACATACAAGATGGTGAGACTTGGCGACCTCTGGTGAATGATGACAGCATGCTGCAGCAAGTACCTACTCTGACTAGCAGTTTCTGAGTTCTTTCCCCGTATAGAGGTGACACGCCTGCCAACCTTTGCAACCATGAGATCGGGACAGTGACATACCTAGGTATGAAAATGTATACGAATGTAGCTGTGAGGCAAGCGACAAATGCACTTTCGGGTGCCTATTACCACCCTCGATATCAGGACGGTCCCGGCCAAATCGGTATGGTAGGCAGGTATGAGGTTATGGGAATGATTTCATGGCGGTGAGTCGGCAGAATCGCGTATGGGCACTATGTATACAGCAGAACCACGTATGGACGTTATGTATGCAACGCTGTGCCGCAACTTCACCTAAGCATGTCAAGCGGTGATGTAATCGCATAACCTCTGTTCCCACACTTTCCTTGATATCCGACCATTTTAATTTGGTGCGCCGAAACTGGTCCAGCCATGCTAAGTATGAGCGACTGGCGTGGCTTCAATATTAGCCGTGTACATGATCCGAAAGCGGGTATGTTTGGTAGCTCGCACCAGTTATGCTCCTCAGCAGCGCACGCTATGCTTCCTGTGCATACACCACGTGCAGTTTCAGTGTAAGCCAATACATGTACACATTAGCTTAGCGGTAATCCTCTTTGGCCTGCGTCTGGCTGCAGGAGTCTGAGAAATCGCGGAAGACGTTCCGTGGCGAGAAGAAGCTGGAGAGTATTCGACGTCGATGGCGTGGCAATGATGTCTCCTGCTGTGAGTATACTATTTTGCAGCAGTGCCTCTGTATGTGTGTGTAAGTGTGTGTTTCGGGGGGGGGGGGGGTGCGTGCATACGTGCGCGCATGTGCATGCGCACGTGTCGATGCAGGTCACTGTGGGTCACTGTGTGTGTGTGTGTGTATGCTTGATGTGTGTTTCATGGACTGTTACCACCTGACCATTTGTGTTCTGTTCTTCGAACTTCTTTCCCTTTCATTCTTCACCCTCTCCCTGATAAAACTGCCTGTGGTCAGTGAACTGGCTTCAGCATGACAAAACGCTACAGGAACAAGGCATTGATACGGCTTCGCAAGTTCTCACTCTGAAGTAAGTATCGGCATGTCCCACAACTGCACTGCAACAGCACGAGCAAAACAACCTATTTCAAAGTGTGTTGTTCATTAGTTTATCACATGGCAGGTCATTCACTCTGATCGCTGAAATTGCCCCGCCACCACTAGGTACATCTGCTCCCTGCAGAGTAGCTTAGCCTGCCTCTTCCTCTTCCTTCATCCCCTGTCTTCTCAGTCGTCAACAGTGCCATGAAATGCTGAAATGGATGGAAATGAAATCCAACTGGGAAAGCCAACACACCTGCTCACGCCATCCCTGTGTTTGTTAGTATACCGCTCGCGCTTGGCTGCATTCCTTTCGAACCTTCCACGAAAAGAAAACGTGTGTGCATGCGTGCACACACACACACACATATACATGCTGACATACTCATCCTAAGAAGACGGCCTCAGCTATTCACAACCGTGTTCACGGTGTGTCTCACAGTACAGTATTCTCCCATCATGATATCACTGTGTATCATTCCTCTACCCCCGTGTGTTCATGTGGTGACAGGAAGCACACGCTGACGCCGGGACCTGAAGTTCGCATCGGCGCCGTTAGTGAGTTTGATGCTGAGTACAAGGAGGTAAGTACCGTCCACAGTAGAGGTGCGCGCCGAAGAACGGCGGTGTTGGTTTCCCGGCAGCTTGTGGGATACCAGGCAAGCACAGTGGGTAGGCCAAAGAGTCAAAGACCATGATTGAGATACGAGAGGTACCTGGTTCAAGTCCTGCCTGGGAGCGGTTTTTCCAGCCGTGCTGCTACCCACAGTCTACTGGGAACTTGTGGCCGGGCACAAGGGCTACATGGATGCGGCTAATGGGGTTTCTCGGCATCTGTGCCAGGGGTTGTGAGACTTATCCACTCACCCCCACCGTTAGGTGCTGCATCTGCCGCTAGGGTTTACCAGGTGTTAGCGGCCGTCGTGAGTTCCCTTCGGGAACGGACACAATAATTTTTTAACTTTTTTTTGTGAATACATTTGATCCAGTACGAATAGTTTCTAAGAGCGTGCTATAAGAACGCAGCCAGATTGCTGAAAAATAAGAACACCCCAGGCTAACCCCTTGGAAACAACGTTCTTGGACGCACGACTCTACTGCAGTTTACACACATGACTACACAATGTTTGGAGATTCTCTGCGCGAGAAAATGCATCCTGACTTCACTCATACGAAATGGAGGCTGCGGGCCCTGGCAACAACAGAGGCGCAGAACTGCACGCTGCTCCCCATGTGGCAACTCATGCTTTTCATGATCATGTGGTGTGTTCCTCTGTACAGTGCAAAGCGGCGATTCTTGATAGCTCTTGCCCTTGCCCGGTGGAGGAAGCTTGTACTGTAAGTGTAGCACGCGTGTGTCCGTATCTGTGTCTGTCTGTGTATGTGTATGTGTACGTGTATGTGTCTGTGTATGTGGCAATGGGCGTTCAAGGCTCAAGATATGTGTATGTGTATGTGTTCGAGTCTGTATGCTTACACCTCTGAATGTAGTGTGACACCTGACTCGAATTCTGGAAGCTTTCCGTCCACATTGCTTGCAAGCAGATGATAGACCACTTTACATGACCCATGTGGACAGGGCACAGGTGAAACCTGGCTCCAGTGACCACCGATGGGACTGGTATATCGCGGTCCTTGAGTGTAGGTGGTCTCTGAACAGTTGAGAACAAGTTGAGCCTTGCACATTGAATACTTTTGGTGTCAAAGACTTGCACATGGTCTAACTGACCAAGTGGTTGCTGAAACCAGGTGGTCATATCTGTCACGTCATGACTCTCAAATGGTGATGACTGCCAGGTGGCTATTACACAGCTGACTTTCTTTTACCCGCTTGCAACAACAGCTACATGTACCTGTACTGTGACGCTAACGTACACGATTTTGGCCAAATCTTTGCCCTGAGAAGGCCATGTGGCACCATGTGTGTGTGTGTGTGTGTGTGTGTGTGTGTGTGTGTGTGTGTGTGTGTGTGTGTGTGTGTGTGTGTGTGTGTGTGTGTGTGTGTGTGTGTGTGTGTGTGTGTGTGTGTGTGTGTCCCATATGGTGCAGTGGTATGTGCAGCGATTTCCAATCGATAGGTTGCGGGTTCGATTCCCGACGATTATGGTCACACACGTTTTTCTTCTCTTTCTCAGACTCTTCCTGACTTTTCTTCCATTCTCCTGGGTGGTTACCGACAGCCAGTGCATGCCGGAGTATGTGGTGTGATGTGTGTGCGGGAAAAAGAAAGTGGAAAGACCAAAAAGTAGGGATTCACTGGCCAGAAAAAGCCACTTCATAGCTGTGTGGTGTAGACCAGGCTGAATAGTGGCGGCCAATTCTTCAGCCTTGCAAGCTGTTGAATGGTGCAATCCCAGCACAAGTTGCTATTGCTTCTGCTGTAGCATGGTGTAGACCAGGCTGAATAGTGGCGGCCAATTCTTCAGCCTTGCAAGCTGTTAAATGGTGCAATCCCAGCACAAGTTGCTATGGCTTCTGCTGTAGCATCGCTATCATCGCCTCCGGCGATTGGCGTCCAATGGTCCAATGGTGTGTGTGTGTGTGCCGCCACCAACGCTCATGCCTCCTGTCGTCTTCGCCTCGCTCAACGATAAACACGTGACCTACATGGCAGTGTATACCAGGACCAGATACAGTCAACTTTGCATATAACCACACTCGTCGGGGCATCAGAAAAGTGTCTTTATGCCCGAAGTCTCTTTATATGTATATCCAGTTAGATGGGACTTTGCTCTGGGCACGGGAATTCTGTTGTTATTCGCGAATTGTTGTAATATCGGCAGTCGTTATTAGCAAAGTTGACTGTATATGTGTATGTGTGTGTGTTTGTGTGACGGTGTGTCCTTTGTACAATAGCTGGCTGCCCTGCAGTGTCATGTCCAGTTTGGAGCATTCGCGGAGTCCAACAAGACCAAGATGAAAGCTATCCAGGAGGAGTAAGTACAGCCAGATAACTTAAACTCAGTGAACAGCATTCGTATGCATTTTGCTGCACTTATGGCAGCTTAAGAGTTCAAAAAACATGATTTTTCAAGCTCAGAGACCCAGATGATGCAGAGGGGTCTATGTACGCAAGAGCACAACTTAGACTGATAGAGGAAACCGCACTTCCTCTGAAAAAGGTGTTTCCTGTCTGAAGGGGAAACTACTTCAAAGTAGTAGAATCGCTACCTGGTGCTGATATCGTGTAACTCGGTTGTGCTGTCTTGTCTGTGCCGCTTGTTTCTAGGATCAAGGATTTCCTACCCAGGGACTATCAGAAGAACAAACAGGCGCTGCGGCGCGTACTCTCGGTATGCTGCAGGCCTAAAGCAATGCTACACTCGTAGTGCTGCACAAAGTAATGGGTTGTGTGCGTGGCCACTCGAAAAGCAGCCACGCTCCAGTATAAACGACTGCATCTCTTCCTCTCTCTCTCTCTCTCTCTCTCTCTCTCTCCCTATCTCTCTCTTTCTCTCTCTCTCTCTCTCTCTCTCTCTATCTCTCTCTCTCTCTCTCTATCATGCATGCATAGTTGTCTGACTAGCCAAAGTAGCATGCCACAGTGGCATGGTGCAATCGCAATCCAGAATTTGGCTGTGAGCAATCTGGAAACCTTACTTAGTCCCTGTAAGCAGTCATTGTTAGTTGTGACTCTTCATTGGGAATTGTGACTGAGTTGTGACTGCTTACTGCAACCGTGATTGCTTACTGGAGCCGTGACTGCTAACTGGAGTCGTGACTGCTTACTGGAGCCGTGGCTGCTTACTGGAGTCGCGACTGCTTACTGAAGCCGTGACTGCTTACTGGAGTCGTGACAGCTTATCGGAGTTTGTGACTTTTTATTAGAGTTTGTGACGGCTTGTTGGGATTGTGACTGCTGATTGGAGTTGTGATTGCTGATTGGAATTGTGACTGCTGTATTGGAGTTGTGACTGCTTATTGGAGTTGTGACTGCTTATTAGAGTTGTGACTGCTTATTGGAGTTGTGGCTGATTGTTGGAGCTGTGACTGCTGATTGGAGTTGTGGTGGGGAGGGGGTTAATGTCCTAATAGACTAGGCATGTCGGACCCAGTCCATGCTAAAGCATAAGTTTCGACCTCTGTAGAAAGACCACACGTCCATAAAGGCCAGTTTCTGTGCAACACAGGCTGGCTTCTAATAATTCACTATCGATCTTCTTGCATGTGCAGAAATACACCGAGAACAGCGTGTTGATGTCGCAGGCAATAGCGCAGAGTAGATATATCGCAATGTGCAAGAATCTCCCGGCTTACGGCTCTACCGTGTTTGTTGTCAAGGTGAGTCTGCAGGCATTGATGTCTGTGCACGCAGATGGGCATTTTCTATTGAAGTTTTATTGGGCCTTGTGCTCTACCTGGTCAGAAACATGCAGAGTGCTCAGTTAGAACCAGTTGCTGTTAAATTGGTTAGAACCAGTAACTGTTGCTGTTAAATTGGTTAGAACCAGCCGCCAGAGAACTGTTGCTGTTAAATTGGTTAGAACCAGCAACTGGTGCTGTTAAATTGGTTAGAACCAGCAACTGTTGCTGTTAAATTGGTTAGAACCAGCAACTGTTGCTGTTAAATTGGTTAGAACCAGCAACTGTTGCTGTTAAATTGGTAAGAACCAGCAACTGTTGCTGTTAAATTGGTTAGAACCAGTAGCTGTTGCTGTTAAATTGGTTAGAACCAGTAACTGTTGCTGTTAAATTGGTTAGAACCAGTAACTGTTGCTGTTAAATTGGTTAGAACCAGTAACTGTTGCTGTTAAATTGGTTAGAACCAGCAACTGTTGCTGTTAAATTGGTAAGAACCAGCAACTGTTGCTGTTAAATTGGTTAGAACCAGCAACTGTTGCTGTTAGATTGGTTAGAACCAGTAACTGTTGCTGTTAAATTGGTTAGAACCAGTAACTGTTGCTGTTAAATTGGTTAGAACCAGTAACTGTTGCTGTTAAATTGGTTAGAACCAGTAGCTGTTGCTGTTAAATTGGTTAGAACCAGTAACTGTTGCTGTTAGATTGGTTAGAACCAGTAACTGTTGCTGTTAAATTGGTTAGAACCAGTAACTGTTGCTGTTAAATTGGTTAGAACCAGCAACTGTTGCTGTTAAATTGGTAAGAACCAGCAACTGTTGCTGTTAAATTGGTTAGAACCAGCAACTGTTGCTGTTAAATTGGTTAGAACCAGCAACTGTTGCTGTTAAATTGGTTAGAACCAGCAACTGTTGCTGTTAAATTGGTTAGAACCAGTAACTGTTGCTGTTAAATTGGTTAGAACCAGTAACTGTTGCTGTTAAATTGGTTAGAACCAGTAACTGTTGCTGTTAAATTGGTTAGAACCAGTAACTGTTGCTGTTAAATTGGTTAGAACCAGTAACTGTTGCTGTTAAATTGGTTAGAACCAGTAACTGTTGCTGTTAGATTGGTTAGAACCAGTAACTGTTGCTGTTAAATTGGTTAGAACCAGTAACTGTTGCTGTTAAATTGGTTAGAACCAGTAACTGTTGCTGTTAAATTGGTTAGAACCAGTAGCTGTTGCTGTTAAATTGGTTAGAACCAGTAGCTGTTGCTGTTAAATTGGTTAGAACCAGTAACTGTTGCTGTTAAATTGGTTAGAACCAGTAACTGTTGCTGTTAAATTGGTTAGAACCAGTAGCTGTTGCTGTTAAATTGGTTAGAACCAGTAACTGTTGCTGTTAAATTGGTTAGAACCAGTAACTGTTGCTGTTAAATTGGTTAGAACCAGTAACTGTTGCTGTTAAATTGGTTAGAACCAGTAACTGTTGCTGTTAAATTGGTTAGAACCAGTAACTGTTGCTGTTAAATTGGTTAGAACCAGTAACTGTTGCTGTTAAATTGGTTAGAACCAGTAACTGTTGCTGTTAGATTGGTTAAAACCAGTAACTGTTGCTGTTAAATTGGTTAGAACCAGTAACTGTTGCTGTTAAATTGGTTAGAACCAGTAGCTGTTGCTGTTAAATTGGTTAGAACCAGCAACTGTTGCTGTTAAATTGGTAAGAACCAGCAACTGTTGCTGTTAAATTGGTTAGAACCAGTAACTGTTGCTGTTAAATTGGTTAGAACCAGTAGCTGTTGCTGTTAAATTGGTTAGAACCAGTAACTGTTGCTGTTAAATTGGTTAGAACCAGCAACTGTTGCTGTTAAATTGGTAAGAACCAGTAACTGTTGCTGTTAAATTGGTTAGAACCAGCAACTGTTGCTGTTAAATTGGTAAGAACCAGCAACTGTTGCTGTTAAATTGGTTAGAACCAGTAACTGTTGCTGTTAAATTGGTTAGAACCAGTAACTGTTGCTGTTAAATTGGTTAGAACCAGCAACTGTTGCTGTTAAATTAGTTAAAACCAGCAACTGTTGCTGTTAAATTGGTTAGAACCAGTAACTGTTGCTGTTAAATTGGTTAGAACCAGCAACTGTTGCTGTTAAATTGGTTAGAACCAGCAACTGTTGCTGTTAAATTGGTTAGAACCAGTAACTGTTGCTGTTAAATTGGTGTGCACAGTGCTCCACACATAAGAGCAATATGCCGGGCCGAAGAAGTTGTAATGCTACCATTGATAATTTGAGTAACAACCTTCCTCTCACAGCCAGTCCTACTGTTATTATGGTTCTATTATCGGGGATCCGGCCCTGATAACAGTTGGCAGAGCAAAATTCGAAGTTGGCAGAGGAAAATCTGATGTTGCCAGAGCATAATTCGAAGTTGACTGCACAACGAAGACTGAATGAGTGATATCGGCATGATATCAAGAGTATATAACCATTATGTGCTCTTGATGATACTCAATCGCAACACCAGGGCCGGAGGCTGCTTCCGCGGAGCGGTGCGGCTGAAGGGCCATCTTTAAGGGGGGTCTGGGGGTCGTCCCCCAGAAAATGTTTGGAATTTAGACGGCAAATCCTGCACTCTGGGCGACTCCCTGTATAAAATCATACATCGAAACTTTTTCTCCCCGGTTTTGGACGTTCCACGTGGACCGACTTTTTGCGAAGTTGGTACGGCCATGGCCGTACCGGCCGTACCAGTGGCGCCGGGCCTGAACATACCTGTTACCCAATGTCACCATGCAAGTTGTGTTCATTAAGGTTGGGGGAGTTGAAATGGGAAACTGGTCTAAAGATAAGTAGTGGCTTCCACCACCACCACTGGACTCAAACCAGGGACCATCCTCGCTTCTTATAGTGGCATGGTATGTTGTAGCATTCTTTCATCGGCCACTGGCCGCTTATCAGCTGTCTTTCTCTCTCTCTCGCTGGCATTCTCTAGGCGGCTGTGAAGAACAAGAGCAAGCTCGCACCGTCAATCTTGGCCATAACGAAGGAGAATGTCCTCAAGCTGGATGAGAAGAACAAGGAGGTCGGTTGCTGCGTGACGTTTTAATTGTTTGCACAAGATGCACAACTCATCAGCCAGCACATGGGGCAGTAGCATGGAGTGAGAAGGTGCTGGTGAGACCTGCCATGCTCAACTGACCAGAGCCTGTGTTGGCATCTTCGAATGGCAGGCGCACTGAATTGGGGGGAAAGCCGCATGATAAGCCGCATGATGGGGAAAAATAATTGGAGCACACTATCTTGCATCTGTTGTTGAATTTCCATGAATTGCCGGTGATTTTCTACACCACGAGTACACAGGTTCATAACTCCTGACGATGGTTATTGACCGAATTGTGGAATATTTAAAAAAGGATTTTCAATATTGTCAATGTCAATAGCAGCACTAATTGAGTTGTGGCCAATAGCCCAAACACTATTGCTTTGAACTTGAAGCTGCAAGAAATGGTCCACCTTGTCTTGCATGACTTGTGACTCAAGCTAATCATCGGTAAGCCAGGAGCCTTTTTGCCATTCCCAGGATGTATCTTGCTATCTAGAAGATGTAAATACGCCGCTGCAGTAAGTGTCCGAATGCATCTTGGGGTATGTCATCCGTTGGTGACTCTTCTTTCCTCTCACCCATGTTACGGTCCTCTCTGTTTCCGCAGGTTCAGCACCTGTGGCCGATTAAGAACGTCCGCCGGTGGGTCAGCACCACGGAGATGGTTCAGATTGTAAGCAGATATCAATTTCATACACTGGTTTTGCCCACCTTCCTTTCCTGCATACATGCATGCACGTACACCCCCCCCCCCACACACACACACACATACGCACATGAGCGCAAACACACACACACACACGCCACACACACACACACACACACACACACACACACACACACACACACACACACGTACCCCCATCCCCTGGGAATAACTGGTGTGGAATGCTAAATGTCTTGTTGCGTGTGCGTGTGTGCGTGTGTTCAGGACATCGGCGAGACAGAGCCGGTTTCGTTCATGACACACGACGGACAGGCCATCGCCAATCTCATCTCCATGTACAAGGGCATTCGAACGCGAAAGGTAACTGATCTGAAAGAGACTGTGTTGCTGTGTGCTTGTGCACAGAGGCAGTGTGCCGTGCCCTGCTAGAGTGCACAGTGCACCGCACATGTTTTGTTGTGCAAAGTGGTGGTGTAAGGTTAGCAGCACTGGTGCAGCCAGTACAGCAAACACGGTAAGAGTTTGAAAAAATAGCACGTGACAGAACGTTCAATTACCTAGTATTTTGATCGGGATGCGACACCATTGGCAGGATTTGTGCTCGCATCATACAAGGTGTTTACAAGTACTGGCAAGTGTAGAATGTGCTGACATGCAACAAGATACATTGTAGATAAGCTGGCTCCATTTGGTGCCGTGTACAGTCATGTGTGAGGCAGTTCAGCCGCATCGTAGATTGGGGCGTGTCGTTTAAAATTATGTCCTGCCTTGATTAATGCTGCTCCCTCCCTCGTTTGTCTGTCTGTCTGTCTGTCTGTCTGTCTGTCTCTCTGTCTGTCTCTCTGTCTCTCTGTCTATCCACCTGGCTGTATAAGTGAGTGCTTGCTTGTCTGTCTCTCGACCTTTCTCTCATACACACCGTGACTCTCTCATTTGCACGTGCACTCACTCACTCTCACTCTCTCTCTCTCTCTCTCTCTCTCTCTCTCTCTCTCTCTCTCTCTCTTTCTGTCTCTCACTCTACTATTTGCCACTCTTATGTTCAGTCGCAGAGCCGAGAAGCGAACTACGATGGCGGCGATCCAGTGTACGAAGAAGTTTCGCTCAAGCCGATGCCATCACAACCAGCGCCACCACCGACGCAGCAGCAGCAGCGACATCACGTCAGTGTCACCCGCTCCGAGTCCACGTTCCTGCGACACTCGCCGCGCCTGATACCGAAACGTGTCTCGGCCGAGGCCCCGGCGAGCGTGTCGCTGTCCACAAGCACTGGCCAAAACTCACCGCTGATTGATCCGCGCCCACGCCCGCCTGTCAAATCACCTCCACCTACCTATGATATTCTCGAACCCGGTGAGTACAGTGCCACGCCGCCCAGCTACGAAGCTAGCGAGTACCTTGAAGCCAGCGACGTTCTGATCGCAAGGAACGGAGAGCAGCAACTAGTCAACACTGGTGGTGCGGTGGCCGCCAATGATGTTGTCAATCATTCTTCTGAGCACGTGGAGGCTGCGTCCGTTGCCGTCGGCAACGCCAATGGTGGTGATCCTAGCCAGACAGTGTGACGTGGAGGAAACCCGTCGTATGTGAAGGAAACTGAGCCGAGCTGTGGAAATTGAGTTGTTCACGTCTACCGTCGGCCTGACATCCATACAACAGCAATCTCCAGTGTGGCAGTTGAGAGCGTTGAACAGCTTGTGTCCCGCGCTGTGTGTCTGATGTATAGTGGTGCTCGCGATGCCGCAATGAGGATCAGGGCAGAGCATGTTCGACGTCTTGACTATCGAGTCAATGCATTGCAAGCCGCAACCGCGAATATCTACAGCGGACGGTGTACAGTGATGGCAAGCGGGTCAATGTCGCACGCCGGGGTGCGCACTGTGTCGTGTTCCTCTCAGTACCGGGGAGTAGCAGAATACCGGTATTTTACTACTCTCTGCTCAGTACACTTCAGTACACGTACTGTTCATCGTTGTCAGTGGCGATAACCATGGCGATGCCACACCCGCACGACAGGGACTTGAGATTGACGCATTGGTCTTGAATTCACCTTTATTCTATCCTGTGTTCTGTATAAATTTGTATGTTGGAGGGGATGTAGTGGCGCTGACTGCGATTCATGTCATGTATCCCAAGCATCACGTCCACTCCGCTGTGAATCGCTGAGCTCCCCTTTGGCGCTTTGTTCAGTTTCTGTCGTTCTGATCATTATTACGATTGCATGTGTCTCGTTTGCTTTCAGGCCTTCGCGCCGCGCGCATGATGTGTACTTAGGGTATTTAGAGAGATGTCCAGACCAGTTCATGGTCTTGTCGACACTTGACAAGGATATCCAATTACCCATCGACGGGTACCCATGCAGAACAGAGGCCAGTCTGTTGACATGTCTTGGATTTTCCAATCAGCCAGACACACTGGTGATTTTGCAGGCACCTGTTAGCCTCAATAGTGTACAATGGTAGATGCGCCCAGCGAGCGGCTGTTCACGATCACAGCTGCCATTCCAGACGGCCGTGTGTGTGTGTGCGTGCGTGCGTTTGTGGTGAGCCCATAAGTGGGATCATTTCCAAGTCCACCCAGAGTTTGGGGATTTCAGAAGGGGAGTCGGCCATTGAGCGGTTCAATAGCCAATTGAGTCACGGCATATTTTCTCTCCCGGGGAGGCCCATGGGACCAGTTTTGGCAGAGCAAGTACATGTACACATGTGTGTGTGTGTGTGTGCGCGCACGCATACGCTGCGCGCGCGCGCGTGTGTGTGTGTGTGCAGGGGGGGGGGGGCGGCGTGACTTGCATACGCATGCCTGTCCAGAAACAGAATTGATCTTTCCGGTGTTAGGGCACGGCCACCATGTACCAAGAGAAGCACAACTGACTGTAATAGTGTAAATCATCGGATTCCGCTACGCACTCGACGGGATCAGTCTGTGGCTAAGGTCGGGGTTGCTATTTTCGAGAGTTTTTTTTGGCATCATTGAGTCATGTCTGTCCGACTTGACTAGACAAAGACTCTCTTGGCTCTGTTCTAGTCTAACTAAAATAATTTTAAAATAAACACATAATTATGTGTTGGGCTCCCTGCTACTACATTGTACAACTTATGGTATTATTTTGCTGTCAAACTAACAACATTGTACAACTGACTACATATTACTGTCTTGTAAAATGGAAGTATATTATTAGTTACAAATATTACTAGTTGTAGTGCTAGCTAGCTAGCTGCTCTTGTCGACTTGCGTGTGTGACTCGATCGACGAAGTCGAGTCGACTGCACCATACCATGTGCACAGCGCTTGTCCATAATGCATCGTTGCCATTGTTACGTGTAGTGATGAATTATTTCGATGATGTCATCTTGGTCAGTGCTGAAACGTGGAGATTTTCCTACTTTTCAAAAAACAAGTAAATTCGAAAGAGAATCAGCGTTCAAATACATACTACATACCGGTAATACTCTCTATTGAGTATTGTTCTTTTGTTACACTCTTCATCCATCTGACAAGTCTCATCGATAGTGATGCTGAAGTAGTTTTGAAGTAAAGCTCTGTTTTGGAGATGGCCGAGGACGAAGGCAACGTGGCGGCCGATTTTGGTGCCGAGCCAGACGAAAGGAGAAAAAGGTGCGTCGAAGAGGTGTGCGAAGTGGTAATGACCTGAGGTCTGACACAATTGATTTTTTTGTGTTTCAATCAGGCATCCCGTGGCAGTATTCTTCCACCTGGCATTTCGTGTTGGGGCGCTGGTAGCATACTTGTTCCTCTCTATTTTCGGAGTGTCGACCATCACACAGTTCCTCATTGTTGTCCTGCTGTCAGCGTTTGATTTCTGGACTGTGAAAAACGTCACTGGACGGCTGCTAGTTGGTTTGAGGTGGTGGAACAAGGTGGATGAGGATGGGAAGAGTGACTGGGTGTTTGAATCCCGAAAGGTATGATCTTGTATCTCTCACATGTCATTGACCAGGGGGGTTCAAATCAAACCGAACATACAGAACAATGTACTTGTATTTGCATGCTCTGGGTAGGACATGAACGGAAAGCTGATCATGGCTTTGTCTCTCCACTAGCCGGTTGGTGCTATCACCTAGCCTCAACTGTGCGACTCCTGGTGGATGTACGCCTGTATCTACAGTCATGGTCAAAGAAATCTGATCCGTGAGTTAAAAGCAGCGCCGCGTTTCCATTTCAGCTACATCACGTATGGGGACGCATGAATCTTGGGGATCCTTTAGGCTCATGAGTTGGATTTCTTTGGCCACAGCTGTAGGACATGGTGGAATTTAGTGTATTCGACCCTGGGCTCCGAGAACGCCCAGCTTCGAGAATAGAATGTTGGGACACTGAAGCTAGCAATGCCCGTTCAGTTTGTATACCGGTACTCAAAGTAGAACCGCAGACTGTCTAGTTCAAAGGCTGAGCCAGCCTGGTGTCCCTGAAGTTGCGTTCTTGGACATTCATACTTAGCGGTGTGTAGTGCAGTAAGACCTGTAACTAAAGACCACCGTGACTAGCGACCAGCCGGGTACAGTGCTGGCAACTGAAATCCGACCCCTGAGCGGTGCGCTCACATCGCAAAGACCGAACACGGGATGGTAAAACTACGGAACGGAGACCGCTAGAATGTGGATGCACCGCTAAGGGGTCGGATTTCAGTTGCCAGCACTATGCTAAAGACCACTTCGCCAGGCGCGGACGGTCTCACATTCATACATGGTTGTGCGGTGCAAACCTCTAACTAAGGACCACCTGCCACTAAAGACCGCTTTCTCTGGCTCGAAAGGGTGGTCGTTAGTCACAGGTTTCACTGTATCCTCCTGTCCAGTGCTGGAACTAAGGAACACAGTTCAGGTGAACTGAAGTCCCTGGGCCATACCCTGGTCTCTCTTTTCTTTTCTCTTTGAATGCTAAAAGTGGCTTTTCATTTACATCACAAAACGTGGCTCCCAAAGTATATATTATACTGATGGTATAGCAGTTGTTGTCACTGAAGAGAAGTCTGCCTGATTTTTCCAACGACCATACGTGCGTGTGCCATTTGGAATCAATGCTCAGCCCAGAAATGTGGGGACCTCCCATTCAAATCTGCACGTGCCGCTAGGCAGCAAAATTTGCCGTAGCTTAACTTTTGAGTATCATAATCCTGGAAACTCGCATCGGAGCACCCTGGGGATTGCTGTAATGGACAGTGGAGAGTTTTTTCTCCTTGACCTGTACATTCAATTCTTGGCAAACGACCCAGAAATGACTGAGTTACAATCTTGCAAAGTTGCGATTGGTGAACGTTGTGCAACCTTTACATGAAGGATTATGGCGGGTAAACGTGCTGATGGTGGCGAAGAATGCTTGGCAATTGTGCTTTCTGTAAATATATGCACTGCAGCGGTGCTGACCCGGTGATTAACAATACCGCGTGCAGATTGTTCCAAGTCTGCGATTTGGCACCACAGTTGCGTTCACAACTACAGTTGCAATTATATAATAGCCCAAACTAGAGTACCGTTAAAGTCCGTAAATAAGTACGTATTTACTTTCGAATTTAGTGACCACACCGTACTAACTTTCGGGCGGGTACTGACTTTCGGGCACGAACTAACTTTCGGACCCGACTTGTGTGTAGTGGAGAAGTCATTTTCATGTAGATGTACATGCTACGTGCTGCATGTGCGCACCGTACTGGTACTTATTTCGGGCAGTATGTTTATCGGGCTTGACTTGACTTGAACAGACAGAGCCAAAAGAATGAAGGGGGTATTTCTTTCGGGCAGGTACTTAGTTACGGACTTTTACGGTAATAGCCCAAACAATGTAGATTAAGAGTAACTGTCCACCACTGTAAATAGATAGTATCTACAGTCAGAAAGTGCAACTACTAGGCCCAAAACTGACTCAACTATGTGTAAAGTTCATCTCCCACATTCATATATGTCTCGTTTCCTTGTTTTCTCCAGGATGGTCGCCAACCGTTGTTGTCGGAATCTCGGATTTTCTGGGGCTCCTTGTTCATTTGCCCTGTTCTCTGGCTGTTGTTCAGCGTTATTGCACTGCTACCTCCAAGTACAAGTGCCACTTCTTTTGTAAGCTTCCTGCATACTATAAATCGAGTTGTTGCTTGGAGCACTTAATACTTGCTCTGATCTCTGTCTGTCTGTTTGCGTACCTGTTGATCTCTGGCTGTGTATCTGTTCCTCTGTCTGTTTTTGTCTGTCTGTCTCTGTCTCTCTCTCTTTCTGTCTGTCTGTCTGTCTCTGTCTCTCTCTCTCTCTCTCTCTCTCTCTCTCTCTCATGAATTCTGGACTGCTGCCAGCAATGCAGTAGTTAAAGTATTTTCATTATGGTTGCCATTTCATTCTCTTTGCGCTCAGTTTTACCTGTGCCTACTAGTGATTAACCACCAGCAGCACGTGTGTCGCGTTTGCTTGACTTACATGTTTACATGATCGTATGGCTTTCCTGTTTCGTCTTGACAGATGATATCGCTGGTCGGTGTGTGCTTCACTGGTTCTAATCTGTACGGCTACGTACGCTGTGCACAGGGCAAGACCAGCCTCAGAGCAGCAGCCACACAGTACCTTGGCCGGCGAGTGTTGGAAGAGGTAAGCTACACTAGGGTGCTGCTCAATGACATCCGGTCGCGTCACTTAAAGTTTGCGCCTGGCATGATTCATTTCGCCGCCCAGTGTTCGCAGGTCTATATGTAGGGCTGCGCAATGCCCGGCGTGTACTCGAGTGATGCGACTGGATTTCATTGAGCATTCAATGAGCTACACTGTAGAATCAGAATCATGTACAAGTGGCGTGAACTTCTTTGGCATCTGAGTTGGATTTTTGAACTGGCTGTGTCACACGGCGACTGTATCATGCTGCCTTGTGTCACCTCACCGATTTGCTGGAATATATGTGTGGGCAAATTCAGACCTTGGAATGGGTCTGAAAGTGGCATTCTATGATAATATGACCATACTAGTAACAAATCCGTTGATCCCCGAGCTGCGGAGAGTGCTCAATGTCAGAGACAGAGCTTAGTACATAGCAGACTCAGCGGAGGACGTTCAGGTTGGTTGCAACTCTGAGTTTCATGCCGCTAGGCAATCATCAGTTGTCTGATGATTGCCGAGCGGCATGAAACCTGAGTTACAACTAACCTGAACGTCCTCCGCTGAGTCTGCTATGACCATACTTGTATATAGAATGTGGTGCTACATCTCAGCAGGTGGTAACTTGTGCACAAATTTGTCAATTGTAGCAGATAGAGCCCACTTGAAAGGCTTGCGGATTGACGAAAAAGTACTGTAGTATTCAGCATTCACAGATGTCTCCGGAGCTAATGTACGAGGCGATTACATGCACCAACTCTTGATTTCCTGCTCTCGCGTGTTCATTCTGTCCAGACGCTAGCATCCAAGACAGCAGCACAGTCCACCACAGCGTCAGCATAGTGGGAGCGTTCACTCCAAGCAGAACGGGCAGTACCTCACACTTGCCCCCGTGCAACCAACGTACGCTCTGCTAAGTGCACTTGCAGTGAAGGCTGAACAAGGGCCGACTTTGGCCACGCCGGTGTCCTTTAGCATGCCTTGCTGGCCATAGGTATAGGTTGGAGCTTTCCGTACGCAATGTGTACACTGCTCTTCATGATGCACTCAAGCTGTGCCCGTGCCGGGAGACGTAACTGCCACCGGAAGTTTAGACTAGTCACTTAGACTGTCAGGTAGTCACTAGTGGCTCTCTAACACACGGTACTAACGCACGGACGTGGTTTGCGAATGCTATCCTATGACACAAGTGTACGCCCCAGCCTATGGCTGATACTGTGATTGTAAATAATCGACATTCTTTTCGGAAGCGGACTTGAGCTTTCTTCTTTGCCCTTGACAAAAACCTATTCGGATTTTTATTCATATCAACTCCCAACAAACCGCTGTTCTTTCTCTTCTCACTTTTCAAGTCTCTGTTTGTACTTTTGGCCTACATGAACACTACGCATCAGAATTTTTTCAAAGAACGATGTCAAAGTACATTTTCTCACTATGCCATGGTTAAAATTTATTAAAAAAAGGTTGCTTGGATCAAGAGAGCCTTATTTTATATTAGTTGTTATCAGTCATTCGGCCTCTATAGCTCGGTCTTTATTGCGTCTGGTGGTGGCGGCTGCTTGGCTTTGGGCCGCAGTTTGTCTCTTTTCTGCTGCACTCTGTCTGCGAGCTTTTCGACAAGTCGCAAGAACTCTTTCGCGTCGAAGCGATAGTCGGTGAATTTGGGCTTGGCACTGTCTACTTTATGGTGCCCGCCGTCCTGCGGGAAGAGAAGTTTCTTCTTCTCCCACGTCTGGTAGTAGAGGCCTCGAATAGCAGCAAGGTCTTTGTAGCAGTTCGGATCTTCCGTGTTGTAGATCTCAAACACTCCCGCCCACTCGGGCAGGAATAGCATGTGAGTGAGGCCGGCGCCGTGCATGCCGATGAGGATGTCGCTGTTGTGCGACGACTCTATCTGTTCGCGGAACGTCATGTCCCGATCGTAGCGGACGCGGCGAACCGAGAACCGCCCGACGGTCTTGAGCGTGCCAAGTATCTCCTCCTCGTTCAGTACGTTGCGGTAGCGGGTGCCGCGCGACAGGAACGTGACGCGAACGCGCCGCGCCTCCAGCTCGGTCTTGGTGTGCCAGCGCTGCACGGCCAGGCGGTTGAGAAGGAAGTGCGAGAACGACTCCATGAGACTGCTGCCACTGCAGTCCGGCACAACTGGCATGTTGTAGAAGAGCCCAAATACCATGCGCGGCAGCAACGGGAACAGCACCTCGTTGAAGCAGACCCGTTTGCCGCCGTAGTCGGTCAAGCGCTTCACTTTGCGCTTGGTGAATGCGTCCCACGTTTGTTCAAACAGGTCGTTGTTCGGATAGTCCGAGGTGTCCCAATCAATAATCTGCACATCTCGTGAGAAAGACCCGTTGATATGCTGCGATACGTACAGGTTGACGAAATCACAAAAGTGATGGTACAGGTTGACTTTCGCATCCATTTTCATGAAGATCACGGGTGTCTGTACCACCACATCGCAGTGCTTGTTCTTTGTGTTCGTCTGTTCGTCCATGACATGGAAGTTATGCAGCTCGGCCCACCAGCTTTGCAAGTGACTTGAATACTTTGGCTGTCCAAGTTTTGACTTTGTCAAGCGGCACTTGCCACCCAGCATCTTCTTGCCAATGAAGTCTGGCCGAAGGCGTGCTGTGGCAAGACGCTCTTCAGGCCGCTTCTTGAAGTCGGCCTCGCGAAAGTCAATGTAAAGGTTGGTAGCACGGCAATGAGCCAGGTCTTTTGAACACGTCAGTGAGCTATCACCATCCGATTGCGATTCACACACCGTCTCCATGGAGCTAGAGAACTGCTTGGCATACGCAAAACCAGCCTGCTCGTGGAATTTCTGAATCTTGCCTTCCATGGTGCTGGCATGGGGTGCTGGGGAGCCCGTGCATTCTGGCATGGATAGCTGTTTAGTCTCGGCACAATTTTTCTCATAGCCCCAGCACTTTCCCTCCGGGGGCAGGGTGCAGGGCTCATCACTACCACACCTGGCACGATCTGCTTTATAACGCAGAAAGTCTGTCAGACCAACGTCCAGGTGGGCTAGATCGCTGTTGTCTACGCTTTCCACACCCGCTTCAGCTCCTCCAAGTAAAACCAAAAGGATAACTCCAATTAGGAAGCAAGCATGATGACCTCGCACAGCCCAGGTAAAGTAAATATCCACAGTTTCCATGCTAATCCCAATTTCTGAATAAAATATTCAGTCGATTTCAATGAAACATCAGACTTGGCCTTGTATATTGGGAAGAGAGACACACTCCTTCAAAGCTGTACAAAAACAACGGCTTGAAGCCTCGTCCGGAAAGCAGCAAGAGAAGACGAGCGGCGACCAAATAATTAATTCGTGAATCAATGAATTGAAAGGGTCCGGCCGGGGCGTGTAGTACTAGTAGTGCTGAGGACTTTCTTGTAAAGACATCATAAGTGGTTTTACCTCATGTTCAGGCCAGGGAGTCGTCAAATTAATTTGTTGAGTCGACGACCCCCTGCCTGGTGCACTCGCTGCAAGCTGTGTATGTCCTAGTCCACGGATCCGGCCAGCAAGATCCGTTGTCATCACTCAGGGAGTCGTCAAATACCCGTCCTTTGACGACTCCCTAGTTCTCATGCTCATCTTCTCATGTTCTGACTGATTTGGTTGATTTCTGCTTTTACATTTCGAGGCCTTTCAGTTTTCTTTTGAAAACTAACTTGAACACAAAAAGAAAGAAAAGGCCATACATTTGCGAAGGACTAAAGGGACCGTCACTTAATTTTTGCCGACTACCCGCCAAAAAAATCTTTTCGTTTCACGTGTCAGACACGTCCGCGAGCGCTTGCGACTCGCGCGCGCCCGCGCTACCTTTCACGTCAGGCAATCTGTTCACGCCACATGGCTGGATATGATAGCGCGTACATATGCAAACATGATTGAAGACTTGCAAAATCAATTTTTTTCCAAGTCCAGGCACTAGGCGCTAGGCCTAGGCAGTACTAGTCTAATGCCTAATGCCCAGGCAGCTGACTTTATTTTCGGAGAAACACTACTCATTGTAGTAAAAAGTAACAATGAATAGCGATATCATCTAGGAAGGATCGCTACCCTAACGCGAAGGAAAGGCCTTGCGCGGCTGCTCTACGAAGTGTTGAAGAAAGACTCATCAAAGTTAGTTGGTGGACGAACAACTCGCTGGCGCCGGAAAACTTGGCCCCCAACGATGGTGTTTGGTGAATCATCAAGCATAATGTCTTGTAGCAGTGTTCACCGAGGAAGGAAAACGCTCTAGTCGCTGCTGTTGTCCGTTTCATCCACGTTAGGCGTTAGCTGCACCGCGCCTATTGTGTTTTAATATTCCATGGACACACATTAGCATTCAGAGCGATTGTGGAGCCACAATTTACTTCACACAGCGTTGTATTGTCCACGAGCGCAAACTTCATTATCAGCAGTAACTGTTACTCTTCATCCTACGTGTAGACTTGGAGTATACACGGCCTTGTCACGACAGCGACAGCTCTACAGAGTGAGAAACATTAATTTCTATTGTTGGTGGACGAATAAATGGCTGGTTCCGAAAAACGCGGCCTGCACCGATGGTGTTTGGTGGATCATCAAACAGGGTGACCAGCAGTGTTCACCGAGGAAGGAGAATGCACTCGCCACCACTCCGATTCATCCAAGTGGGCGTTAGCTGCGCCGCGCCTATTGTGTTTTAGTATTCCATGGACGCACACTAGCGTTCTCAGCGATTGTGGAGCCACAACATATCTTCATGCGGCGTTGCACTGTCCAAGAGCAGAAACGTCAGCAGTGACCCATCATCATACATGTAGATTTGGAGTATACACACCATGCGCCAATGGGCCTTGGCACAACAGCGGCAGCTCTACGGAGTGTTCAAGTGAGAAACATTTGTTTCGACTTTTGGTGGACGAACAAATCGTCGGTGCCGAAAAACGTGGCCTGCGCCGATGGTGCTTGAAACATCAAGCATGGTATGTGGTGACTGTCAGTGTTGATCGAGGAAGGAGAACACTCAGGCCGTCGACCGTTCATCCATTTCGTTAGCTGCACCAAGTCTATTGTGTCCTTGTATTCCATGGGCACACAATCATGAAGCATGGCGTCTGAGCTGTGTTGACAGAGCGGGGAGATGCTCTTGCTGCTATCTTATCTGTCCTGTGTATTCCCAAGTGCCGAAGGCTCACAACGATGGTGTTGGACAAGTCAGATAAAATAGAGTCAACGTAAGTACGCATGTGTACTCTTACTGACTGAAACATAAGTGGGGTGTAAGAGCTAATTCAAATGGTGTCGCGACATTCTCATGTACGAGGTTAGTGTGTAGTACTTGTTACGTACTGAATTCTGTGACTTTGTTTTGTCTCCATATACTGCATGCATTCACGTTTCACAGTTGTCAGTTTGACCCTGAGTTCACGTCTGTTATCCCGTGTCTCCTCTACTTATTTTTGTTTCCACACGGTTCATGGTGTAGCGCTGCACGTGTTCCGTCAGTTTGAACTTCAGCATAAATCGCAACTACTTGTACTTTCAGACATGTCACGTGATTGTTGCCAGGGTTTGAGCCAATCAGAGCGTTTACAGGCAGGGCCTGAACCCCTGATCATGCCTTGCCTGCCAGCTCTACTACGATATTATATGTCACGTACCCGCGCGCGCGCACGGTTCTCCTGCGCTTGGGCTTGCTTTCCCTTGGTAGTTGGAAGTCAGTGGCTGTTTTAGTACTCTTAGATTATGTACAGAAAGTGGTGGACATCACGCAACTGCAGTGTAAATTAAAGGGTGGTTGTCAACTGACAACCGCATAATTTTTCGACATAATTAATAAAAGAATTTTTATCTAAAGAGTGAAAAGCAACTAAATAGAGCGGTTGTCGGTTGACAACCCCCCTTTTATTTAGATTATGTATCTGAAGTAAACACAACGTAGAAATATCACAATTGTCTCTTGTGTATTATATCCGTCTGATGTCACCAGATCGTCACACGGTGCTGTGACCAAGATACGGATCATGCGAACGCTGATTCAACTGGACGAATCGCGAGGCTTTTCAGATGTAGGGACACAATGGAAACTGAATGACTTCAGAACAGCACTGAAGCGTTATGTTATCATGCAAGACGCCTTTCTGCGCCGCACAAACACAGGCGGTACTACAGCAGAAGATGGCACTCACTATTTTGCAGGTGCACTGGTGACAGGCGCATGCAAGTTCACCAGAAGGAAGCGGTCTGATGTTAACTGGAATGCCAGCAGTATGAGAGGGTGTGCATTCTGCGGCGGATCTCACCTGGACAAGAGCTGCGCGAAATACACAACAGTAGCACAGCGGAAAGAATAACTGATTGAACAGAAGCGTTGCTTTGTGTGTTTGCGCACAGGGCACCGGTCAACTCAGTGCAAGGCCACCCGCAAGTGTAATGTGTGTTCTCGCATGGGTCACCAATCAGAGTCACCATCGTATCACGATCTGCCCTGAATCTCAACAGAAATCTGACAGCAGTACCAACATAGTAGCTGACCAGCCTGTGGCTGACGAGGTACCAGCATCTAGCGCAACAGCAGCTAGTGCAGCATCAACCAGTATCGCCATTGACCGTAAGATAGTCAGTCGTCTTGATCGGTGCAGATTTCCTCTGGGAGTCTTGACGGGGAGCACCAGAGGACTTCCGCCAGGACTACAGTTTCTGCCTACCACAGTCGGTTTTGTGGTGACTGGCCGAACACGTCACTCCAAGCACTCAGCTACGCCGATGAGCAGCCATGCCAGCTATCGTTTCTCTAACTGATGCAACTTCCGACTCCTGCACCATCCCAGATCTGTGGGACCTAGACTGTGTTGACATCTAGGATTCAGGCAATCTTAGTAACAACGACCTAGCCATTAGGCAATTCATCATTGTTCTACGATTTTGCCTGCCACCAATCGTCATGACCTGCGATACTGAGAAGGCCATTTTACAAATCAGTGCCAACCCAGCATACAGAGATGCGACACGATTTCTGTGGTTCGCCAACACCGACAGTCCATCAGTCACCCCATCCAGCCTGTTCACGCTCATAAGCAGTCCATTTCTGCTTGGCGCGTCTATACAGCATCATTTGGCACAGCAAGATGACAAAACAGCTAGCAGTGGCTATTGGTGAGAACATTTTCTGCTGTGCCATTGGAGTGTGCACGATACACGAACCCTGCTCTTTTGTTGGCACCGCCTATGTAACTTACTGCATAGGGTGCAAGGTGACCGTTGTCGGTTTACATGTACTCCAGGTATTACACCGTGCATGCACTGAGTCTGTGCTGCACTGTGCATCCATAGGTGTTCGTTTGCGGTAGCGCAATGTGACACACAAGGTTGATGGATTGTTTTGTCCGCTGCTATTCGAAGCTCTCGGAGTCGGAAGCGCTACCTCTGTTTCCCCTGTTCCTCCCTGCGCGGAGTCTGTAGTTCTGGCTTGCAGTTGCTGTTACATGCATGTTGGCAGTTGCATGTGTTTCGGTTTTCAGTTGTCTTTATTTGTTTTGTGTGGACGACAGTTCAATATTCTAGCAGTTGTTGCACTTCCTACTTCTGAAGTACATTCCGTAGTTATCTGCGGTTGGTGTTCGAGAGAGCAAACTGTGTTCTTCTCCAGAGTGGAGTAAACCATTCGCTTGTGTCTGAGGAAAACCCTGTGTGTTGACGAAGAGGTTGACTTGGCTGTAGAGTGAAAGTACCACATGGTCACATGGTCCACAAAATCTTAGAACTAACTTAGGGTCTTCTGGCGTATGGTATAATTATATGAGCAGCATGAGAGTGAAGTAAAAGACTATTAGCTCAAACATTCAGTCTTTCAAGAGTAGGTGTTTCATCACGGAATAGGTTCTGCAGTTCACATACACACTGCAACAATGGACCAGCAGTGTCCAGGATACAATAGAGTCATGTGAATATGTACCGTATGCATACTCACAGCTGCAAGGCCAGCGCCCCGTGGCTGCTTGACTTCTCAATCGATATAAATTTTCACAACAGTAAGACTCTGTGATCAATCAGAGCTGTGCTTCGAAGTAGTCACAAATGCCCCATGATCAGTCACAAAAAAAAACTTTGCAACCAGTCACAGCTTCCACGGTGCCCCAAGACCAGTCACCAGAAATGACCGTAGTAAATCTGCAGGGAGTTTCATAATCTGTTCATTGCAGAGTCCACTATGCTATGATTCAAGAGGGGGGTAGCGTTCCTGCGGATGCGGAAAACTTGGCTGGAACCCGAGTGTCACGTGAACCCTGATTTTTAAGACTTTTATCATTTGTTTTACGATGAGCCTATTATACGCGATACAGGCTCAGAACACACTTTTCGTCTAGTTGGCATATCAGGGATATAGGGCGGAGCAGCCCATATCCCCAATTATGACACGCGAGTAATGTTGAAATACGATTGGCGTATTGTGCTGGACTGACTGCGGTAATGTAAAGCTAAAATAAAGCAGTCAGTTTGCCCTTAGCATGGCCTTGTCATGAGGGTGCCACATCCGTGGAAAGGCAACATGCCGGCTAATCTCCCTGAGAAGTTGAGTGGTTATCAGCAGGCGATGACGCTGTGTCGATGATGAACTGTTGATGCCCGACAGGAACCTTGCGAGGAGAGTTATTGGGCCTGACGGGTAGGTAAAGCCAACTTCCACATGAAGTTTGCGGATGGCCGACATGTAGACATGGACAGATCGGGGCTGAAAAGTTCTGAACAACTCGGCAGCAAAATAACACATAAAGTAAAAAGTCATCACCTGGCAATGGATTCCAGTTATGCCCTTGACAGAACTGGAAGTAACGGGTATCGGCGGAAAAATATTTCTGGCTGGTGCCAGTGCTGCTAGCTGCAGCACGGAATCCGGCAACTGAGAGTTGGCAAGACTGGCTGATCTGGCTCAGCTGCTGCTTCCGGAGCCCTCGATGGTTCAAACACCATCGGCGCAGGCCACGTTTTTCGGCACCGACGATTTGTTCGTCCACCAAAAGTCGAAACAAATGTTTCTCACTTGAACACTCCGTAGAGCTGCCGCTGTTGTGCCAAGGCCCATTGGCGCATGGTGTGTATACTCCAAATCTACATGTATGATGATGGGTCACTGCTGACGTTTCTGCTCTTGGACAGTGCAACGCCGCATGAAGATATGTTGTGGCTCCACAATCGCTGAGAACGCTAGTGTGCGTCCATGGAATACTAAAACACAATAGGCGCGGCGCAGCTAACGCCCACTTGGATGAATCGGAGTGGTGGCGAGTGCATTCTCCTTCCTCGGTGAACACTGCTGGTCACCCTGTTTGATGATCCACCAAACACCATCGGTGCAGGCCGCGTTTTTCGGAACCAGCCATTTATTCGTCCACCAACAATAGAAATTAATGTTTCTCACTCTGTAGAGCTGTCGCTGTCGTGACAAGGCCGTGTATACTCCAAGTCTACACGTAGGATGAAGAGTAACAGTTACTGCTGATAATGAAGTTTGCGCTCGTGGACAATACAACGCTGTGTGAAGTAAATTGTGGCTCCACAATCGCTCTGAATGCTAATGTGTGTCCATGGAATATTAAAACACAATAGGCGCGGTGCAGCTAACGCCTAACGTGGATGAAACGGACAACAGCAGCGACTAGAGCGTTTTCCTTCCTCGGTGAACACTGCTACAAGACATTATGCTTGATGATTCACCAAACACCATCGTTGGGGGCCAAGTTTTCCGGCGCCAGCGAGTTGTTCGTCCACCAACTAACTTTGATGAGTCTTTCTTCAACACTTCGTAGAGCAGCCGCGCAAGGCCTTTCCTTCGCGTTAGGGTAGCGATCCTTCCTAGATGATATCGCTATTCATTGTTACTTTTTACTACAATGAGTAGTGTTTCTCCGAAAATAAAGTCAGCTGCCTGGGCATTAGGCATTAGACTAGTACTGCCTAGGCCTAGCGCCTAGTGCCTGGACTTGGAAAAAAATTGATTTTGCAAGTCTTCAATCATGTTTGCATATGTACGCGCTATCATATCCAGCCATGTGGCGTGAACAGATCAGTCCGTGCGCCAGACCCTGTTTTGGCCCGATTTTTATTTTCTGCGCGGGAACCATACATGCAGACGTTATGCAGGGAAAGATGACGACGCCGGTCAGTAAATTGTTGGTCGATTTGTTGCCTACCTCGAGGCCAGTCGGTGAAATGAGGGCTTCCTTCTTCAAGAAATATGTTGCCAGTCGTTAGTCGGATGCCACTCGTCTTCTAAACATCGTACTTGATGCAACCAGCGCAGTTGGATGGACAGGAGGCGAGGAATTTATCGTTTTCGATTTTCACCCTATTCTGGGTTGCCATTACATTGCAGCTGGCAGCACCACGAGGGAATTTTTTGCACAAGGGAGACTAGGTGAATTCAACTCCTCAGAGATATCGCCATGACAGGGTAAGGTTATTTTAGCCCTGAAATTGTGTACAAACCAACGGCACGAAATTATGGAAATATTTATTTTTTCGCAATAATTGCATGTTGGTTGAAAAAATGTAGCCATCTTTGTATTGTGGCATCCTGGCGGTGTATTTCGTAACTATACTGCATGACAATATTATTTATGAGAAATGGCAGCGATTGCAGTGATTGTGAACAATGTACAATCAACAGCATTGGCAAAATTGATGCAGAGCTGTATGGTACTTTAGTACAATTTGCCTGTATATTGGTATTTTACACACAATGCATGAAACAGAAGAGCAAAATTATTATTGACTTATCAATTTATAGCTAGGACATGAATATGAAACCCATAACCAATGCCAATGACCCAGGGTCTGTGCACCTGCATTCGAATATATAAAAAATCCCCTGTGGCATAATCATGTACTCTGTGCATACACATGCTTGGGGGGGGGGGGGGGGCGATACTTGCTGCTTTACATGGTGGAAATTGTGGTGCTATGCTGCTTGGTATGTATGTGCGTGCGTGTGTGCGTGTGTGTGTGTGTGTGTGTGTCTGTGTGTGCACACTTCACTTTCCGGCTGTGTATTGATGCCTATGTAGATATCACCATGATCAACAGGGTCAAACGCTTCCAGCGGACAACAGTGGATCACCTCATTTCTCCCACTGGAGAGGTCCTAGCTTGAAGTGATGTATGACTATCAATTCTATTGACTAGCCTTGAGGCATGTACCAAACGTCAGCATGTCTGTGATATCAATACATCACACTTACATTTGAAAGCTAGATGCTGGAATGCAGCCAAGTGGGCTTTTCGTCAAACACAACCCTACCAATGAAATGAAGGCAACGGGCAGAGACCACTAATGGTAGGGCCACACAAGGTGGCTGTGCCAGTGGGGAAGACCCAGCTCAACAAGGTGTTATTGCAAGTTTGATCGGAACAGCACCCTGGTCCAAATCCTCAATATCAGTGAATCTTACTGGTCCATGTGGCTGCTGCCTTGACTCGTGATGCCTACGATTGGATGCAAGCTGCACGAAGTATGTTGCAAAGAAGAGTACAATGGATCTTGAACTTAGCACGAGAGGCATGCACTTCGTTGATAACAGCAGAACCTTTGCATGACTATCATAACACTCTCCTTATTGCAATATTTAGCCAATGCTCCGTTTGTTGTAGCAGCTACCACACAACTACAAGTATGCATTCATTACCTGGCTGGCTTGTATAAACTTGTGAATGCAATCACGTGATGCTTTGTGCACATATGCTCCCATACTTTAGCGTGTGTGTGTGTGTGCATGTTTATGGGTGTGTATGTTCGTGCACGTACGTACGTGTACATGTCTGTGCGTTTACATGTACATGCAGACGTGTGTGGGTCTGTTGAAAAAAGCGCATGAACACGTGTCAATTCACGTGTGCATGTATGTACGGGTGTATGGTAAACGTATTCTTTGCTCCATGCGTCCGCCGTGAATGAAGGTACGAGACTTAATGTGTCATAGCTTGTGGCGGTTGTTCTGTAAATAGTAGCACCGTATCCTGGCCATCCGCAGGTGCCATTTTTTCACTTCAATTCTGCATTGGCTCAGGTGCTGTATTTGTAGTGTCATCCTCTCTGCATGAATTATTTATATTTCTTTCCCACCTCAGTACTGTATTTGGCTGGATATTGTTGCTGTTGTACATACAAGTATAGGCACATGCATTGATCTGCGAGGGTTTGTGTTTGGAGCTCCAGCAACCTGTTGAGGTTCGTGTTGTTTATAAATTCGTGGTCTACGGATACAATGGTCTGACTGGTACATCGCAGAATACTAGGACCCCTTGAACGATTCTGTCGGTCGTTCCTAAGTTCCCCAATTGAAGACATGTGTGTGTCAAATTGTGTCAAAAATACAGTGTTGACAAAACGGTTGGTATCACCGCTGTCGGATATTTTGCACAAGCCAAAATTGGAGGATGCACTGTTGGCTAATATCTCTTTCTAAATAAATAAGCAGGAAATAGCGAAACCCTTGTACAAACCAACGGCACGAAATTATAGCATGTTCAACCAAAATATCAGCGACATAACGAAAACGCAAGCGACGAGCGAGAACTCAACTTCTCCTTATTTGTTATCGCCACGGACAAAACTTAGGGCAGAGAACAACTATTAGGTTGGATTTCGACAACGATCTGAGACGAAGAACTCACGGGGGACGTAAACCAAAGGACGACGAAGGAGACGCCATTGAGTATTCGTCTCGCGATATCTTGAGAAAACTGCGAAATCTGGCAAATCTGGAAAATAAAAGTGCAACTTTTAGACGACTTTTTCTGAACTGGCGCACGGACTGAGCTCATGAGATTGCCTGACGTGAAAGGTAGCGCGGGCGCGCGCGAGTCGCAAGCGCTCGCGGACGTGTCTGACACGTGAAACGAAAAGATTTTTTTGGCGGGTAGTCGGCAAAAATTAAGTGACGGTCCCTTTATTATTTAGTCCTTCGCCATACATTTCATGACATGACGTCACGACAGCTATAAAATTTATTGTGGGTCGATTGTAGATCTACCAAACGTACCCCAAAATTGGGTACAACTCTCGGGGCGCGGGGATCCCGGCCATGACGTTCATTCACGATCACTCACCTGGTCCTGGCCTTGCTTGGTCAGAAAAGAAAGTCTGCTGCACGTAGACCTATTACTACGCCATGGCCTACACCTACTCAGGGAGTCACACTCACAGACTCACTGACTGTCCACTGCATGCACTGACATGATACAGACCTCAGTGTATGTAGACTCCCAACATCTGCACATTTTCAGCAAGTAACTGTTTTCGTTGCTTTTGTTTTGATTCCATCACTGCATGCAGCAGGTGCTTTAGTCGCAGAGATTAGTTGTATTGCGGCCTCCTTTTCATCGGAGAGTGAGGCCTATGTGTGCCGCGAGCTTGATGACCCGTAAATTCTTTGAAGTAACTGTTACTTGTCCCGATTATTATTCTCTTGAGAATTTGAAGTTCAACTTTTCAGAAACCTTTTCGGATGATTACCAGTAAGTTTTTTTTTCTTCTCAAGATATTTCCTTCTCTTTATTTCTGGACCTGCGCCTTCGATCATTTATCACCCGTCAACTTCTTCTCACTCCCAACTCCCCAGAGCTAGCTGTGCACCTTCCTTTGTTTCTCCTCTTTTAGATCTCGCATTTGTGCTAAAGGATGCATGCAATATATTCCTTTACTTTAGTGTTCTTTCAATGAGCCTGGTTCATTTGTGCTTTGTTGTTACCATCGTTTACACCGTTGTCTTCTTGGTTTGTTTTATGGCTTGTTCCCCTTTTTTTCTTATTGTATTGTACAGCGTAATTACCGGTATGTCCCACGATCAGTCCATTATGGCTGTTTCTCATCGCAATCCACATTTCTGCGGGGGAGTCATGCGCCCATTGAATGGTTCAATGGACGGTCCACCGCCACCTCTTCTCGCCGCGTCCGCAATGGCGAAACAGCATTCTGGAGATGTGTCTTCCACGAAGGTATTGTAAACATGTTGAATTTTCTTGGTTTGTAAGGTCTTGAGATTTTTAGTATTTTTCCTCTTCGAGTAAATTTAATTTTGGAACTATTTTGACTCTGTGAACGTAAGCGAAGCGTGAAGCGGTATTTGCATGTGGAGCACGGAAAATGAAAAAAGAGAGAAACTCTTTCACTTCTCCTACACTTTTAGGCACGGAGAGAGTGGTGCCCATGACGATCTTTTGCTGTCAAACACCTTCCCTTTGTCGTGTTTTTGTGGTTGTCCTTCTTACTACCCAGGGGAAGTGTGGGTGCGGAGCTTGCCTGTGTACGAGATATCCTACCTTTGTTCAGAGGATCTAGAGACGAATAGTGATGCATGAGCAATGCAGTGTGCCTTCCCCCAGCATAGTTGAAATGGCTACCCCGTCCTTGTGAATGAATGGTGTGTGTATCATGGCATGTGATAGCCCTTCTGTGATTTTTGCAGCAACAGCTTTCCAAAATGCTCGTGTAGAAACTGATTATGGCAAGGGCAATATAAACGTGACTCCCTTCCTTTCCTATTTTTGCCAGTTTCTTTTGAGATTCCCACCATGGAAAGCAGTGCACATTGGAGTAAAGCAGAATGATGGTGGTGTGTTGGGAGGGGGTGGGGTGGCATTGCATCGTGTGAGCCAACTAGTAATGCCCCTCTCTCTCTTTGGCCCCGTGGTATCAACATTCTGGCCCTAAAAGCTGGACTTGTTTATCCACGTGCCTCTCTAAAAGTATGGTCGTGTCCTTACCTGACCCTACTTTCGCTGGGGCACTACATCAAAGTTTCTGGTTGTTATTTGGTAGGTGGGCATATCACTGTTGCCTATCCCTTCCTAACTCCAGTTCAACATGCTAACTTGCTGGCATAGACATTTTAAGGTACCCATTAAAAAAATTATCATTGCCACTCTGGTACCTGCAGGGCACGCTTGTTCAGAAGATTTGGTATTGCGTAGCAGTGATCTGCACTTCTACACGCGTGCATGCAAGTACACAGTTGTGGACATTGAAATCCGACTGAGTGACAGCGGTGTCTTGTGCGCCGTACATGCCGCTATGCAAATGGTTTAGCCTAGCACTGAACATCTCAATGGCCACTATACTGCCCTCACATTGTAATCAGATGTTCTGTTTTTGGGCATCTTTAAAGGGGAAGTTAAGGCAAAAATCAAAATTTCACCTGTTGTAATCTTCGGGGTGCTGAGTCGAATGGTCATGGTCCGAGGAAGCTAAGACGCTCCCTTCCTACTTGAATCCCAATCGAACTCGCGCACTTCCACCGAAACTGGGTGACTGCGCCCTACTAGATGGGGATTTGTATGCAAAATGTCACTAAAAGCGCCATTTCGTTCTTATAAAAGCACGGATGACCGCGATTGGCCCATATGTTGTAGTCTTTTGGACGCTGAGTCGACTGGTTTTGGTCCGAGAAAGCTGCGATGCAGCGTTTCTCCTTTATTCCCAATCGAACATGGTTGAACAAGCGGTCACGTGCTCCTGCGTGCCCAAGTCACCTGGTCACAGCGCCAGCAGGCGACAACTTTCACACCAAGGTTCAACTCGAGTTCAACTCGAGTGACAGGACTGCACCCAAAAAAGGTCAAACAGGCTAGTAAGTTGTACCCTGCAGGCACGGTGACCAGGTGACTGGTGTACGCAGGAGCACGTGACCGCTTGTTCAACCATGTTCGACTGGGAATGAGGGCCGAACGCTGCATCGTAGCCTTTTCGGACCAAAACCAGTCGACTCAGCGGCCAAAAGACTACAACATATGGACCAATCGCGGTCATCCGTGCTTTTATAAGAGCGAAATGGCGCTTTTAGTGACATTTTGCATACAAATCCCCATCTAATAGGGTGCAGTCACCCAGTTTCGGTGGAAGTGCGCGAGTTTGATTGGGATTCAAGTAGGAAGGGAGCGTCTCAGCTTCCTCGGACCACGACCATTCGACTTACCACCCCGAAGACTACAACTGGTGAAATTTTGATTTTAGCCTTAACTTCCCCTTTAACTATGACTGGATTGATTTCTACACACAAACACTTCTTCGTGTACCCTGCTTTGAACGTGCTCCATGCCTGCGCACGTGGCTTCAACACGAGCGGCTCAGGCCGTGTGCACTTTCAGCCGGATTTCCATTTCCCGATCTGCACCTGTTCCTGCCATGTGGCACTCGGTATCTTGTCATATTGTACTGCGTATTGCAATGGCCTGCCTACATCCTAGCCAGATGATGGACACATCGTACATTTACTTTTTTCCCTGTTTTCATGCTAAGTGTTTTACGACGATGTACCTACGCGATGTCAACTGGCTTGCTTTTCTTTGTGTATCTTTGGCAGTACCTGATGATGAGTGATGACAAAGTCGTGCGGAATGGACTCGGTGCGACAACAATGGGAGCGTATGCTCCCGCACCCGTGGTGTCCAGCTTGGTTGGCCAGCAGCGCGGCCATGCGGCAGCTCCCGGCCACATTGCTGAGGTAGGTGTTTGGCAGTTGCAGTCTGGTAGTGTTCTGGCCTTCCCAATAGCAAGCTCGAACACAAGAGTGCTCCTCGGTGAGCAGTATGGCTAGGCCTGTGCGAAACTGGGAATCTCTCTCACTCTCTCTCTCTCTCCCTCTCTCTCTGCATCCTTTTACAGTGAAAAGCTAGCACATCTCGTAATAAGTCACGAGCATTCCAATTGTCTATCACTGTTGTTTTCGACCATGTGCTTCTCTAAAAGTAGGCCTGCAGTCATTTAATGGGCTCTACTTTCGCTGGAGCACTGCATCACGTTCTGATTGTTTATTGGTGGTTGGGCAGCATACCATTGCCTTTCCCTCCTCGTCACCGATCCAACATCCCTGAAGGATTAGCATTGGCAATGGTCGGTTGGGCTAATGTGGAATTCCTCAACGAGCTTAAAGCCCTTGTATGGAGCGTAACCATGTGCTTGCGTGTGTGTGCTTGCACGTGTGTTTGTATCTTAACTCTAGGCTCGTCCTGTTACAAAGTCCCTTCAAGACTCAGTGCCATCACTTATGGATTCGCAACGTCAACCTGGCAAACTGGATCCTGTTGATTTGGCTCCTGCTGTTCCTCCGCCTTGTTCTCGGGAGGTAAGAATTTTTTGCTTTTCTCGCCACAGTGCATCCAGGTTGTGGGGATGTGCATCTGTGTGTGTGTCTGTCTGTCGGTCTCATAACAGTAGTAGTGCACAGCCTCGCCTCGCTGTAATATCACGTTTTGATACTGACAAATGTTGACTTTTCGACGATACCGGTCTTCCTTCAGAACGATTTTCTGGCTGGACCATTGCTGGTATGTCTTGCTTGTCTATAAGTGCGGCTTCGCCAGTTATGTGAATTGGGCCGTTCACTGGCGCAGATCTTCATCTGTTTCATTCAAATCTTGTCCGCTATCGTTGCTATAACCGGATACAAGGTGGTGGTTGTGGTCAGTATGTATCTGAGTCCTGGTATCATGCCAACCGTTCGTTGTAAATTCCAAGACAGACAACAAATGTAGAAAAATGGCGCCAGTCTTCGTGTTGTTCTTCTTGTCTTCCGACTTATAGTCTTCGTGTTGGAGTTATTGTTTTTTCTTAAGTTTAATCATTGTTATTTTGTTCTCCTGTGTTATGTGCAGAAAGAAGAGTTTATGGCCAGTCTTGGGCTGATTACGATCCCAGTGTACAAAGGTAGGCATACACCGATTTGTGATGGCTGTATCAGTGGGAGTTTTGTTGTTGCAGTATAGTGGGCTATATCGTAATATGGGTGTTTTCAACCTTGTCTTGGTGTCGAAATGATGAAGCGGGGTATCGGCACGGTCTAGAATCCGTATGCGCACACTCTGTTTTTCGTACTCTTCGTGTAACTGCCGCGTTCCTCGGAAGTTGGCTGGCGCTTGGGTTGATTTTCTCTTTTTTTACAAGGGCTGTTTTGCAGACAAATGTACTATCAAGCATGAGGTTTGTGTTGCTCGTGTGTTTGTGGTTTGCTAGAAATCAAGGCCAGGAGACAAACTAGAAAGCGTCGAAAGGCAGCCCCATATTCAATTGACCTAGCGGAGCAGGAGGTGAGAAAAATGCCTGGCTTGGAACTCGTTTTTTTCTTCATTTCTTCCTGTAAAATCGTGAAGAAATGCCCTTGCCACTGTGAGCAAGATGTCCTTTAATGGCTACCACAATCTCAGTCTTTGAAGGATATGGCCTTACAATTTCTCACGATCACGCATGTTTTCTCCTACAAATATTACATGTGTGTGGGTTGGATAAAAATCACATGCCCCGTCCCGCCCAAATGGGCAAAGTGGAGTTTTCTCTTGAAAACCTTGCCTGTGCTATTGAAAAACACAGGGAACACGAAAAATGAGTGAAATCCTGGAAATCCTGTTCAACGAGGCTCTTTAGCAAGCCCTACGCCTGCAAAGAGTAGTAATGTTACCACTTGGCCACATAGTAGCAAGGTTCCTTCAGGATTCCACTGGGGCTCGCTCATCTAACTTGGACTGTCACTGCCAACAGACTCCTTAGAGCTGGTAGCTGACGTGCAGTCAAAACACCCTGGTCGATGGCCTTTAGCACGCCGCTCCGCCATAATTAATGACAACTATTTCAGACTGCACACTTGGGCCCAAAACTTTGTGGCCTATTTTTCTTGGAAGTTTGAAAATTGGACATGATGTGATTTCTACCCGATCCGCTCACACGTGTTGATTGTTCATTTCCGTGAGTACCGGACATTGACTATTCACTATGTATTCAGTATGTGCTTCTCTAAAAGCATGCCTTCATTTTGGTTGGGTCATGTTTTCGCTGGAGCACAACAGCAAATCATGTGGTTGCTTATTGGTGGACGGACATATCCTCTGTGGCCCTTCCTCCTCGTCACCAATCGCACAGTCATTTTTGTCTCCCAGATATGACGGATAGAGATTTCCGTTTGCAACAATTCAGTGAAAATGGCTGGCAATATCTTTCATTTTCGTTTACTCGTGGAGCAGATTAATCCAGGCACACGTTGATTGGGTAGAAATCACATGCCCCCCCCCCCCCTCCCTTTTTAAGATGGAGTCACCATATCCGTTCCTGTTGTAATGCAGCTGTGATGTCATGTTGTCCATTTCCGTTCCTGTTCAGGCTAAGCGGATGCGCGAGATGAAGGATGCACGTGCGAACGCCAAGGCGAAGAGCAACGGTGAGTTTCACGGTGATGTGCATTTTATTTTGCATCAGCAGGTCAGCATTGAGTAGTGCTTCTCTAAAAGCATGCCTTCATTGTGGTTGGGTCATGTTTTCGCTGGAGCACAACAGCAAATCATGTGGTTGCTTATTGGTGGACGGACATATCCTCTGTGGCCCTTCCTCCTCGTCACCAATCGCACAGTCATTTTTTGTCTCCCAGATATGACGGAAGGGGATTACCGTTTGCAACAATTCAGTGAAGATGGCTGGCAATATTTTTCATCATGGTTTTCTCGTGGAGCAGATTAGTCCAGGCACACAAACTGTCTGTAGAGGTCCTGCTTCCGGCATGTTTTCACGCTATTTGTGTTCATAGATCATCCATGTGCTACGCTGAGAGCTTTGCAAATTTGCTTGAAGTCTAAACGGTGACCTTTCTCCATGTCTTGGTGTATTGCTTGTAGTAAATTTTTTATTTGTTATTTTTTGCGCTCATCCCACTCCTCGTTCCCGTTTCTGTTCGGTTTGCTCCCATCTGACTGTATTCGTGTTTGTATAATGTGCATCGTGCAGGCCGGAACTTCCCACCGCTAGCTCCCACTCCGTTAGGTAAGAATGCGATGGCGAAGCCAGCAGGTCCTTCGCCGTTTGTACAAGAGCGCGATCCCAGCCTCCAGCTCAACGTAAAAACAACGGTGGACACTGGCGCGCAAACTGAGGGTGGCTTAGCGCGCAAGAGAAAACGGCAACTACTCTTCGTCTGCTCGGTAAGTTTGTTTTGCTTGTTCCTTCCTATGTTCCTACTTCCTGCTTCTGTTAGAAATGGGAGGTAAGCATCTAAGATGGCCTTCACCTTTTTGCAGGGCAAGTTACCCCATACTTGGCAGGTACAACCCATTATAGTACATTTATGAACATGACCTCGCAAAGTTCATGACCTTTTATGCAGAGTTGGTATCAAGGTGTGTACGGTTGCAGTGGACTTGCCCCGCTAAACCTAATGGCGGGATATTGATGCATACGTCACATTGTCTAATCCTGTAAGAGACGCCTCTCTGTTGCTGGGTAGTTTCAGGATTCGGGTATTACGGAGGTTTAGCGAGACGAATTTCGTGTTCGCACTCCAATGCAAGTCGAACTCAGTTGCGAAATTCGTGTTATGATGAGGATTAGCAAACAGAATTCACACTTGCATGACGCTGGCAGGTCGTGCATGTGTACAGATAGTACAGTGTAGTAAATTTATGACTCACCTGCACGAATCCGTGATCTGTGTTTCGACTGCTTTTCCAAACGAAAAGCGAAAGTTCGCAATCCAGTTCACCAACCGAAAAATGTTCCCGAACGTGGAATTTGTGATCCTTAATCTCCGTACTACTGTCAGTGTTTCCTTTCAATGAGTTTTTTGTTTTGTTTGCTCTCATATTCTGCCTTTAAAGTGCCGGTCAGTTTTCAATGACTGGTGTGCGTATGATTGATTGTCTGTGAAAGTTTCTAATTAATTTCAGGGTTTGAATGAGTTTCGATGTTTGAGTGTATTAGACTTCCTTCACCACTTGTCAAGTACATACAGTGGATAGCGGCTTTGGCGCCGAGAAGCCGATATGTTTATGGTTGTTTTATGTGTGTTTGTTCTGTTCATTCGTCCTGTTTCCACAGGAGGACCATGATGGGCTGTGCGAGATCTGTGATCAAGCAGGCGAGCTTCTGCTGTGCGACACGTGCACGAAAGCGTATCACTTCACTTGCCTGGTACCGAACCTGCCCACGATGCCACAGGGCATGTGGATCTGTCCCAAGTGCCAGGTTAGTTGCATGCGACATTTTGTTCAGTGTTTTGGATTGTTTTAGTGCCAACTTAATCTCGTAACATGTGCACTCAACGCTAACATGGGGAACAACCCCAGAGATGAGGGCAATACCCAGCCATGGCAAATATACAAAAGAAATACAAGAAAAAGTACATGTCTTGCTTGGACAGGCTATGTTGCTAAACCCTTGCAAAAAGTGCCCAATACCACGAAGGCAGAGTCAAAAGACACATGTTAGCAATGGACCTAGGCTGAAGTATGTTGTTACTCAGAGGTTCACGGTTATCCACCAATCCTCAAACGTTGTCTTGCTTTTATGTGTTTGTTTCTGCAGGATGAAGCTGCGAACACGGAAGTCCGTGCCTGGCCGGGTACGATCAGCCTTGTACGCGCCTTCACTCAATACGATGATGGTGAGTACCACTGCCTGTCTATTTCCACTGTCTCTAGCCGGTTAAGGCACACTGCCTCTGTGACGTGTTATCTTCTCGTGTGCCACATGTTTGCTGTTCGTGTTGGTATGTGTGTACATGTGCATGTGCTTCTCTAAAAGCATACCTTCAGTTCTGGTTGGGTTATGTTTTCGCTGGAGCACAACAGCAAATCATGTGGTTGATTATTGGTGGACGGACATATCATCTGTGGCCCTTCCTCCTCGTCACCAATCGCACAGTCCTTTTTTTTTCTCCCAGATGTGACAGAGATTTCCGTTTGCAACAATTCAGTGAAAATGGCTGGCAATATCTTTCATTATCGTTTCCTCGTGGACCCTTAGTCCAGGCACACGTTGGTTTGATTAGAAATCACATGCCCCCGCCCGAATAGCACGTCTCTCTACTGGGCACCTTCGGCTTGAGTTCCTATGGCAAAAATGCTTTGAATTTGGAGGGTTTGAACTTCGTCTGCGCAAGTGCTTATTTGTCACTGCCATCCTGTGAAATCCACACATTTTTATCAATGGATTCTTTCTGTATCCTGAACATGTGCACTACGTGCCAAATAAACTTCTTCAAAAAGTGATTATAGATGCGTTATCCTGAGATGCGGGCAGATCTGAGATACGGACAGTGCCCGGTCCCAAGGTGCTCGGATAAGAGACGTCCGAGTGTACCTGGTTAGCAGTATGTACGACAGCTGCATGTGCTGTACATTATTGCACACAGTCACTACCGGTCTTTGTACATACCAGTATGCGGGGCCAGACGTTTCGACGAAGTGCATCTCAGTTTTGGGCGATGAAAACCGAATCACGGCCAGCCAATTTTGATTCGCAACCTGCGATGCGAACCCGGATAGATCGACCCCTGGTTAATGCCCCTCCTGTTCTGCACTCACTGCTTTGTTTGAAGACCATTGCGCATTGTTTGCTATCCAACTCTGATCTTGTAGCATCGTTTATTTCCAGTGCTGGATTTGCCTTCCACAGCACTGACCTCCAATGTGCATGTACTTGTTAAGGTGCCAGTCATAAGTATTACCATCTTGCCCCGTGACCATACTGATCTGGGTTTGATCTGGACTTTTATACTCCGGTGTGATTGTTTCTGTCATTTCCTCGCGTAGACCGTGAGGGACAGCGCCGTGCCCTGGAACAGGAGCTGCAGCGTAAACGTCAGGAACGCGCACAGCTGCATCAGTCCCTGGCGGCGCTGACGCAAACTGTATCGGTACGTTAGCCTGTCTCTTTTCTAGTTAGAGGTTGAATAAAATCTGCTCCGAAATACGGAGGACGTTCCCATGAGTCATGGTACTTGCATATGGTGCAGAGAGGGTAGCAAAAGCCATGCAATCTGCATTCACAATGTACGCACGACCAAGAAAACTCACCCGCTGTTTGAAAGTATTTGGGATTTGGGGTCCTTCATGAGTGGCATGAAGACTTTCTCGCTGGAATGAATTGGTACTGGCCCCTGGGTCCACAGGAAAAAAACAATCTTCTTTCTACTTCACATACAGATGCCCATAAACCCAGGATGATATTATTTGTGTATGACCTGATCATGTCCATAGCTACTGTTCTGATGTGCCTTATAAGAAATGTGCCTTCTTGCCATGACCTGGCTATTTAGCTATTTTTCTCTTTTTGTCATGCTGTGCTTCATCATGGGACTGTCACCCTGCCACCATAGACAAGAGTGCGGAAGCAAACCGCTTACACTCCAGGTACAGACATGACTCTGTATTATAGAACAACTGCTGTTAAGAATCTGCTGGAGAAGGCTTCCCCGGCACACCCTGACACTCTCTTGCAAGACCAGGCGGAGAAAGCAAGCATTTGAAAGTTAGTCATTCCGTGGGCTGATTGTCCTACTGGTATTGCGATATGTCATGTAGGTGGTGATTGACGGACTCGCTTATGCATCGTGCCCATCCTGGCACGGACACAGTGCACTCTTTTGTTTCTCATTGTGCTATGTTACACATTATTTTTTTACAACTGGATATATCATTATCTGTTCATTGGCTGTAGTAAGTATCCCAAGGTGCAACCTCTGTTGCCCGATGTGCATCTTCTTTCTGTCCACGTCCTTGTTGCATAGTCTTGCTTCTTTTCTTGCCTCCGGTATTGGCAGTCATATGCTCTTGCCTTAACTGTGATTATCATGGATGTTTGATGTTGCGCAGAGTTTTTGTCAGTCCACGCCTGGCTGGGCTATCCATCGCTGGTGCTGGGGTGTTGCTTTTTCTTTCCTCAGTGGCATGGACTTGTTTGGGGAGTGCAGAGCGATGCATGTGTCGATCCCTCTCATCCTGCTGGATATTTAATAGTCTTACTGAATTTGCTGGACTACGAGTAAGCGGTGGATTCATGCTCCATAAGTACGTCGACCGTGTTGCAATATTATCATCATATCTCCAGATGCGTACTCTAACCTAACATCACGCGTTGCTTTCTGCATCCTGACCTTGACCTACTGAGTCCTGTACTTGTGCCATGGCAGACCTATTGTGTATTCGATTATTACTCCCTCCTCTTTTTTTGTTTTGTTTTTCTTTCCCAGGCAATGGCCGTGCGTCTGGGCCTCGTGTTGAGCCTTGTTTCTTGTTTGACTGACTGGTGTACTTTCAGAATGCAGTGTGCATGTGAGGACATGGTCGATGTGTAGTGCACTCGTTTCTCTCTTTCATCCGCACGGTCCAGGACCGGGCGCTGCCCATGCATGTACGTCCATACTTGTGAATCACGTACTTGTACGGTTTGATAGCGAAGGGCTAGAGATCTGCGATCACGTCATTATTTCCACAAAACAATGGCGAAAGAAGTAATATTTTCCAAACTCACCCACGGGTACGGGGTGCCCATAACTTGAAGGCCCGGAGAAGAGAGATTTGAGTGTACTACACATACCCGTGCCAAGAGTAAATCAGCGCCCATCGGAGCTTCTAATTGTGTAATCTTGGTAGTAGATCTACTCGTAGTACTACAAGAAGAGCGGCAAAGTGTCCTGCTTTAGGGAAGATGCCACAGACTGGAAGTGCGGGTCACAGAGTTGCACGCGTCTGGTTGAAAACAGTTGTACTTATCCAGTGTCATTTGGACTGGAAATTAGAGCACTGTTACATTATGTAGCATCCTTTGGTATAATTATAACACAGAGGAAGGTTGATGTCACAGTATAGGAATTAGCGGAGAAGTGGTGTTTTGTGTTCACCCGGGAACGATTATGATTGATTGATTTGAGGATTGTATGAGGGAGCACAGTGTGGGATAAAAAGGAGGGGGGGGGGGGGTGACGAGTGCAGGGTCGGCCTTTGTCTTTGTGCGTAGAGTAGAGTGAGAGTGCACCCACGGCCACCCCAGTTATCACCATGATTGTAATTTCGTATATCATGCCATGTCTCATCGCTGCCTTGCTGCTTTGTGCCATCAAATGGTGTGTGGTTTTTTGTAAAGAAAAAAAATATCATCGCTTTGATTATTCTGGAGTTCTGTGGTTTTTGGTTGTGACTCGTACATAGCTGGAGTTTTTGTTGGACTAGGCAGTGTATTGATGAGGGGTGAATTCCCCGAAACACTGTGTATCGCCGACTTGATACCGGTACTTGACTGACTCACGACTGCCATCCAGAGCACACGACTCCGTGACGAGAAGTCCATTGAACCTTCGACTCGGCAAACCTGCAAGAAAGCACCACATACGTCTGTTCTCACGTCCAGGAGCGACACTGACTCATGGAGTCATGCTGCTATCTGGCGTTCACGAGGTGTTTGTCGCGCTGGAAACGGAGCGTCTCTGTAAGTTGGTATCCCTGGTGATGTTGTGCCTGGAGAGTACAAGTCATGTCATGTACATGTACCGGTACTACCAAGACTCGCAAGAGTACATAACCGTTATGTACTCTTGGTACTACTATTACTAAGTACTAGTATTATAAGTGGTGCTCTTCGGGCACAATCTTCCTACTCATGCTCAACTGATAAAACTTTAAAAGAGGTAAATTCCCAATGTAGCCTACCGGCTCGACCGTCCACTCGGCAAACTAAAGTACAAGCACTTGCAAGAAATACCACTCCTTGATCAATACACAGTTCGTATTGTTGTCCCGCTGCGGGCATGTGACTAGCGTTATAAAAAATATCGGATGTGACAGCGTTGGGAAATGGTCGACAACCATGGTGCATGACCTGGAGCAAGCGCCTCCGGCTCCGCAACCACTGTCACTGATATGATACTTATTGTTATTACCGGCATGAGTCTGTGCTGAGTGCCCATGCGACCCTGACTCACGCTGCATGCCTGGCGCTCACGAGGTGTTTGTCGCCCTAGAAACGGAGCGTCACTCTAAGTTGGTATCCCTAGTGATGTTTTGGTGAATCTCCCCCCCCCCCTACACTTTATAAAAATTGATTACATCTAGCAGGGAGATGTGCTTTCTTGCAGCCTTGCGGATCCGGAGTGGACGTTCCTCTTGTGTGCTTTATTTTATTTTATTTTGTTATTTACTTGAAAAAGCACATAACCACCAGGAAAGCTGACAAAGAAAAAAGAGTAAGAAAAGACAGATAAAAAGAGAGCAGAGAGAGAGAGAGAGAGAGAGAGAGAGAGAGAGAGAGAGAGAGAGAGAGAGTGAGAGAGAGAGAGAGAGAGAGAGAGTTGGGGTACGGTTAGGGGAGGACGAGACATTGAATGGTGGTCGCCACAGTCACAGATAGTAGCAGTGCTGGTGAGGCTACAGGCACTCCACTGACCATTAGGTCGGAGTATCGCCATGCCGGTAACGCACCAAGAGACAAAAAACGGAAGAAAATCTGAAGCGCAATATATGAATGGTAATTACAATATAGGTAATAGGGAGAGTGGTGACCAAGAGAGGACAGTATAGACCGTGAGTATGGGGTGCTTCAATGCACTTCCCCAAACCGAGAGGTGCGATCTGGAAAGAACAGTGAGACAATCAACATGATGGGCTTCAAAGCATGTCCCAAGACCATGGCTGGTCTGAAATGTGTTTGTTGACACCTTTTTTAAAAGCTGTGAGTGGAGAGTGATTGGCCAGACGGGGAAAGACGTCCTCGGGGAGGCTGTTCCACAATTCAAGGAAACAGTACGGGAAGGAACGTCGAAGATAATCGGGACTGGTGCCGGGGGTGGTGTTTAAGAGCTGTTCCCGGTGCTGGGGCTGAGCATAATGCTGCTGGCGGGTTCGAACAGTATCGGCCCGTGGTTTTGGGGGAGGGCGCATGCGTGTCAGACGGGGTGGGCCCTTGCAGTTAACTACCTTGTAGAGATAGGACAGCCCTGCGACCGTCCGTCTGGCCCGCAGACTCTGGAGGACGGTGGTGGGTCCAATCATCTGCATGGCCTTGCGCTGTGCTGTGTCCAACTTCCCAAGGTGGGTCTGGGCAGCACCAAGCCAGGCTAGTGGGGCATACTCAAGTATGGGCCTTACAAAGCCCTTATAGACGGTTAGGCGTCCAGCAGCATCCAGGATGGGGGCTGCCTTCCGCATGAAATGGAGGCGTTGATGTGCGCTCACAGAAAGCTGGTGGAGGTGGGCGCTGAAGTTGAGCTTCTCGTCGAACACCACCCCAAGGGGCTTCAACTGGCTGCTGACAGGAACAGGGGTGCCAAGGAATTGGACAGGGGGGAAGTCTGGAGGGGCCAGCTTCCTGGTCACGGACATCAGCTGTGACTTAGAGGGTTCAAAGGTAACCCTCCAAGTACTTCCCCAGGCTTCCAGCTGGTTTACGGCTGTCTGAAGTGCAGCTGCGGCGGCCTCTGTGGTCTGTCCAGGCATGACAGACGTGTATAACGTAGTATCATCAGCATACACGGCAATGGAGACGCTGGCAGGTAGCTGATCTTCGGCGTCGTTTATGTATACTAGAAACAATGTGGGCCCTAGAATGCTGCCCTGAGGGACGCCTGACCGGATGGTAGAGGGGGTAGAGGTCTGTCCCCCAACAACAGCTTGCAGCTTCCGGTTCTGGAGGTACGATGTTAATCAGGCCAGCAGTTGCCCACCAATGCCATAGCCTCGGAGCTTGCAGAGGAGCCCAGGGTGTGAAACCCGGTCAAACGCGCCTGCTATGTCTATGGCGAGGGCCTGAATGGATCCGCCCTTACTGGTGGTTAAAGCCCATTCATGCTGGAGTGACGTTAGTAGGTCAGCTGTGCCGATTGATTTCCGAAAGCCAAACTGGTTGGCAGACAGGAGGGTATTGCTGTTGAGATGGTTGATGAGCTGCTGGTTGACTATTCTTTCCATCACCTTGGATACTACACAGAGCAAGGAGACTGGTCGATAATTACGGACATCGCCCTTGGCCTTGCGCTTGTGGATGGGAACCACATTGCCATTGGCTACCTTCCCGGGCCAGGCTGTAGGCTGGTAACCATGGGAGAGACAAGACGAGAACAGCTGCGACAACGGCTTTGAGAGCTCAGACGCACACTCCTTTAGAACGCGGCAGGACTTGTGAGTCACAGTGAAGTGTCAGCCAGGAAGCGCGAACTGTACAATGTATTTATGTCATCTGCCGCAGGCGCATAGCGGCATAGGCAGTCGGGCTCGAGCGCTCATCGCATGCCGGAAACCAGAGAATTCCGCAGCCACCTTCTTCTGGTTGTCGTGCTTTCTCATCATTGGAGTTACAGCGTCTTGTTGTTGTGTTGTTGGATACTCTATTTATAGCGGAAATCAAAATCTCTTCTTGCGACAATGACAGCATGTACCAGATTAGCATGAACACCTCCGCTCCTACACCGACAACAGCGACGACGACAACCGGACAATGACAATAGTGCGGACAGCAGCAGCAACAGAAGCTACATAATTATAACTAATACTTACTTTAAGATGCTCTAAGGTCAAGTCGGACCGGACCGTTGGGTCCATGTGCACCAACTGAGACCAAGACTGCAAAAGGCAAGAGTACATAAACCCCGGGGCTAGTCGTGGTTGAGCACTCTTTCAGGCTTGTGTCAAAGTTATCCTGCCTTCGTGCCAGTGGCTCGGAGCTCCGCTGACAGTACTGCAGTAGGATTCTACGAGACAATAATACCGGCCTAGCTAGGGGCCTAGGGGGTTTCCTGGTACTGTACATGGTGGTAATCTTCGCAACTCCTGATCGCGATCGTTCATAATCGCAGGTCTAGGTCTATGACCCGAGTAGACCATGGCCGACGTCGACTGCGACTCGAGAGTGTATGAATGACAGATCGCGCCCATATCGATCGACCATGCGCATATGCAAGGTAGGTCTACATGCACGTATAGTAGATCTACGGCAGATCGATCATTGGTCTAGTCTGCTGTCATGTCAGTACGGTATCGCGGAAAGTGCCACCCGTCGCGTCGACCGGAGCTCGCGGAGCAGCTCGGGAGCCGGCTAGCCAGGAGCTAGGAGATCGATCTGCCCAAGGCCGGCAGATCAACGCAGTGGACGGTGCAGTGTGTGTGGAACAGTGCAGCGGCCGTAACCCGGCGAAGGACCGATATGCAGCGATGGATGTCACCTTTGCGTACTCCAGTGTACGGCGGTGACCCAAGAGGTGACCCCCGTACCACGCGGGTCATGAAGGTCACCCAAATGGTGAAGTCTTACAAAATTGGTATGGAAGTCGACATCCCTATTCGGCCGACTTCACCGAAAGGTCGCGCGAAGAGCGACGATTTGCGTCCTGGCGACCACTCGCGGCAGAATTTAAGTGGGAACGGATAGGATTTGGTGAAATCGCTCTCATTTTTCCATTCGCGATCGGTTTGGTTGGAGAATTTCCGCTAAAAACCTCTTTCTCGCGTGACTTGCTTGCATGACGGAGTGATGGTCTTGTGATAGGCAGGCTTCTTGTTCCAACCGCCAAGTTTCGAAACAGAACAAGAGGGGGGACTGTTTATCTTCGTGGAGGTCTCGGAGTGGGAGGTTTCTTCATCAGCCAGCAGGAGTAAGGAGTACCAGACACCGGAAATCGGTTAGGTTGCAAGCGACCGGCAAGTCAGCGCGGTTCCCATGACCGACAATGGTAAGTGTGACCTTGCATTGCAGTCTCTCTGTTTCGCACCTTGTCTTGCCTTCGGTGATCGGGGTGTACTGGAAAGGAAGCGTGGAGCGCAATGCCCTTGTAGTGCGTGGGCTGTCCTAGCTCTCCTTAGGCTTAGCTGCTTTTTGCTGTCTGCAGTGCGATGATCCTGGCTGGTTGGTTGTTAGTGAGCGAGGTTCTACGCGAGTTGATCCTACGATAATTTTGTCACCCTTGTACCAGAGGAGATGACTGAACTCGGCCAGTGGAAAGATCGTACAAGTACATAGGTGGCTGGGACTGGTAGTTTTAGTTTGATTAGCGTCTTCGAGCGTGAAGTGACTGTGGAAACTCGGTAGCCAGGCCAGTGGCAAGGTTGTGGTTCAGATACTTGGGGATGTGAGAAACAGTTCTTCCTCTTCACACAGTTCAAAATGGCTGCCATCGATTTCGCCTGCACGGCTGTAGTGTTTTCGTCGCCCGGCACTTTCCACAGCTGATTATTTTGATGTGCTGTGGCTTTTCGTCCGTGTGGTATTGACTAGATTGTGTAATCTTTGTGTGTTTTCTTTCGTTGAGCATTGTCGAAAAATGGAAAGTACAGATTCAATCGAGCCCGATTGACGGCCATACACTGCAGAGCAGTTTCGGTCTCGTTCGTACCTAGTTCGCCGACCACATGATCGGCAGGTCAGAAAACTCTTCCCCCGTGTCGTACGCAACTGCTTCCCTTTTGGGAATCTCTCTGATTTTGTTCTATCCCATATCTCCATTAGGATGACACGGCTTGCGAAAGGCTTTGTCCAGGCCGTTTGATCAGTTCGATGACTTTCCGAAACATCTGTAGTACTGAAGCGGAATTTGTGAAGCCTTTTTTGTTCGAGCCGTACGATCATGGTCGTTCGATCATGGTCGTCCTCCCTTTCTTTGTTCGGCCGTAGATCTACGATTCTTCAGTTTCTCATCCTATCATGTTGGGGATGGAGGCCGCATACCAGTATCTGTTTGCGCTTGTGAATACCCGGTTCCCACAGGGAAGCATATAGAGATCGAAAAGGGATCGCTTCGGAGTCATTAATGTTTTCCGGCTTTCTTCTGCTTGTATGCGGACTTTTCATGACGGCGAATTACTGGATTCGATTCACTTCTTCTTCGCAGTCAATGCAGGTACGACTCACGCTTCAGGCCAGAGGAAATGCTTCTTGTCCTTTAGGCCATTCGAACGCCCAGTCCGGGTGCCCGAGCCGTCGTTCAGAATCGACCAGGGGCAGAAAGGGTAGCGAAGAACCGCCCTTGTGTGAGTGCCACAGGCATTTACTTTTGTCGCCAGGGAATATTTCGGGGGATGGAGTGACAACTAATCACAGTACATCATGAACTTGCAATTGAGTTGACCAAGGAGAAGACCGGGGAAGAAAAGATGAGACACGGACAAAATACTATGCGACTTAAATCATACGTTACTCCGCGCTACTTGTTCAAGTATTTAGTTGCTAAATTATTCCAGTCCTGTAATCTACGTGTTGAATGAAAACACTACATTGCATCTAAACATGCCCCCTGCAGTCGGAATACATGTACATGTAAGTCATCTGCCGCAGGCGCATAGGCCGACTGGCGCATGGTATACCGGAAACCAGAGAATTCCGCCAATTTCGACGCATACCAGTGCGTGACTATACATGTAGCGGGCTGATAACAGGCACGTGGAATCTATCAATACTAGGTTGCTGGGAGCCACTTTCAATGCACGCCGGGCCATGCGTCCTGTGCAGCCTGGATGTTGCACTACGAGTAGGGAACATCTTTTGCATGACCGCTTTGCTTCTTCTTGTGTGTGTGTGTGTGTGTGTGTGTGCCCACGTGTGCAGTTCCGGACGCAGTCCCAGATTGACATGCCCCCAGCATTGCCCATGCCACCCCAGATGAGCCGAGCTCTCTCAGAGCCGGCAGATCAGAACCCATTCACGGCGGATCAGAATCCATTCACGGCGGATCAGAATCCATTTTCGCCGTTCGAGTCATCTCTGCACGACCTTGAACAGCTGCTAGGAGACGACTATGACCGTGACGAAACCGACCCTGTCCTGCTGTTCGCTGACAGGAGATGGAAGCCGACCTCATCCGCAGCTTCGTCTGCATCTTCAATCACCCCACCTAGTTCAATTACGCCACCTAGTTCCAATCCTCAACCCCAAGGGCCCACCCACAACGGGTTTCACAACCCACGGTCCGCATTTTTTCCCCAAGCACGTCCGCCGAGGGAGAAGATGCGGCGCACCCGGGACGACCATCCGGTCCGATCGAGCAATTCCAGTGGCAATGGCGGCTCTGGCAGCCGGGAGCAGGCTCCGTGCGTGTGGTGTGGCGAGCTGCAGATTCGTTCGACGAAGACACCGATTGTCTACAGTGCTAAAGTCTTTCTGGGCGGCGTACCCTGGGATATCACAGAGCCAGCACTGTTGTCGGCATTCCGGGCGTTTGGCGTTGTGAAGGTTGAGTGGCCTGGCAAGGACAGGCGGCACACAAGGCACCCACCAAAAGGTAAGATCTCCTTTTAGTCGCTGCCGCAAAGTTGCTATGGCTCTTCTTAGTGCTTACTCTTGTATTTTGCAGGGTTGCTGTTCGGGCAATGTCCGTGGAAACGCACTCTGAAATGTGGCTGTGTTTTGTTCGGGTGGGTGCGAAACAGCACAGCCATAAAAATGCTCATCCCTTTTCTTCTTCGCAATGTTTCTCCATTCTCTCCCCAGGGTTTGTGTATCTTCTGTTTGAATCCGAAGTTGGTGTGCATAAGCTGATCAAGAACAGCCGCGAGGACACGAGTGGAATGCACTACTACACGCTGACGACACGTCGTGTGCACGGGACAGAGGTACGAAATGCTCTCCATCTGTTCTTTCTTAGAGCGGAAGCCTAAAAAAAGCAGGACTTTAATAGAGGTCAATCAAAGGATTGGGTACAACGGGCACAGTCCTTCACTCCTGGGACCGGACTGCCATATACCTAGGTTTGGGCCTCTTAGGTGCATGAACCTGTTTGTATCTAAGCACCAAGCAGCAGTTTAGATTTGTCCGTTGAATCATAATGGAACGAAACGTTTGGAAGTATTTTTCATTTTTTTAAATGTCTTGTGTATCTATTGTTGGGTGCTCCCTGCAGAAGGTGCAGGTGCAAGTGATCCCATGGAACCTAGCAGACAGCAACCGTGGACCCCACAACCTGATCAACGGCATTGACACGAACAAGACTGTATTCGTGGGTGGACTGCACGGGCTTATCGTTGCAGGTAGGTCTCGCGGAGGCAAGGTGCGATTCGTCCAACTCTATCTGATTCTAAGGCAGACAGGCACAATGAAACGTCGCATGCATGCAGTTGTGTGCCTCTTACAGGCCACCAAATCGGTCCTTTATCGCAGACATTCTCAGCATGCAAAGTCTGATGAATGGAAAAGAACAATATGCAGGGTGCTGCGTGTAATGCCAGGCAACCTTGTGATGTCTACTCTCTGCACATGTACATGCTAGAACACATGTGCACGCATAGTCCAATGCAAATATTACACAGGAATGAAGCAAACAAATCTATTGCCGCTGTTACTCGGAGTTTCGTGTGAAAACACTCATCAGACAGCATATGACCAAGACTAACAATCACTAGAATATATACTTGAGAAAAGAGGGCAGAGGTGATGTAGGTACAACATTTCAATAGCGCGAGGAAAAGGGGGTGACAAAATCAGCGTGATTATAAGAGAAAAAAAGATGTTGAGAGTATAGAGCATAGCCTGGGTAGAGGAACAGCGCGATTCTCTGGCAACACATCAGTACAGATTTGTGCTGCATTGTGACAGTATAGTCCAATAGATGGATTCAACGTCACGATTACAAAATGAGCCCAAATAAGGCTGGTCGCCTTTCAAAATGCCTGACTTTAGCCCATCCAGCTGTCTTCCCTATAAATTTTTGGCCCGCGCGGTCTTCCATATAATTATAATTATTGCATTTACCCGCCAGTGATGTGATGAAATGAAGTGATCAACATCCATCTGCAGGGAATTTTCTAGAACCGCCCCAACCGGTTTTCGACTGGTTGAAATTGTTGGCGACCGGTTGAAAAGTTACAAATCAGTTCCAACCGCCCATACTTTTCTGTGGGTGAATGGAGCTGCTTATATCTTTGCTACACTCCAGCACCAAGAAATCTGTTAAATTGCTGTCGAGTGCCATATTTGGGTTGTATTTTGAAAAATATTTCAGGGGGACCCCCCCCCCCCCGACTCTACATTCGACCGTAACCGGTTGGAAATTCGTCCTAGAATATACCCTGATCTGGTATGTGTATAGGGTGTGCAACTGTGCACATGGGGTCTCAGGTGGCGAACAACTCACACAATGTACTGTACATGTAAGACATGTTATTACAGCGATTCGCAAATTTAACGATTGTCCCAAATTCATAGGTTATTAACGAGAAGATACGTTAACGATCTTGCAGTCTTCTGGCATATCAGCACATAACACATTACAGCCTCAACAGAACTTATTTTAACGAAGAAATGAAGATTATAATGAGGATGTTAACGTTTTAACTAGGACATGTCTTACAGTATCCCAAGTGCGTTTTGTACTACACCAAGAGGTACAGGAGGTTATGTACTCTCGGCACTACATACAACACAGTTTCGTACCAAGTGCAATGAAGGCCAGCGTGCATGCAGTCTGGGTATCTGCCATGATTACTCTGGTGACTTGCATGACCCGAGTGGGCTTCGTTCAGGGAGTGCTATTTTTTTACTACTCTATTGCTAACACTGGCTGGGAATGTACAACGCGAACACTACAGCTTGATGTGAGGTTTTGAAGTTGGTGGACCCCATAGCGAACAAACCTGTCCATGGTCGATATGTCTCATCGCTGCCTTGCTGCTTTGTGGCGTCAAATGGTGTGTGTGTTTTTTTTGTAAAAAAAATTAAAAAAATGGTAGCACACTCTTGAGGGAGGGGGTTACACTCTTGGGGTGCATCCTACAGTTGCGCTCAGTGAAATCCAACCCAGAGTGCATATTTGGCCCTTGACGCCCTGGAAGTGACGCGAATGCGGCTGGATGTACACATGTACAACTGCATTGATGTGATCGGAACTGGTCCAGGGCGCCAGCATTGCACTTTTGGTCGGGCTTCACCAAGCGCAACTGAAGTATACTGCAATATTACAGAGCCTGTTCAAAATGTTCACATTTGCGTTGAAACGCCAAACTAACAGTCATTATTCTGTGTGTATCCGCTACAGATGACCTTGGACGCATCATGAACGACCTCTTTGGTGGAGTCGTCTATGCTGGAATTGACATTGACCGCCACAAGTATCCAATTGGTGAGCAACCGCTTCTTTGCTTTCTCCCTGCAGTAGACGTCGGATATATCGACCTTGCATTTAACGGCAGATTGAATATAGAGACTTTTCTTCTCTTGATCCCGGAGGGGAGGTGTTCTATCCAACCTCCACTGTATTATATACATGTAATAGCATTTATCTTGGTCATGGAGTCAAATTGACAAGCATACTGTTCACCAACGGAGCGATTCACTGCAGTAACACAAATCAAATCTGTGATTTCTGCATTATTCTTGTTATCTAGCACAACGTGTGTGATGCTTCTTAGATGTGCATGTGTAGTGTAGAGCCGATGTTGGTTTGTTGCTGATCGTTACGGCCGTGTCTACTTCCATTACTGTCACACAGGCTCAGGGCGAGTGACATTCGGGAACTGGCACAGCTACATGAAGGCCATCCTTGCCAGCTTCGTGGAAATCAGGACCAGCAAGTTTTCCAAGAAGGTAAGAATGAACCCACGGCGGAGATTTGTGTACGCAATGGTAAATGAATGCATCGTTGTATTACACTTGAACATGCTGCTCAGGGTATGGTGATATCAATAGTATTAGCTAGTGGGCGGCAGCTTACACTGGGATAGGGTAGAGTGTACATTCTATCATCAAGCCAATGCATACTATGCTCTCTGTTCATCATGCCAATGCATACTATACTCTCTGTTCATCATGCCAATCCGTCTTTGCACCTGTGTTTCGTTATCGACAGGTCCAAATTGACCCATATCTGGAGGATACCCAGTGCTCCCAGTGCGGCGTGCACCCTGGACCACTGTTCTGCCGCGACCAAGCCTGCTTCAAGTATTTCTGCGAGCAGTGCTGGCAGTGGCAGCACAGCGTCGGCTGGCTGCGTAGCCATCGCCCGATCAGCCGCTCACACAAGAAGACTTTCAACCCGATGAACTAGCCACTATCCGCCACAAGGAGTGCGCTGGTATAGTTTCCTACCATGAAAATTGACTGCCCTGCAACCGAATGTCAACTGCCGTTAGCCAGCGTAGTGTGATTTTTAGAATGTTTTATGGCATGAGAGCCTTTTAACGCATCCATGTTTTAATAGACCGCATTAGCTGGTAGGCTGGTAAGGCGGCATCCTCTAAAAATTTGAAGGCAGCTAACTCGCCAGGTTGGTAACAATTTTAAGCCAGTGTTCTCATTTGTCGTCAGTACTCTTCATTTCATTAGTTTCTCACGTTGATCTTGTCTAGTCAAAGGGTGCCTCTTCATCTTGTTCATATTTCCAAATATTTAAATCTAGTTTAATCATAGCAATCAAACAACCTTTTGTTTACTACATTATATCTTTATATTATCTCCTAGCTTATATTCTCAGAGATGATTTTCAGTATTCATCCTCCTACTTCAGTAAGTCCTTCGCTCTTTCACCATGACACAATATTACTTAGATCGGACGCATTACAAAAGTACTTTGATACACGTAGCAAGAAGCAAAGCAAAACGACTGCGTTGTTGATGCGATGTGTGCAGTGGAGATGTGTCCCCTAAACTGAGCCAATGATCAACCTCTTCTGCTATCGCATGAGCTGATTGTCGAGCAACTGGTGGTGTTAGTGGACATTATAGCGTAACTTGTAATTCCTTGAGCTCCTTGGTCCTTTCCTTTGCTACTGTAAACTGCCTAATGTTGGCTAATTTTGCAAGAAGAGCATAGCGCCATCGTGAAATCAAACTTCAACAGTACTTAAGTGTACATGTGTCGCCCCCAGTGCTCTGCGGACATTAGGCGGTTTACAGTACAGTGGAGATCGGATATAACGACCTTGCATACAACGACAGGTTGAGTTTAGCGACACAATTCTGTTGCCCAAGTCGTTTAGTAAGTCCTTTGTGAAGATCGGGTTTAGCGACAGATCGAATATAGTGACATTTTGTTCTCTCCCGAAGGAGTGTCATTATATCCAATCTCCACTGTACATATTAATCCTCGGCTCTCCATCCGAGTCCATCCTCTTGTGAATCAGTAGTTCAAAACGAGTAGAACACTGGCAATACAGTACAGACTACATGTACGTACAGCTACTGATTTTGACACAAGTTCATATGGTGGGAAACTAGCTTGTTTTGTTAAAAATGTGTTTTTTTAGTACTCCCTGGGGCCAATCACCTGATCACCAGACAACATTTCATTTCAAACCTACACAGCAGCCATACGGTGCCCATCTGTTGATTGTAATAGCAAAACATATCCAACCCCTGGCAGTACTGTACTAGCAGACAGGCTACCTCACCAGAGAAGGGTGATCATCAAAACCATCATTGTAACAGTCCTCTGATCTCTAGTTCCTAAATCTACGGTGGACATCAAACTGCTCCAACCATCACTCCAGCAAGACATGGAGAAAACCAAACTTGCTAATGGTGAAGAGTGAACACCACATATAAAGCAGCCCCGGATAAATGAGAGAACACCGTATAAGGACAACATGATGTATCATGGTAAATATCACACCAAGTCCCCGAAACGGACACAGAGGGACTGAAAAGGTCACCACCCGCCAGATAGGGGCGAAGACGAAGTGCGAAATGGTCACACAAGTGCACGAATGCTACGATAGGGTTCAAATGTGCCCTAAAAAGGAGTCAAGTCAAGGGACTTCATTGTAAATGATTCAAGTGTGTCGCGCAAATGGTGCAACAGTATCAAAAACTACCATACATGCATTAGTGGCAGAATTATTATTATTATTATTTAAATTTTGAATAGGGCAATCACCACAGGCCTAAGGCCTTTTTACAGGGTACCCTATGTGATCACGTACAGATTTGCGGAATAGTGAAAGCGAGGAGCAGTATTAGTGCATTAGTGCAGCAAAGCAATTATGGATAAGACAAACCCTGCACCATTAAAATCATCATCTACACCTCCCATCATCAAAAATTATCATCCGCGGGCCGGGAGAGTATGCCATCACTGCCGGTCTCCAGCCCAGGTGACACACGGGCGGCTCAACTCTCACCTGGCTCTGACTGGGCGAACAGGTGTCAACTTGTATGAAACTTCACACTCCTGAAGTCCGAAATCAGCTTGGCCGGGTGATTCTGCTCGCTGCCAGGTACTGCGGGTTAGGGTGTTTATCCAGGTAGTGGTGCAGATAGGTGCAGGTAACGTGCACCTTCTTTCCAGACTCCACAGCATAGTCAAATGCCGCCTGCACCGACGACAACAGACAGAAATAAAATCAAGGATGATCATTGATCACAGTGGTACAATCATGTCGATTCAGCTGGTTCTGTTCATTGCGATTCTCAAACATCCGTCACCTCGCCGCCTTTTCTTACGGTGTGCACAGTCCTGGATATGTTGCACTAGAACAAGTGCCCCACACTGTTGCAACTTGCAAGTCCCTGCCAAATAGCATGTATGCAGTATAGTACCGTCGGGCGCCGAAGAACGCAACCGCGAAGAACGAGCAGGCTAGGGTTTCACCAAGCACGGCACATACCGATACACATGCCGTGCTCAACTGCCCATCGACTGTAGTACATAAAGCATAAGAACAGCCTACGTGCAGGCTATGAGGATGTCCCCCCCCCCCCCCCAGCTCTTCAGCACCCGACAGTACAGTAATGAATACCGGATGTTCTCTAATACTTGTATGTCTTTAAAAATTATTTGTCAACCTCACACCAAAACCGATCTGTTATTGGAGACGTGTCTCTATTGCTGGAGAGTGTGCTTCTATTATTTCACGACAATTTTAGGCTCATCACTTTGGCCTTTTTCAAATAAATATTTGGGAACATCTGCGAAACGCACTACCGGCAAATCCACTATTGTAAGAATAGGAAGACAGGCCTGCCTCTATCAGACTGTCGTCCTCGTTTTATTGCGCATGCAGTGAGTGTGTTTTGATCGGAGATGTGCCTTGTGTCGTATGGTATACATGACAAACAAGCAGAGAAAAACAACAACAACAACAACAACAACAACAACAACAACAACAACAACAACAACAACAACAACAACAACAACAACAACAACAACATAAGTGAATCCCTGTTGTTGTAACTACTTATAATCTCGTATTGGCCACTGGCCATCGTGAGAATAAAGATTTCAAACAACAACGCACAGTGCTTGCTCACCGACAGAAATTGGCCATGACCCCCCCCCCCCCCCCGCGCATGCGAAGACAGCAGGCCAGAGCCAGCTCGGAATTGAAGAGGGGCGGCTTGGAACGTTTGTGCATAGATGTACAAATATGCATCACGGCACACATCAATTGCAGTATGAAAATTTCAAAACCTGAAGGAGGGCGCAGCGCTATGCTATATTGCTTTGCCTGTACCCTTGCAAGAGAATCCCAATGAAATTTGGAACCCCCTACACGCGCGCGCACACACACACACACACACACACACACACACACACACACACACACACACACACACACAGACGAACATACCGAGTGACATCACTGACCTTTGCTAGAACAGCTCCCAGCCCTTTCCCCCTGCATGACTCTGGCACTTCAGTATGGAAGTATTCCAACTCGCCTGACTCCAGTATATCGTACGGCAGTGTTGCTGTACCCTCTGAAAAGCAGCAGACCATCACAAATTGTGCATACCATAGACCATTTGACGCCCATCGCCGGAGGCGATGATAGCGATGATACAGCAGAAGCCATATCAGCTGTGCTTTTGTGTATACCACAAGCACAAGCACACACACACACACACACACACACACACACACACACACACACACACACACACACACACACACACACACACCTTTTGACGCCCACGCTACAGCGGAAGCCATAGCAACTGGGGGGTATGCGTGTATGTGTGTTATGTCCGTGCAATACGATTATTGTGTTGTCTGTGACAACAAAGCGCATTCAGATGGCATTGCCACATTCGGGCGCCGTGCCATGGACCCGCCACATAAGAACGCGGTGCATGGATTTAATTATACAAGGCACAGACTGCACCCTGCCAAATGTGCCGATATTGTCACGGCAACTGAACGCGATCGCAGTCTAGTCATCGCCGAAAACAACTTTTTTTCCTTTTTTAAACTCCCTTAGTGCTTTAGAACCCTTTCCATGTGAGTACGGCGTGATACGCAATGCGTGGTGCGGCACGGTACCCCGTGAACATGAAAGGCGTGCACTGCCATGCCATCCGGATCCCTCAGGATGAGTCAAAATAAGTTTACTCACGTGGCAATTTCAGTGAGAACTGCTTCTTTGCGCGGCTGTGGACCACAGGCGGCAGAGGTTCACTATCGGACTTGGACGCCATGCTGATGTGTCGTTAGAAACAGCGGTAGGTGTACACTCACCACTACAACAGCGCTGGATCCGGCTGTGCTCAGTCAATGACACTGTACAGCGACAGTTTGCAGTTCGCCCAGTGGAGTTACTCAATAATTATTTTGAAGTGCTCAAACTCAGATTTGTAGGCGATCTCCACGTACGTGAGCAGCCAGCAGACGCATCGATGCTAGCAGGATACAGCAGTAACACTCAGGATCTACTTGTAGAGAGGATGGAAGGTGCATGCAGACAGTCCGAATGTGAAATTTCAAACGTTGAGTTCACACATTTATATCCTGGCTCAACTATTTTAGCCTGAAGAGAAACGATCGCTGTATGTAGCGTACAGCGTACCGCCCGCGGTGATCTCGTGACGAAAGGGCAAGTCAGGTTATCCACTACGACTCAGTAGACTACGACTCAGTAGGTCTACGAGTACTGAGTGTCCAGGCAATGGTAACCGGTCACCAAGCCAAGGCCAAGGCAAGGGGAGTCTTGTGCAGGCTGCAGCAGGTGTCACCGTCAATCGATCGCCACTCAGCCGGTGGACAGGTTTGTAGTCGTCCGTTTCGTTGATCCCGGCCCAGAACAGGTGTCATCAAACTGTCTGAAGCAGTGAAACCAAGGAGGGAGCAACTGTACTGTATGTACATTTTCATAGTTGCTACGGTCGACAGTCTTGGTCGCTTCCTCCTGACGATTCGTCGCAGAGCACGGCTTGTGGATCGGAACGTGACAAAAAGGAGTTTGGCTAGTGTTTCGCCCGGCCCTTTTCATGACTCGTCAGCAGTTTAGCTTATCCAGCGTGTATGCATCCAAGAAGGCTTGTTTTTAGCGATTCGCATCTTGTCATATCAAGAGTGTGTGGACAAGAACTTGAAGAAGCTCTTCAGAAAATATTTTCGAAGGCAGCTTGGCACTGCTTGCCCAGCGCTGCAGCTGCCCAGGGGCAGATGCTGAGTGTGCGTGACCTTCACGATGATGAAGTGGGACTGCCACTGGGACTGGGACAGTGGGAGCATGCAAGAAGAAGCACGCGACGGTCCGTGGACCCCCCCCCCCCCCTCCCCGGTCCCGGACCTACGTTACGGACATGTACCTGGTCTACCATAATGGATGTGAAGCAACTAATTACTTGGAAGAATTAGTATGTATGCGGTGTATCGGGGATGCATGCAGGGCGCGATAGTGCGGGTTCGAAACTTCGAATCCCAGGTTAAGGTTATGTTAACGGAATTTTTTAAAGAATTTATAACATCCCTATGCTTTTTTGTCTAGGTCATCAAGGCAAAAAAGCATAGCGTAGGGCCTGAGCTTCCAAGCTCTCTCGCAACAGTCTACACCACAGACGTTACAGTCATGTACATGTACGTCGTAAATCACCAAGACAAGACAAGTCTAAAACTGGACCGCGGTTGGTGTAGGAGCTGAATTCATGAAGTGAAGAGGATCATGTGTGCATGTGGAGACTGAAAATGTGATTGGGGCGAGTTGGAGTTGGAGTTTTGGCCTTATCAACCTTGAGAAAACTCACTTTTCGAATCATGTCACATGTGACTGACAAGGTCTGCACTGTCTTCCTGAGCTGAGGCCAGATAAAGCTAGCCTTTGGGTATTAAATCCTGGAATAAAGATTGAAGAGGATCTAGCCTATTCTAGGAGGCGAGGAAGGGAGAGGAAGGGAGGGGGGGGGGCACTGCAACTCACTCACTGAGCTGAGCAGGCAAAACAGGTGACCGTGATCGCGTGAATCCGTGATCATGAGTGCCAAGAACATGATGAAACCCCTCCCTCTGATGAGGCTCTGTCTGTGCCAGCCCATCTTTCACTCACACAGATTCTTGTCGTAGCATAGCCGGCCCGTAGTCATGGCAAAGGCAAAGGCAGTAGCTGCACAAGCTGCATGCAGTCGATAGACCATGATAGACGAGTAGACCTACCGGGTGCTGTACTCATTTTGTCATTCGATCCAGCGCGCGCAGTCCAAGTCGTGGAATGGCGAACAAAACTAACTAACTTCAAACTCTGAGAACGAGCAGTGAAGCTCCGAAGTGGCCAGTTTGGCGTTCAGCGGATGCGGCGCGAGGTTAGCTGTCGGAGAGCCAGCGCTAATATATTATAACGGATAAGCTGGCTCTGACGCCCTTTCCGTCACTGGGCCTGCGAAAACTCCTACCTGCGTCGGGCGTTCAGCACGCCGTCGGAAGTGACGCTTCCAGCCGAGAAGCAGCTGGGAGCATGAGCGGACTCGGCGGTATGCTCGGCGGTCGCCTGAAATCCGCCAAAGCTATAACAGTAAGTCAGTCCTAGATCCTATGCACTGACACCCCACGATAGCTATTATAATACTCAGAGAGAGTCAACGAAATTGCTACACTCCATATTGCACCGTGCTAACATCTTTTCATTTCACGGGGCAAGCGCTCATAAAAAGGAGCAGCGAACGACGTGAGGCGGACCGTTCGCCTCGCTTAGATCAGTGCAAGCGGCAGTGGTGTGGAGTACAATGTTGCAATGTGCTCGTACATTAACTCAGCTTCTATTTTTGTGTTGCCTACTCGCGAGTAGTCCATTATGTACTGTCGTGGACATGGAAATCCGGTCGCACGTCGAGCGGCCCCAGACTAGAGCGCTGGCCATGCAGCCGTGGATAAGCGGTACACACATGCATTTATGCGATGTAGCGCGCTGGTCGCATCGGATTAACATGACTGTGCACTGCACGCAGCGTTCTGTACGCGCTGAGGGCGCCGGCCCCGGTCAATCGACTGGATTTCCATGTCCGCTACAGTAGTAGCCTCAGTAGGTGGCGTGCATATGACCCTGTGTAGTGCTGTAGCGCACATGGAAATCCAGTCGATTGACCGGGGCCGGCGCCCTCAGCGCGTACAGAACGCTGCGTGCAACGCACATGTTGATCCGATGCGACCAGCGCGCTGCAGCGCATAATTATTATGTGTACCGCTTATCCACGGTTGCATGGCCAGCGCCCTGGAGCCGCTAGACGTGCGACCGGATTTTCAACTACATGTACATTGAGACCACACTGATAAGGCAAACTTTCGCTTTAGAAGAACTAGTGTTCATAGCTCTTATTGGATAAATTACTGTGTATTCACTGGGTATTCACTGGGTATTCACTGGGTATTAAATATGGATAAGAAGAACTCCCGTTATTACGAACAAATACCATCGGTCCCTTGGTGTTCGTCCTAAAGAGGTTCGACTGTACCTGTATTTCAATAATCCGGCATCCCTGTGATTGCCGTAGCGACCATACGAATGCACACATACCTATATTCACACATGCACCACATTCACACATGCACCCGCTCAACCCGAACCGCAGGGTCTACCCACCCTAGGCCTAACGTCCCCTGCTAACTTGCAGCAGTAAGCGAACGCCGTTTGACGTTTGGGGATCGGCCCACTCTCAGACCGTTTCTGTTGCTTTGTAGTACGCATATTGTACCTAAGTGCTGTCCGCAGATTGAGTATGATTGTACGGCATTTGTACCTATTAAAGTAAGTGCTTACAGTAAAACCTGTGAAGGCGACCACTCGGATAAGGCGACCACCTGTCCTAGAAGACCACTGAACTCAGGACCAAGGGATGCAATTTCCAGTCAAATGACCCTGGATAAGGAGACCACCTGGTAACGGAGACCACGTTTTGATGGTCCCTTGAGCGGTCGTCTTACACAGGTCTCACTGTATGTGGAGTCCCTGATATAGAATACATTGAAAGCAGTCACATGACGTATTTGTGGGAGGACTTCTCATCCCATGATGTACTATTTAACTACTTCAAGTATCTCTTGGAATGCACTTACTCGAAGTAGAACAAACCGTGACGCAATTCTACAAACTGGAGATTTGAAAGTGTTTTGACCGCTTCAAGTGATGCACACACGCGCATGCACAGGCACCCACACTCGCACGCATGTGACTGCAATGCCACTTGGCGCTTGGAAGCGGGCCTGATTCAGGCCCTAGCTCAAGCGCATGAATTTTGAATGACTCCCTACCCCCCCCCCCCCTTCCCTCTCTGCATAGCTTAAAATCGTGTTATAGACATTTTACGAGTGTCACACTATATCAGCTGTCTTTTTTGATGTCCATGCTGTGTGTGCATGCGTAGAAGGGTCGTCGTGCCAAGAAGCAACAGGCAGAAGAAGCAGCTGAACAGCAGGTTGAGCAGCAGCCTGCACAGCCCAACGATGGACCAGCGCCGCGGCTCTCATTCAAGGGCCCATCTCAGCATGGCCTTAGAGAGGTATGCCCTCACTGAGTTTGTTCTAATCTATTTCCAAGTCACATATCACATAGAGAGCGAAACGGGGGCTAGCTGATAGTATCGGGGCGCTGCAAGGACACCTACATTCACTTTGTTCATATCATCGCAAGACAGCTGGACACAGTCTGCTTCAAAATGCTGGCCGAATTCCTTCACATACTTCACCTGCGCAAATGCAAAGTGAGCATCCACATGTTCCTTTGGAGGCTGTTGTCCTTTCCTGTAACTCTCTACTCTGCACAAGACCTGTGTAGTGAGCTGCATTCCTGGTACCTCGGCGTGCTGCTACCATGAGCCTGGTGCAAAGTGCTGCGTGAAATTGACTTGATGTTGGGGATCATCTGTAGCACGTGCTTTTGAATGTCTGCCAAGCTGACGCCGATTGAGTTTCCAGTTAAGGACCTTCTCCGTGCCTGGGCAGCGAACCCGTGGTTCTGATTGAAATCAGTAACGAACTATCAATATTCACTATCTCCGGAAACTGACTGACAACCGACTTGTGGCCGGGATTCTGATCTCGCCCCTCTCCTGCTCCACCGCCTCGAGCTGTTTCTCTGCAAGCCCCAACTCGACTGAAACTCTATCCTTTTTCAGGCTGGCTGCGGTTTCCTCTGCTGCCATGATGTAGGACCAAAGCCTTTCTATTTACTTTGCAGCCTCCTTTCCCAAGCGTACTTCCTCGTACGCCAACATCGCCATCAGACTCATGTCTGTGCTTCAATGGCGGATGACCTTTCGTGATACGAGAGCTGAATCGCCGTTACGGCAAGATGCTTTCACTGTCGGCCATGTCAAACACCAGACTCAAAGGACCTGTGTCCTACTTTTAGTAGTACCCGTTTCAAGAAGACTGTATCACTTCCAACTCCTTTGGTGATCAGCAAACCGGATACAGTCCGTATCGCCTATAAGGTTGGCGGCTATAGTAATATACCGGATATAGTGATCAATATCTCAAATTCATTTTCATTTGCCATAACTAAGTATACACAGTTATCGCGTATAGTAATAATCGCCTATAGTAATATATCGCCTATAGTGATCAAATTCATATTTCAAAAGACCTTTATTACATTATTTTCGCATCGGTTATAGTGATTGATGTAAAATCAAGCGATGTCAGAGGAGAACAGGGTGTTACTTCTTCGTGAAGAACTTGTCCAGGGAGTGTTGTTTGGTGAGTTTTGCTCGAACAAATTGCCAAAATATGCCTCCATCATGAGGAAATGCTGATTTTGTGTGTCGGGAGCTACAGCCAGCTACATGCCATTGTACATGTATGTAGTGCATATGTGCACGACGCACTGAGTCGTTTGACACCCCACTCGCATACATTGCATGCAGTATCGGTCATAGTAATATATCGCTTATAGTGATAAAATGCTCAAAATCAAACACCAACGCTATAGGCGATACTGACTGTACGTAAAGAGCGATGAAAAAAACGAGATGGGGCAAGAGCGCAGCAACCCACAACTACCACACAACTAAACCTACCATTGAAGGCGACCCGTGACTCTGGCAGGACGACCACCTGTCCCAGAGGACAACTACAACTAGGTCCAAGGGATGTTGTTTCCAGTCAAATGGCCTTGGATAAGGCGATCACCTGTACATGGGGGTGGGGGGGCACATTTGGAAGGTCTTTTGAGCGGTCGGCTTGACAGGTGTCACCGGCTGTGCTAGTATCAGTACTCCTTTTCTTGCAAAGGTAAGCTAGTGCTGCAAAGCTTTATTTGGGAAAAACCACAAATTGTGATACAGACTGCCAAAACCAAGCTGGATAAAACAATTACCAAAATCCAGTAAGAGAACCGATACAAATTGTACCATGCCAATCAGCTATTATTTTAATTAAAAAAGTCACTCGCCAACCCACAAAAAGATGCTAGTGGTTTTCTACAGTTCCATGATGAGGGAGAGATTGTGAGTGGATAGGTTCAGCCGTCAGAGGATCACGTGCATGTGCGAGACAGACTGCGACATAGCATACAAAGATGTAAAGTCTCCTGCACCAAAACAATACATGCTCATACAGTAAAACCTGTAACTAGTAAAAGACCACCGTAACTAGCGACCAGCCTGGTACCACAGACCACTTCGCCAGGCGCGGACGGTCTCACACTCATTATGGTTGTGCAGCGCAAACCTCTAACTAAGGACCACCTGCCACTTGAGACCGCTTTCTCTGGCCCCACTGAGGGGTTGGTTGTTAGTCACAGGTTTTTACTGTACGTCAGTTTCCCCGGCACTCTAGCTACATGTAGGAACAATCGGATGTTTCGAAGGTGATGTTCTTTTTTTGTTTGTTTATTTACGGATTCTCTAGAGGTAAATGGATACCTATCATGGGAGTCTCACCAAACCAATAAAATAATGAAAATAAAATTATGTATGGAGTGCAAAAAACTCAAAATCTGAGATTTGCTATTGTACTGTGTATTCTAGAGTCCGTAAATATTTGGATATTTTTTGATGGTCTTTGTCTGCTTTGTGGGATACCTTCTTTTCAACTGTTCCTACGTATGTAGTCGGAGTCATCAGCAGCAGATGCGGCAATGGAAAGTCCCGTGAGTTTTGCATTTTCTCAGTCTGTGTGTAGATACGTGTGTGTATGTGTGTGCACGTGTGATGGTGAGTGGTGTATGCATGCATGTGTGTGTGTGTGTGTGTGTGTGTGTGTGTGTGTGTGTGTGTGTGTGTGTGTGTGTGTGTGTGTGTGTGTGTGTGTGTGTGTGTGCTTGCGGGTCTGGGGGGGGGGGGGGGGGGCAAATTTACATATACCATAGCAGAAGATTTGCACAGCTGCTTCAAATGCCACAATATTACAAGCTTGGTGAATTCTTGCTTTCAACTGTGGCATTTGCTTGGATTTACAACATTAGTTTGGGCTTCTCTCTGTGCGTGCACGTTCTCCCGTCCTTGAGCCGGGAAGACTTGTCCTTTCGGCCACGGTTACGAGTATGTGTGATTACATGTCCCGTCAGCCCATGGTGCTCTTCCTGGAAAGTGTTCTGCCACCAGTGACATTGTAGCTGTGACTCTCTGCCGCGTCTGTGTCAGCAGGATGCAGGAACAGTGCCGCCGAAGAAGGTCGCCGTCTGGGGCAGCAGTAGCAAAAAGCAGTAAGTGAGCTGTACTGCCTTGCTACCCGCTGCGTGCTAGTATGGAGAATATTCCCTCAGGGTCACAGCCTCGAGCAGTGCTATCCATTTTGCTATGGAGTATGGAGAGTATTCCCTGATGATAATAATGACCCTGCTACCCACATGCAATGCAGTTGTCATCCGAAATACATGTACAGCTGACACATGTTTCCTATCATTTCACTGGCTCCCACCTGTTCAGTGAAGAATGCATGCTTGTGGGTTCGGGAAAAGCTCGGAATTGCATGGTTGGCTGGACTTCGAAAATCAGAGGGTTGTACTGGTTTGTGTTGATCTAAAGGCGAATAGAAGTGAGTTGTGAGCAATACTGACTCGCACTCAATCACAACTTTTCACAAATTCATTTCAGGATAAAGTATTTCAACGTTTTGGTTAGTGGTGTGCACAGGTAGTCGGGTACCCATACTACCCGTGAGGACCTCGGGTAGCCGGGTACAGAATAGTACTCGAAAAACCCAAAGTCGCAGATGCCATCATGCACAGTGCACGTGTACAAATTCATGTAATACTCTGCATATCTACCCGGTGTGCAAGGGAAGGGGTGCATTGTGGTGTTACCATGGAAACATTACCCGATCGAGTACCCGTGCTACCCGTGGAAAACTACCCGAACCTGATACCCGAAGAAAATGCTACCCGACTCAGCCCTAGTTTTGGTCTTAAAAATAACCATCACCAATGGTGAATGTTCTTGTTATCCTCATGCAGGGCGGCGCAGAAGGCTGCTGATAGTGCGGCGGAAGAGTAAGGAACCAATTCCACTGGATTTATTTCTGACATGTCGACGGCATCAGAACACTGTTATTTTAAAGTACTTGTTTAAACCTTGTTCCGTATGACTTCATTTGCATGCTTCTGTTAACTACCCCACAGGCATTGCTTCCTTCAAAAACATCTGGATGCATCTTTGCAGCCTCCCTGCGTATTTGAAGATAGACGCGGAAACCTTTTCTCTCCCCTGCAAGACTTACTCTCGTCCTTTCCCAATGTTGGAGGGTGCATCTTCGGGGAGTTCATAGTAACCATACAGAAAATGCGTGACAGTACAAGTCAATGGGTCAGGGGTCGTGATCGTGATACTTTGATCTGGCGAGTTGCACGGCCTACCCTGTACGCCCCTACAGTCTAACACTGGACCCCGCCGGCCTGATCATCGTATGGCGGCATGACTGTGCATGTTTCTGTCTCTCCCATTTTGCTCCGTTCTGCTGGTGCTGCTGCTGCTGCTGCTGCTGCTGTACAGGCAGCGGAGATTCCGAGCATCAGCTGAGGAGGTGGAGGAAATCCTGGATGGTAAGAAGCTACACGGGTACGGGGGGGGGGGGGCTGTGTGTATTGATATCTCGTATTTATAAGGTCCAGGGGCCGAATGATTAGCTGCACTGTACAGTCCATTTCAAAACTATAGACGCGTAGGGTTTTTGAAATATTTCAAATTTGGCTGGAACCTTTTGAGAATAGTTTTCGGAATATTGCTCAGGACCGCTCCACAATTACTCTCATATAGTTTCTGAACGATTGGATAACAGACGCCCAATTTGGAAAAAATTATGCACAAAGTGATCACAGATTTTATGTGGTATAGATGCTGGCATAACGGTTTTTGCCTAGGTACGCGTCTATAGTTTTGAAATGGACTGTAGGCAGAATTTCTTCTACACCATCACATGGCTACATTGTGCGTTGATATTGTGTGCGTCCTTAACAAATGATAAGCACCTTTGACACTGTAGGCGACGTTCCCAGTCTTCTGCCAATCTCAGTACAGGTATTGCTTTGTGGTGTACATTTCATAAGTGTTGCCCGAGTGAAATCCCAAATGGCAGCGCATCTTGTACCTGCCCGGGCCTATCCATACTTGTCATGTGACATACCGTATTTTCCGGAGTATAGTGCGCACTTTAGATGTGCTATTTTAGGCCCTTAATCGCAGGTGCGCACTATCCTCCGAATATGAAATGCATGTACTTCAATGAAGATTGAAGTGCGCACCCCCAATGAAGATTGGGGGTGCGCGTTATACAAAGGTGCGCACTATACTCCGAAAAATACGGTTGTGATACATCTACAGTCAGACCTCGCTTATCTGGTCCTCTTTTATCCGGATCCCTCGCCATCCGGAAGAAAATAGCTGGTTACATATTTACAGCATACGTTATGCATCCTACATAAACGGTGTTCGGTTATCCGGTTCCCTCGCCTATCCGGATATTTTTGTGGAAAACGGATGTGTGCGGTTAAGTGAGGTCTGACTGTACTTTAAAAAAAAGAAGTACATTGTAGTCATTTTCTTTAACACGACTTGTCCTTTACCTGATGCAGCCATTCCAGTAATTCGGGAAGCCGATGTTCCCTCGCCCGGCAGGGATGAAGGCGTGGCACATGCTCCAGGGTTAGTTGAACGGTTCATGTTGCTACGGTTTTTGGTAGCAGCCGACCGTCGGTATACCGGTAATACATTGCTTGACGATAACGATCTGGAAACCTGCAACATGGGGATATCCTTTGATTGGCGTGATACATTCGCACATGTGCTGTATGTATGTATGTATGTATACTTTATTTGAATTCGCAAATCCAAACGAGCACAAATGCTCAATGACAAGGCAGCGAATATGTTATTATGTTACAGGGAAGGAGGGTTGGGGAGAAAATAAGGAGAACAAAGAGAGAATGGTAGATATCTCAATGAAGAGCGAAGCGTTATCAAACTACAAGTAAGCCAGCGAACGATAAGTCGATAGTTCTGTAACCCGCCTAATAAACTAAGTACTTTTTTCAGGCGTGCAGTGGACTGTCATTAAAACAGAAACAGAAAAATAATAATAAGGCACCCATTTTGTTTGTCCAGGGGATGGCCCACGCCTGGTAAAGAGAATAAAATAGAGAAAATAAAAAAATAAAAAACAAACAAACAAAGTACTAACAGTTACTGCTAACGAGAGTACTTGCTACTAACATCGGGAGGATGAAAGGCCCAACCCTGCCCTGCCAGTTACGGACTTACGGGGGTCGCCATGGCAAATAATAATGGTAAACAGTGAAAATCAATCACAGACAGGAAGCTGTCTCAGGGCAAGTTTCTAATCATAACATCAGGAAGATCGGAGTGTATACGGTACGACGGCAGCTTTGAAGCTGCTGAGAGACGACAGTACTCTGACTGCATCCGGTAGGACGTTCCAAAGGGCACTACCTCGGGAGGCAGGGCGAGATCGTCCGGCGCGGGTTCGTGTAGCTGGTAGACGGAGCCCCAGGGCGAGATCCAGGCGCGTCCTACGATCCGCGCAGCGTACGAAGAGCTCCTGGAGGGATGGACTCGCACTGGCGTGTATGCACCTCCAGACAAAGACCAGGACCTTCTGCCGATGTATTTCTCCAATCCTGAACACCTGCATGCGTTCCAGGAGATCACTGGCACGAGAGAACCCCGGCCGGCCATAAACTGCTCTTGCCCCACGGTTTTGTGCTACTTGGAGCCGGTCGGTCTGGGCCTGAGTGAGACCTGGGCTAAACGCAACGGACCCATACAGTAGATCCGGCATGATAGCTGCCTTGAAGAACAGCACACGGCTAGCAAGTGTTAGCGACTTTCGTGTCCGCCACAGAGTTCCAATTTTCTTATTGGCTTTCGTGATGCTCGCATCGACCTGGGGCTGCCATGACATGCGTACATCCAAGGTGATGCCAAGGTAGCGGGCACTGGTGACGCTTGGCACGGGTATGCCATCGCACTTTACCACAACGTTGGGACTCTGGCCATTGGATCCTGCAAAGACAAGGAGCTGACTCTTGGTGGCGTTGAGGATGAGACCACGGGAGGCTAGCCAGCGAGCTAGGTTAGAGACGGCTGTTGTGAGCTCAGAAGAAACGAGGTCAGCGCTGCAGCGGGTGGAAGTCAAGGCTATATCGTCTGCAAACTGGATTGACATAGTCGGGCAGGTAACAGTCGGTACGTCTCTAGTGTATATGCTGAAGAGCAGCGGCCCCAGGACTGAACCCTGCGGAACACCGCAGGTGCATGTAACAACCCTGCCGAGTCCGGTACCAGTGCGCACTTGCTGTTGGCGACTTGACAGGTAATGTTTGAACCAAGTCAGTGCTCCTCCAGTAACGCCAATGTCAAAAAGATCCTGGATAAGAATGCTGTGCTTGACTTTGTCGAAGGCTTTTGACATATCTAGAAGGCAGGTTGCCACAACTAGACCGTCATCTCGCCCAGTGTCGACTCTGTCAGTTAGTAGGGAAAGAGCGTCTTCCGTAGAGTGCCCATGACGGAACGCAAATTGGGTCACTGGCAAGATGTTCATCTGTGCGACATGTTCCACCAACGATTTCTGCACGACCTTCTCAAGGATTTTGGACAGTATCGGTAGCAGTGATACCGGTCGGAAATGTTTGGGAACAGAGGGATCACCAGACTTGTGGAGCGGAACAACGTGAGCTAATTTGAACTGCTGTGGAACTTCGCCGCTGGATAATGATGCATTAAACAATGTGGTAAGAGATGAAGCTAATATATCAGCACAATACTTGATTAGGAGACCCGGGATTCCATCACTTCCAGTAGCTTTGGCCGGGTTGACTTGCTGCAGCAAGCGCTCCAAAGCACCCACTGTGACGGGTGGAAAGGACACTAGGGAATGCTCTGCAGGGGGTCCCGCAGGCAGGAGTAGTTTGGATGGCCGAGTGATGTCGGTGACGACAGTCTCGAAAGCAGACGTAATCGCCTCTACACCACACGATGGCTCCTGATGTGTCCGCTTTCGACCGGTAACGGAGTTTATGACGAACCATAGCTGACGGGGGTTTCCCGTGTTCTCCGCGCACTTGTTTCGAAAGAACTCGTTCCGTTTACGCCTGTAGGCATTTGATGCAGCGGACCGGGCCTGTTTGAACGCTGAGTGGGCCTGCTGGCAAGTTTTGTCCGATAGCCAACGCTTGTGCAGCCTGTTCTTCCGCATAGTGAGCTGATACAGCTCTCTGTCCGACCACGGTGGTTCGCTTGGGCGTTTCCGGCTTTGCTTGCAAGTGAATGGAGCATGGCGATCCAGAACAGTTATAAACTTTGAATGCCAGTCTTGCCACATTTCATCCACGTTAGCCTGAGCAGGAAAAGCATACAAGTTTGCAGCAGTAAGGTCATTTCGGAAGTCGTTTATATTGATGTTGCGGAGATTTCGGGTGGATGTAGCCGGCTTACTGGTCGACTGCTTGGGCACGGAAATGTCCAGCTTGGCAAGAACTGCAAAGTGGTCACTGATCGTGCACTGAATGACATGGCACATCGCTACTGTTTCGGGACGGGCTAGGATTAGGTCGATTACGGTACCTTGGGGGCAGTCGGGCGTCACGCGCGTGGCACTATCCACATGGTTTGCCAGACCAAATGCACCTGCCAAGTCAAATAGATGGCGAGTTTGATAGTGTGTCCTGCTGGTATCAATACTAGGCGGTCTGGCATTCGTGTTGAAATCGCCGAGTGCTTGCTCTCTTGCAAATGGGAGCCTACGCATCGAAGATGGCTGTCACCTTTTTTGCGGGACAAGTTGCCAGCTGGTTGCCCCATTCTTGTCAGGTATAACTCATTCCAGTACATTTATGAGTACGACCTTACAAAGTTCGCGACCTTTTATGCAGAGCTGGTATCACAGTGTGTACCGTGGCAATTGTGGCAGGTAATTGATGCATGGGGTAACTTTGTCACAAACATTGCTTGCACTCCCCCCCCCCTCGGTTTGCATTGTATTGACCCGTACTGCCCTGCATTCACTGCCGTTGCTTGCGTTGTTCGTGGCCTGCAGCGTGACAAATATCCTGGACACGTATCGCGTTCTCGACCGGGAACTTATCGCGCAGCAAGTCTCCTGGAACGTGGTAGGTCCAGCGTGTAGCGTGCTGGGTGTACTACTCTGTGTGGTGAAGGCTGGCACCTTTTCTTGTACATGGCTCAGTGGCACCTTGGGACTTTATTATATACCAGGCCCGTCGCACCGACTTTGGAGGTGGGGTGGCCATGGAGGGGGGTCCGGGGGTCCTCCCCCGGGAAAAAATTTCAAAAATTGAAGCCAATTGCAAGCATTTCCGGGTACCTGGTGCCATTTTAGTGTACGGTAACTACAATGAAAGTCTTTTTGGTTCTGCAACAAACGAAGAAGACGCTACGATCGAGGACAAACATTACCCTCCCTCGGGAAAAATTCAAAAATTGAAGCCAATTGCAAGCATTTCTAGGCATTTGGTGCCATTTCAGTGTAACTGCAATGAAAGACTTTTTTCTGCAACAAACCACGATCGGGGACAAGGATTTGTCACGTTTGCGCTAAGCTGCGATCATTGTGCTTTGTTGTAATGTGCTCAAAAAAAAAAAAAAAAAAACGCCGAAAAAGTGGGGCGGCCTCAGCCGCCCCAGCCGCCCCGGCTGTGATGGCCTAGTATACTTATAGATAGTGCTGAGGCTGCTAGCCTAGAGTTCAGTTGGTCTTCCTTTGGGAGGACAAAACACTCTGTGAATGCTTACAACTCGGAACCTATTTTTCCTACCGCATTTTCCGAATGTTCCACTCTAATTTAGGAGTGGTCTTGTGCCAAGGCTCCTGTTCCTTTGCTCTCATTGCCCTCCTGTGTGTGTGTGTGTGTGTGCGTGCGCGTGTGCATGTGTGCATCTGTGTTTGTATTCTCACTGCAGGGAGGTCAGGATGGACAGGATCTGAGTGTTTTGGCCAATGCCGTCATGCTTCCAAAGGCACAATGTCAAGTGGTGAGTTCATGTGCAGTGTGTGCAGTGTCCGGCAGACATGCCGTGTCCCAGTTGTGAGCACCCATTGAAAAATGCTGTGGCGTAATCATGGATGCTTTAACACGAGGTGTGTGTGTGTAGCAAGAGTCCCGATGAACTATGGTTTTTCTGTGTCCGGGGCCATTGGTTGTAAATACACGGAACAGACAGCCCATGCACTCTTGCTCACTTGGCTGGTCCTGTTTTCTATCGTTTGAACTGAGCTAGCTGATGGCCATATCCTCTTGGTTATGGCCGACCGCATTTTCGGTCCCACTCAGTGCAAGTGATCATTCGTCAGGAAATTATGTTTGATTCCTCCGCATGGAGTTGGCCTGTCAGTCTTCGCTGGAAGGCGCGATGAATCCGCGTCTGTACAACAGTTACGTGTTTTAACAAGTCCTATGCAATGGACATTCCATGCAAGTGGCAAGTGCCTGTTGAACTACTTGCTGTTGGTTGGGTCAGACTACCATTGGCTAGTTTTGAATTTGAAGTTTAAACCCTGGTATAACAATCAAAATGATGACCTTGTTCAAGCGCTGACGTTCATACCTGGCTGACGATCGGTTGGGGAAGAAAACATGGCTGCATAATATGCTACGCTGTACTCGATTTGACCAGCAGTGCGTCCACTGCATGCCCTATGTCTTCTGGCTGTAGGACTGGAAAGCTGAGGATTGGAACACGCTCATGACCAGCGTCAAGTCGGACGAGGCAGATGCACTGCAGGCGAGCGGCGTATTGACGCCGCCGGAACCACTATCGCCATTGCTGCCACCGCCGTTGTGAAGTGGAACAACGACTGACAGTCCACCTCTGTGCTGATACTGCTGTTCCACGGAGAATGTACGTGCTGGCGATTCACATGATTTCCACGCGGCAAGCCTAGCTCCATGTGCTTCTGTGGGTTTGGCATAGTCACGCTACAGACGATCACAAACTTCCTGGAAATTGGTCCTAATCCAAGGGGCACCATGTGAATCCGTAGAAAAGCTAGCAGATGACAGCGTTCTATAGCTCTGTGTTTTTTTTCCTTAAATCGCCACACTAGTCAAGACAACCGGAGGGATCGTATCCCTGTTCTATTTGTACCTGGAAGGTCGCAATATCTGAGATATATACTTCACTCTTCAGAGCCATTTTGAGTGTGTAACATTTTAACGGTGTGTTTATGTGTGTCCGTGTGTCCGTGTGTGAGTGTGTGTGTGTGTGTGTGTGTGTGTGTGTGTGTGTGTGTGTGTGTGTGTGTGTGTGTGTGTGTGTGTGTGTGTGCTCTTCTTGCTGGACAGAAGGTCTATATCATAACTTAAAATTGCCGAAAAACTATATTATTTTTGTCATTCTGTTCTCTGAGACTCCAAGGGAATTCGTCTTTTCCCATTCACAGACTATATACATGCGTCTTCTAATTGAAAAAAAAGACTGATCCCGGAGAATTCCATTGCTTTGGAGATTGTTTGCGATTTGAGTGGGGCATTATCTCCTATGATTTTTCTGGGTATGCCTTTAGTTGTACGAGAGTATCAAGAGACATCATTGCCAGTGTCTGCTCCAGCGCCGGGTGAGCCGGGTAATCCACCCGGTTGGGCGGCGCTTGGACCCGGTTGAAAATAATAGTACCGGGTCACCTGTGACCCGGTTGGTACTTTACACTTTCGAACTTTGAAAGGACCGACTGCATGGCTACACGTGTACCCAGCTGTCCCACAATCCTAGAGCAGACACTGATTGCATGCTCAAATTAGAACAGAAGTAACCGGCATGGGGCTCGGAACTAGGTACGATAATCTACCGACCTTCCATGACAGCCGGCAGAAAGGTAGTAAATATGGATCTGCATTTTTGTTTTGGGCTGTAGTATTACTCCTGGCAGAACGTGCATAGTAATATTAGTTAGTTCATGCCATGTAATAATTATTATTGTTATTGCTCGGAACGTTTGAGTTCTTTCACTCTGAAAGTTTAACCACAGCGGCAACCTGGATGAGAGTGAATGTTGCATGTAGTGCGCTACTGTGGGCACGTGGACAGACATTGCGGGTACCCGGCAGCGTCGTCGCGTGTGTACTGATTGCGCAGCTGCCGTGTGTTTGGAAAGTACGCCCACTCGGTCCAGCAACCCGGTGTTGCTTTCCGTGTTTGCAAGCTAACAGTACCATTGCTGTACCTGCCAGATAGAACAAGGCCGTTGACTGCTTCAATGGCTGTGACCATGTTGCGGATATTGGAATAGGTATTGAAGAATGTCTGGTTGCTGTTCGTAGCGTCGCACTCCTCCAGTGTTATTGTCGCACTGGCTGCAAGGGCTGTGGCTGTGGCACACAGGCCCGAGGGGGCATGCCGCAGCTGATAGGTCGCCAGCAGGTCAAACTCTTGATCCGGACTGCTCAAGCCATTCGTGGTGCAATTGCGGCTGCCGAGGGTGTCACCAGCGGTGCTGCTGTGACATGGTGCCGTCGGCTCCCAGTTTGGCCCTGCAGCATCCACTTCCAGGTTGTCAAACTCTACCGGGTACCAATAGTTCATACCGACTCCCACAAACCCCGTGTCAGCGTTGCCAATGCTGGCGTTGGCAAACAATACGTGGCCGTCGAGAGTACCGCTTGCTTGCGTGGTGATTGTAGTGAGCGTGATGGCATGCCATCCTGCTATGCTCACGCCCGCTGGTAACGGTCCGCTCTGATAAATGCTCGTGGCTGGAGGATTTCCGGGTGTGTTGTCAGCCTGCAATTGCGGTCCACGGTTGCTCAGCGTCCACCCTGTCCCATTCACACATAGTGCAACGGCGTAGAGCCACTTCTGGTCTGAGCGGGTCGCGACGCAGGGCATTGCGTGCACCACCAGCTCTTCGGACACGTAGAAGTCGATGCTGACGGTGACATCCTGCCACTCACGCATTCCCAGCACTGTCAGTGGGCCAGTGTCGCCCCAACCTTGCCACGCGATTGGCGTCTGAGGCACCATCTGCCGCATGACGTTCTTGTGAGCGCCAGCCTGCGAGCTTGCCGCGTGGACCTCGAATATCCCTATCTGATCTGCAAAGTATCCTGCCGTCCCGGAAATCTGATCCGCGTCAAACGATTCCTTGTACGGCAAGGGGAGATTTGGCGCAGATGTCTTCTCATTCGGAAATGATCCCTTCTCCCCTGATTTCAGGCTACTCAGTGTGAAGTATCCACCGACTGGTATGTGCAGGTTGACCTTGCCATTCACCACTGCTACGTTGGCTTGCTTTTCGAACAGAGTGTGCGGAGGGCCATCTTCGAAGTTTGAGTACCAGACCTGCAGGCTTTGAATGTGGCCCATGCTTGCAGTCAACTCAAACGTGACTGTCTCTGCGCTCGTATTGAACCTTGGTAAGTGTGGCCGAATGCAGGGAGCGTGCTCGTACGAGATCTTCACAGCCACGATGGTGAAGTCTGGACCGTCAGGGTCGACCCAGGTCACATAGTAACCGCCCAGGGGAAGGAGACCCGACCCCGCTCTGTTTTTCAGGTACCTCCATCCGACCTTGGTGAATTGGGTGACATGCGCTGTGGCCCAGATGACGGGTGACACCCAGTAGTGACCACTCCAGGGCTGGTCGGCTGTCATCATGCTCTCCGCATACCAGTTGGTGCCGTGGTAGTAGCTGCCGACCAAGTTCCACATAATACTGGACGTCATCTGCTGCAGCACCCAGTGCGAGTTGATCACACGAGCCCAGCATGCCGCACCGTTGGCGTCGTCATAGCTACTCGACTCCTCGCTGGCCCAGAACGGCTTATTGAACGAGTGGCACAGCGAGAAGTTTGAGAAATCGCTCGGGTAGTGGAGACCAATAACGTCCACAGCATCGGCGTACGCTTTGTCGGTAGCCATGCTGTTGCAGATGTCAGCGCCACCGTCCTTTGCCACGATTTGCGTCTGCTTGAAACCAGCGGCATCCATGGCGCTCCGGAGAACTTGGACGTAAGTTGAATTCGATGGGCGCTCATTCCATACACCGATGTAATCAATGGTGAGATTGTAGATATGCCTGGCACCCTCCAGCCATTTAACAATGTACCTATGGACACACGAGGAAAGACCGGGGAGTAACCAGGGAATATCACAAGTGAACACTCTAGTTGGCGTTTATGCATCCATGTATATACACACACGCACATGTACATACTTACACACACACATACACATACATACTTATACACACACATGCACGCACACACACACGCACACACACACACTGTCACACATGCGTAGATGGCACACATCCATCAAGTCACTCTAAAGTCGTTACAACCTTGCCTATAGCCCTTACTGTGCGGTTAGCTGTGGATTGGCATAGGGACTTTTCGTGCCCAGCCATCCAGGAAAGGACCAGGGCAGGCCGTACAGTTTGATGTCGGGGTTGCGCTTCTTGGCCTCCACCATCAGCCACCACTCGTAGCCAGTGCTGTAGTCTACGCGTGACACGTTGTCCGTGTGCATGTGACTGCTCTCGGCGCCGCACCCCGCCAATGAGTCGCCGCCGATCTCCACCTGCGTGAACAACACCATAGCGTGCACCGGGAAGGCAGCATTAGCGCGACCATGCATGACTGCTACTTGACTACAATGATGGCCGTAAGACCCATACACCAGATTGTACTCACATCTCTCTGTTCGGCTTGTTTGTTTTATTTTACTTCACCGGATACAGTACTAGTACACAGGGGGGGTTTCTGCCTTCTCGCCTAACCATATGGCTTACTAAGGGTGTGCGCTGTAGCCACTTCATGTTAATAAAATCCAAATTTTCAGGATGGGCCTGGCCCGAAAATTTGGATTTATTATTTTTGGAAGAATTTGTAGCCGAGAGACCGTTTTTGAGTAGAGGTGTATAACTGTGTGAAACCATATGGCTTAGACTCTCAATAAAATATGGAGAATATAAGTATAAGAAAGCAGTTGAAGCGAAGAATGAAAAGTCAATTCACATTTGTAGACTGATATGATATCTGAGAATAATCTGACAGAGCTGCACATGCTTTTATAACCCTTTCCCCTAACCAGCCTATATGTATGTATAATACCTGTTGTACAGGTCCTGTTTGCCGAGAGCCGATGACTTTCACACTCCGCAGTGGCAGTGGACGAGACGTAATTCCGAGTACAAGTCAACAGTGCAGTAAAACTCCCCTTAACCGGGCAAATTGGGACCAAGCCACTGCCCGTAACTAGGAATTGCCCGTAACTCGGAGCATATACAGTAGGTATCGGTTATAGCGTGGGTGTTTGAAAAACGACTTTCTATTCTTATTTCCGATATTTCTTACACACGATAAATCAAGTGTGACATATCATGTGCATGTGCGCAGAGGCAGGAAGACCATCGTACATACAAGGTAGTGCTACTGTGCATGCGGCTGGTCACAGTCACATAGGCTTACCATGTGGCTATGCAACATGAGTTACATGACCACAATAGTTGAACCTGCAGCACTACGACCCAACGCGAGTCAGATCAGAACTGATTTGGACGGATGTTATTACTACAGGCGATATACTTTGTACTGATCTGGCATGTTTCGCTACACAAAGTCCATTCTTAGGACCGATATATTCTACTGTACGATAAAATTGTTTGCAAGAATAAATGTGCACATGAAATCCATGTTATGATTATGAAAACATGAGAGTTCATTCTTGTAGGCAGTATATTCTTTTACACGACCACGCTATAACCGATACGCACTGTACACACTCGCTGCATGCCAGTAAACAATTGTTATGCCAATCAATAGTTTCTGAGGCCGTTTTTTTGTTGAAAGGGCAATTGTGTAACTCGACATGGGCCAGAAAGGTGCCCGGTAGACGGATTCGGGGCGTCCGGGTCAGGGGAGTTCTACTGTACTGTACTGTACTCGGTACAACCAACGGATGTCGAAGAGGTACCACTTGAGGCTTTCTATAGAGCTCAAACCCAGCTAATAACTGAGCATTCAACTCATGCTCGCCTTGCACGAGAGTAATGAACCCTCTAGTCCCCCCTCCCAATGAAGACTACACCGCGTACACACCCTTGCAGCTAGCTACCAACCAGTGGTGTCTGGCTAGGCTGTCTCTGGCTATGCTCTGCCAATACACCCCCCTGACAGGATGGGAAAGGACCTTGGCTTAGGTGCCCTGCGCAGGCTACGGGCTACACCAAGTAACACCAGTCAACAGTCGTCCATCGGTTTAGGGCTCTGATATTCGTGGGCTCAGTCAATGACTTGGTGGTACTCTACCACAACAGACTAGTGCTGCAGTTTGGTGGGATTTTTTACCTTCAGGATTTGCAAGGCAGCGCCGAAGTTGGGCTTGAAGAGGTAATCGAGAATGCGACTTCGCTCTGGGTCCTCGTAGCTCACTAGGAGGCGAGATGTGGCACCTCCTCCACTCACTGCACCCACACCGTCGAACCGAAGGCTTACGCCGGCCTTGTCGATCATCAGCGGGAATTCATCACGATTCTCTGCAACCGCTGCTAAAACGTCGGCACACCTTGTGAACGCTAGAATAGCAATGAATAGCATATATCGTGGCTTCTTCATTTTGGTTGAAGTTTCTTTCCTCTTTCTATCCGATCGGAAACGTCTTCAGCTGTCGTCGCGTAATCTAGCTAGAAAGAAGAATACAGGTACTAGTACTAGTGGATAATTTGTACCATCTGTTTCATTTCCCGAGGGGTTGTGAGTTTACTTCTACCGCCTCCTGAATCATGTGAATGAATGCCACGAAAACTGCGGAAGGATGTCCTGGCTGTCTCTGATCATTCTATGTCTTTGATTTCGGCCTGCACAGTGCCGCGCCAGTCTGGCCCAAGAGGGTGACGTTTCAATGAAAATGAACGTCGGACTGACCGAGCCCGCGAGACCTCTCTACTGACTCTGGCTCTCACTCTCAGTCAACCTTACCTACATGTAACTCAGCAGTCCTTGGATGCAGGAACAAAGGAGGGTAGGTCCATAGCTTTCGCCAGTTACGGGGACCTATTACAGTATTAGATCTACCTCGCCGACCTCAGTGCATGAGGACCTCGAGCAGGACTACACTGCACTGCCATGGCTCAAAGTCTACCATTTTCATTCCGGCAGATCCCAGGCCGGCATGGTCCGGCAATGCGGCATGGGACTTGCCGGTTGAGCGTGATGCCAGTCATGTATTACTACCCGGATCTTCGCAACGGACCAGCTCAAGCCAGCCAAGGCTGCATCCCCTAATATTCTGAGCAACCCATTTGGTTGACTCCAACTAATTACTTCCCCTCTGCCATGGAGCTAGTACAACGGCGGTATCATCGCTGCCCACAACATTCGTGTGAAGACGAAAAGACGCAAGCTTGTTTCTCATCGGGTCTTTCCGACTTCAGAACTGAGCAGCTATTACCAGTTAGTTACCTTTAGCATTTGCAGGGACGCACCGAAGCTGGGTTTGAAAAGGTAGTCAAGTATTTGAGAAGCATGCGTCGGATCGTAGCGCTGCAGTAGGGGACTAGTGCCTCCCGCGCTGAGCGCTCCGATTCCATCAAAACGGAGACTTTCACCGCGGCGTGGATCGACAGGCAAGACGCTACCGGACACATTTGTCGGCTCCACATCTGCTCTCAGCGCCGCAATGTCCAAGAACAAGTTGGCGACGAGGAGATTTATAACCAAAGAAACCAAAGAAACTCCCGCCATTGAATGATCCAGTATTTACTCGAATAGAAGCAGTGATACCTGCTACAACTGAATCTTGAAACCGTGACATGCCGGTAGGAAAACACGCTTTGAAGACTTTTACATAATTACTCTACTAATACTTATTTTAGTGCATAAGCATATTGTTGATTCTACATGTGCATACAATTGTAAATTGCAATGGTTATTTGAAACATGCCCGAAGTAGTCCAGGGTACCTAGGCTAAAGCCGGTCTACTTGTCACAACAGTAACCTGTTACTGAGTACTATGCTTATACGAAGTCGTACAAGTCCAAGTCAGACACACAACTCAAGAAAAAGGCAAGAAGACCGTGTGGCAGGTAGCCCTTTCCCAAAGATGCTCGCCACTTTTTTTCGCAACTTTTCGTTGTTTAGGAAGAAATCGCAACCTTCGCAACTTTCTTCATTTTCGAGAACTATTTCGCAACTTTCCGCAACCTTAGCGCAATTGGCGACATGGCATGGGGTCAAAAGGTCAAGTCACCGACTCACCGACTACATGTCGGACAAATGCATACTCGTACTCGCTCATTTCTCGCCTGCCTTCAGACTGATTTCAGAGAAACAGTAGATCAACGGTATACCAGGTATACCGGTAGTTGTGATAATGTGCACTGAAGCATACTAATACAATGTAGTTCCTTTTGCCTTGCACTGGAATGATGTACATGTAGGATACATCATGCAACAGGCTACTGGCACTGTGTAAAGTGGTGGCTCACAGCAGGAAGGGGTGTAGATCTACCAGTTTGCTGTCGATGCACTTCTGCCTAGCTAGGTCCCTTTTTTGTAGGTTTTTGCACAAGAACTCTCCAATTCTAGGTTGCGATATTAGCAACTTTTCAGCTTTTTCTGAAAATATGGATGCGATTTCAGCAACTAGCACTTGTTTTGGCACGGTTGCGAAAAGCATAAGTTGCAGGTGCAATGACAGGTGGTTGGTTGGTTGGTTGGTTGGTTGGTTGGTGCACGGTGACAGTTACTAAGTAGTAAGTACCCCATTGTTCCTGAACCAGCTTTAGGTACGCTGCACTACTTTGGGCATGGAACTAAAATTACTTGTTGTGTATCTACAGTAACATGGTATAGTGCACTACTCCATTGCAGTCATGTACTACTACTAGTAGAAAGGACCAATGCACATAATCATTACTACTGGGCACGGTAGCACTCCCGCCCCTCTTCCCTTCAGAAGGGCACTGGGTGTCACTGTGTTGTCTTGCCAGCATAGATCAATACCTTGCCACATACTGAGCCCGTGTCCAACCAAGGCACGTCCAGCCCCAAGGGCCTACCAGGGATGTTGAGCTGCTGAGCTACGGCTCGACTCGAGCAGATCGATTTCTTTCTGTTGCCGTTATCGTGTTCCATTCCCAAAACCGAACTAGCAAGAATGCATGTCAACAAGACAACGATGGGATATGACTCGGTGGAAAACTATTACAGAGAGTCTCACTCACTCTCTCTCTCACACACACACACGCACACACACACATACACACATACACACACTCTCTCTCTCTCTCTCTCTCTCTCTCACACTCTCTCACACACACACACACACACACACACACACACACACACACACACACACACACACACACACACACACACACACACACACACACACACTCTCTCTCTCTCTCTCTCTCCCTCGGCCCTAGTCCCCCACTCTCTCTCTCTGTCTTTTTGGTACACAAGAACACCTTTGGTGTTGATTGCTTTCTTGCTTAGACTTCTGCCGCTCCTTTGTTCTCGTTCTCCCCTCTCCGTACTAGTGTTATAATGAACCCTCCTTCTAGTCGGTCTCCTGTTGCCCCGAGATGTTTTGTTGCATGGTGATCTGACACTCATCATTCGCTCCCTTGGCACTGGACAGTTCTGTCCGTTTAGTTTCGCGAATCCAAATAAGGAAAACAACAACAGCCTTTGAACAACAACAACAACAACAACAACAACAACTACAATAACAAACAACAACAACAACAACAACAACAACAACAACAACAACAACAACAACAACAACAACAACAACAACAACAACTACAATAACAAACAACAACAACAACAACAACAACAACAACAACAACAACAACAACAACAACAACAACAACAACAACAACAACAACAACAACAACGACAACAACAACAACGACAACGACAACAACAATAATCTCTTATTGGCGATGGTGCCATCGTGAGAATAAAGAATTCAACAACAACAACGACGACAACGACAACAACAACAACAAGAATAAAAGATTTCAAACAACAGTTACCCCCTTTTTCACCCTCAACGCTCGACCACTGATCCCGAATCAACCGAGATGTCTGTTTGTATTTACTGTTGGCAACTGAAGACCACAGCCAAAGCCGTCCAGTCCTGCTATGCGCCTCACCCAGGACAGCAGCGGGGTTAATGATCCCATGGGGAGGGTGTATGGACCAGGTACTAGTACCCGATCCACAAGTAAGTTGAGGCAGACCCCAGATGAAATGACCCAACTTTGCATAGAGGCACCATGATAGAGAGACAAAAGACAAAAAGCATCAGTGGAGATGCTTTGTATGGAACGCAAAGCAGTGGCGCCACAATACACTAGCACAAGCGTAACCGCCGACTCTCGATCCCACGAGCGAATCCACCTGCTGGTGATACTTAGGACCAAGAGTGAGTAAGCTCCCATGGTATATGGTAGCTAATTTACTCTTGTTAGCACCCATAAGCTAACCCACTTGCTCACCCCGTGCCACCATGTACATAGTCGTAACCTCTAGTGCAAGGCCAGTCCAGATAGCAGGACCACTCAACGGTCCACCGTGAAGTACACTTGTGGCCAACGAAATCTGACCCATGTGCCGAAAGCAGCGCAACCGCCGCAGCTCATTTTGCCTCTAGATCGATTTTCGGAAAGCGCACGATGGAAATGGAAACGCCTTGCTACTTTTGACTCGTGGGTTGGGTTTCTTTGGCCATGACCAGGGAGTCATAAAATACCGGTATTTTACGACTCCCTGGCCATGACTGTACATACTTGAGCGCTGCAAACTTTGAACATCGAATCGGCTCTGAAACCATGAGAAAATTCAACACGGGTGCAACAACACACAACTTCGGGCAAGAAGGATTTGGCAATTTCTTGCTTGGCTAAATGAGCGACTGACATAGACTGTTAAAGGCGAAGAATCAACCGCAAACAAAGCAGTCGAGAAACAAAATCCGTCCAACAATCAAAGCCTACGGAAGTACGAACTAACGTTGACAGGTCATTGTCTCCAGCTAAAACACCTAACTAAACACCCAAACAATACAAACAGAAGACAAACAGCAGACAAACAGCAGACAAACAGCAGACAAACAGCAGATAAACAGCAGACAAACAACACAAACAGCAGACAAACAGCAGACAAACTAAAAACACTCGGGGCTACATGGGTTGAATCCGCTCCACAACCAAAAAAATGGAAGCAGATTTAAGTTGAAATGGTGCTAGGGCTCGGGCTCAGGGGAAATGTGCACTGAATTGTATGGTCTATAAATCGATGGGGAAATTGGGGGAGTACGTACACAAATGCCTTTGGAAATTTGAAATAATAATATAAGAGACAATAGCGGCAATGCTGATGGTGTAAAGGGGCGTGTGGAAAGCGATGCTAGCAGTACAGAGCTTGCAAAGTTACGTGTTGGGATACTCAGGCCGTGGGCGGGCAGGCGGACAGGCACATCGGGTAGCCGAGCTGTGTGCGCGCCGTGTACTGGTTGCGCAGCTGCTGCGTGTTTGGAAAGTAGGACCAGTAGGACCAGACGCCGCTGGCGTGCTCCGCCTGCAGGCTAACGGCGCCCTTGGTAGAGCCGGCCAGCACCAGCGATTGCATGTGCATGGGCTCGAGGCGGTTGCGGATGTTCGTGTAGTCGTTCACGAACGTCTGGTCGCTACTGCCGGAGCACGGCTGCAGGGTCAGGTCGCCACCAGCCGCAATCTTCTGGGCCGTGACGCACAAGCCGCTGGGCACGTGCTGAATGGAGTAGTCGGGTACCAGTAGGAACATCTGGTCGGCCGACGCCAGGCCGTTGCGCGTGCAGTTACGCGCCGAGAGGACTGCGCCCGATTTCGGCGCGGCACAGGCCGCCGCAGCCGGCGGCGACCACTTGGTGCCGGCCTCGCCAATGCGCACGTTGTCAAACTCAACGGCAGTCCAGCCGTTCGTGCCCATGGCCACGAATCCGGTGTCGATGTCGCGCACGGGCGAGTTGTTGAACAGCACCTTGCTGTCCAGCGAGCCGGTGGCCTTGCCGCCGATAGTGGTCAGGCTCAGCTGGTGCCAGCTGTTGGCACTGAAGCCCTGCAGGACACCGTTGTGCAGGGTGGGGTTGACTGGCTGGCTGGTGTGCGAGATCAGGAACGGACCAGCCGTGGTGAGATTGTACTTGCCTGCACTGTCGACGCAGAACACGATGCCGTTGTTCCACATCTGATCGGAGCGGGTGGCCACGCACGCGGCAGTGTCGGCGGGAGCGTTCGCCGGGAACAGAAAGTCGACGGTGACGGTGAGGTCCTGCCACTCGCGCATCCCGATCACCGTCATTGGCCCGCGCGAGCCGTGGTCCGACCAGCCAATGGGCAGCTGCGGCACCATCTGCCTCATCACGTTCTTGTGTTCGGCGGCACCAACCGATGCCGGGTGCACCTCAAACGCGCCGATCTGATCAGCGAAGAAGGGTGCCTCCTGAGACTCAAATGTATTGTCAAACGAGTCAGAGTAGGGCAGCGGGAAACGTGGCTGCGACTCTGGAATGCTGTCAACTGTTCCTTTCTTACCCACGTTCAGAGTGGTAATGGTGAAATAGTCTCCGACCTCGATCGTCAACGTAAAGCGGTTATGCACGACGTGGATCATTGGCTTCTGCTCAAAGGTCGTGTATGGTGGGCCCTTCTCGAAATTGGAATGCCACACTTGCAAGTTCCTGACGTCGCCCAGAGAGCTGTCCAGCATAAACTCGACTTCTTCTGCTGATGTGTTGAAGTCAGGAAGGCCAGGGCGAGTGCAGGGTGCATGCTCCTTGGAGATCTTCACAATGATGATGGTCAAGTCGTTGCTGTTCGGGTCGACCAACGTAGCGTAATACCCGCCGTTGGCCAGTATTCCCGAGCCGGCGCCATTCTTCAGATACTTCCAGCCAACTTTGGTGAACTGAGTGACGTGAGCGGTGGCCCATACCACCGGGGCTACCCAGTAGTGACCACTCCAGGGCTGCACCGCTGTCAGCATGCTGCTGGCATACCAGTTGGTGCCGTGGTAGTAGCTGCCGACCAAGTTCCACATAATACTGGACGTCATCTGCTGCAGCACCCAGTGCGAGTTGATCACACGAGCCCAGCATGCCGCACCGTTGGCGTCGTCATAACTACTTGACTCCTCGCTGGCCCAGAACGGCTTATTGAACGAGTGGCACAGCGAGAAGTTTGAGAAATCGCTCGGGTAGTGGAGCCCAATAACGTCCACAGCATCGGCGTACGCTTTGTCGGCAGCCATGCTGTTGCAGATGTCAGCGCCGCCGTCCTTGGCAACAATGAGTGTCTTCTCGAATCCGGCCTTGTTCAGTGCATTACGCAGGGCCACAACATACGAAGCAGACGAGGAGCGCTCGTTCCAGATGCCAATGTAGTCAATGTCTAGATCATAGACCTTTTTGGCACCCTCCAGCCACTTTACTATGTACCTGAACAACAACAGGCAAAGCAAAAAAAAAGAGGAGCACAAACGAAATGACTATTACAGAATATGAGACCAACGCAATAAAAAAAGCAACTTGCGCATTCAACAAACACACACACACACACACACACACACACACACACACACACACACACACACACACACACACACACACACCATTCGCAAGGATAAACCTGAATACGAGATATGATTATCAATGGCCCGAAATGCAAACGAAACCATTTTCCACAGCAAGTTTTCAAAAAGAAGCAAACTGTCACGAGAAGGCATTGTAAACATGACCGCTGCCAGCAGCACAAAAAGGGAAAGACACAAGTGACAACAGGCAGCTGGCAAGGTACATTTATGTACGTATGTAATGTGTGTGTGTGTGTGTGTGTGTGTGTGTGTGTGTGTGTGTGTGTGTGTGTGTGTGTGTAGAAAATCAACATGCATCGTGGTGCAAGCACTAGCAGTAGAGCCGAAGTCACCCAGTGACAAGAATACCACTGCAGGGCATGCAAGCATTGTCTAGGCATGTGTGTATATGCCTGTGTACTCCACGGTCATAAAGATAACAATCTTCTTTTCAGCAAACATTCGATTGTTGGAAAATCGCGAAGTTTGCCACCCATTGAACATGCATAATCCAGTGCTGCTCAATGAAATCCGATCGCGCGAGTCGAGTGCGTGTGGGACGCTGTGCACCTCTAGATTTGCGATTACCCGTACAGTCAGACCTCGCATAACCGCACCCATCCGCTTTCCACAAAATATCCGGATAGGCGAGGGAACCGGATAATCGAATACACATCCTGTATGTGTGCATGGCATATGCTGTAAATCGGTGACCGACGACTTTTTTTCCGGATGGCGAGGGATCCGGATAAAAGAGGACCGGATGAGCGAGGTCCGACTGTACTGGGACGTGACCTGGTGCAGGGCGCCGCAAACTTAACCCTCGCAGTCAAATTTTATTCAGCTGCACTGGAGTATGACTGCCCGTAGGCAAGACAACAGCACACAAGCTAGCTTACGAGGAAGTCAGGTTGGGAAACTGGAACGGACTTCCAGATCCATTTCCCACCCAGCCGGGATAGGCCCAGGCAAGTCCGTACAGCTTGATGTCGGGGTTGCGCTTCTTCGCTTCCACCATCAGCCACCATTCGTAGCCACGGTGATAGTCCAGGTCGTCGGCAGAGTGCATATGACTGCTTTCAGTGCCATCAGTGGACTGAGAATCACCACCAATTTCCACCTGCGGCAATAAATAAAAGTGCATTTAACATCCATTTTCCACAGAATAAACGACTATTCTAATTGTCCGCAACCTCCAACGCAGCCACTTACACAAAAAACTGAAGTTTCCTAAAAGAAGAAATGACCCCATACTTATGCTCCCCAAGCTTTTCATCAGTCCTCATAGATCACAAATCAAACATGTAGCCAGTTTTTCCGTATATTTTTATTTTGCCTCGTGAGCCAGAGAGGATGTCGCCATCGACAGTGCGTCTCTTTTGTTTATTTCTAGGCATTTCTTCTTTTGATTTTTCGTTCAGTGGAAGGTCCTAGCCGATCCCTCACCTTCTCGAAAAATAAGTGACATTCGGAAATGTAGTAGAAGCGCGAGCCGGCACTTCTTGATCCAAATTTCATCATACATGGACATTTACGACTGCGTTCATGTGCGATTTGAAGTATAAAATGCGCGCAGAACTCACAGTTACCCACCTGAACCCAGCTCCGTACAACGGTCAAGTAAACGGTTGAAAAATAAGCTTTGTGATCAGTCGTGTTGAGCAAAAAAATAAAATACTAATAATAATAATATAAACCCAGGGGGAATAAGCCCGGGCTTATTCTCTTATGTAAACGGCCCCTCAGAATACAAAAACCTTCCGAGCCAGAACTGACATCAATACAAGCAAGAGTAAAAAAAAGGTTTTCATGCACTCTTGATACAAGTAAAGGGCTCACCGTACCGGGTCACATTGTATGACTCACCCCATGTACATGACATGTACATTGTTGTAGAGGCAAGGGGTTCACATTTACCTTGAGGATATGTAGAGAGGCACCATAGTTTGGCAGGAAGAGGTAGTCCAATATCTGGCTGCGTTGAGGTTCCTTGTAGTCCACCAAGAGTCGCGACGTTGCACCACCGCCACTTAGACCACCAATACCATCAAACGTAAGACTGACTCCTTTCTTGTCGACTATTATGTCTGCTGCCGCAGCAGGGCCACAAGCAGTCAACACGCCCACCGCAGCGATGAAGGCCACGACCGAAGTAAGCTCCATTTCGCCCCTGAACGCTGTACCTCCGCTCGAGCCCCAGTTCTTTATCACGACGCACCTCAAACAACGCGGACGTTTTCTTTCAAACTGACAAACTGCAAATACATCCACGACCAGGTCGACGACCTTGCAACATTTTTATTTCGATGCACAAATGCTTGGAGTCGTTTATGGCTCCCATTTATATACCAGGAGCTGCATGCATTCTTCTATCTTCATTCACCACTAAAGTCTTGCACTGTTCACAAACTGCATGCCCTTTTGAAATACTAATTCGTCATGTGATGGTGTTGTGATGAGTCACAGAAAGGAGGTGTTTGAGATCTACTTCCGCGTGCACAACATCCCTTTGCAACACCTTTGAGAGTGCGTACACTAATCAGTGGCGTGATAACGCGTTGCTATGGCCACATCACGAAAATGACATCATGCCACAAATGGCATGCATGCATTGGCATTTGCAGGCTTGCACTTTGCAGGCTTGTGGAAAGCAGATATTATTTTGAAGTTTTCAGCAAGAATTGGACGTCGGGTACTGGACAATTGTAGTATTCTCGTCCACAATTTCGTCTCGTTGGGCTAGCAGGTGTATGAGATTGGCGCGCCCTGAAATGTGTTATGTACCCTGCAATGATATAGGTGCATAGCTGCCGCCTCGAGCACCGGATGTTAAGTCTGCCAATGCGCAGGTAAACTAGCCAGTTAGCTGTCGTGTAGTTTTGTTCATGGTGAGTCGCCAGTCTTGACTTGTGTAATGGCGTCGAAGGGCCAATCTCATTTACCATGTTTACCGACCCGAGAGGCACCGCTTTCGCCGAAGAAGTGGGCGTCTTTCTTCGACAAGGATGGTCGCATTTGCAACGAGTCTGAGGTTCGTCGCTGTATATTCCGAGGTGAGTGACACAATCATACTACAGGTGGTACGATGGGCATCATGTAATTCCAGTGCCACTCGGTGCCGGACTCGTACCTCTGGTGCAGAGCTAGAGGCAGGATGCACTTCACTAACAGCAATCATATAGTATAGGAAGTACAGACTACAGTTTTCTCCTGGCTTCGCTGGGCGATGGGCGGAACTGCACCCCCCCCCCCCCCCCCCCCGGCCCTGCACCCGTGCTTGCATTCCGGCGTACCTGATCAGTTCAGCTTTACATCCTGGGGCAGCGGTATCAACGTGAATCATGCAGGGTCTTTTGCAACATCGCCACCTGGAAATGGCTCGAAGCCATGACCTTTGGCCGTCCTGCCCTCTACCTCGGGTAGTGACAACGTGAGGACACAGCATATTGTGGAGGGGAGTAGTATAGCAAGAAGAGGTCGTGAGTATGTGTGTGTGTGTGTGTGTGTGTGTGTGTGTGTGTGTGTGTGTGTGTGTGTGTGTGTGTGTGTGTGTGTGTGTGTGTGTGTGTGTGTGTGTGTGTGTGTATGATCCCTGGTACTCTAGTTAACAGGGCAGTGACCCGGGAAGACGGGTGCTGGGTTTGAATCCTGCCCGTAGTTCATTTAGCAGAACAACTCAGGTCAACTGTACAGTAAGATTCGTATTTAATCCTTTCTGTGCTATTGACGCACATAGGCGTCATGCGCGCTGTATGCCAAACGGTTAATGATATCTATTTGCATCATGGGATTTGCGCAGTATATCACAGGGCATGGACCAGCACTGTACACTCTATCCTAACTCTGGCAAACGTAGGTCAATCGCGACAATCAATACACCATTGGAAAAGTAATAATGTGACTAGCAATTAATTTTGAAGAGGTCAACTCCCAGCGCTGGAGCTCCAGGCTAGTGCGTACTTAGATCCTCTCGGAAAAGCCAGAGAATGTTCGAAAAGCTGGGGTGTGTTCTTATTTTCTGCTGGTTCTGAGAGAAATTGTTCGTTGAAGCCTTGAAGGTGAAGAGAATGGGAATAATAGAAGAAGAGATCTCGATGATCTCGCGAGTGTAAAACGCCGAACAGGCAGTGGCCTTGAGAGACATGAGTGCTGTATGCCATCTTTTCTGGTTGCACCTGGAAACACTCCGATTTTTGTGGTAGTGGTAGCCTTGGAGAATCTAATAATTTTTTTCGAGAGGAGATCAGAGCGCAACCTCGGAGAAGCGTTCTGGTATCCTCTAAAAGGTTCAGGGGATCCTCCAAAGCTCACCCAACTGGAGGTGCTTGAAAGTTGGAGATTCCTGCGTTAATGGATCTATGCATGGGACAGGAAAATTGGCCTTGCCCGAAAATTTGAATGATTATCTCTTTTTCTTTTAGTGATTGGTGTAGCCCAGAGACCGTTTGGAGAGTGTTGTGAAGATGTATGGATATAGTGGATGGCTACAGTGGAGTCTTCACATTTTGAGAAATGTGCACGGGGCTGCCACGAAATACACGTGTTTCCGCGTTTGACCGAAAAGATCCTGTACGGTGCTTATGTCTCTCAAGCACTCGGCCTGGTTGATGGTTTGCACTTGACAGATCTTTGAGATCTGTTTTTCTGCTCTTCCCATTTCTTTATCTTCCGAGAGACATTTCTCCAAGGGCCAGCAGAACATATTTAAGAACGCGCCCTGAGCTTCCTTCTAAGCAACTGACACCTAATAGACTAAAGTCTGCCGCCTGGAGCACACGAGAAGCCTGTTGAACGTTCCACTTGCCAAAAAGCCTGTAAGAGAGCACCGCTCTCCGCGTAATACACGTTATTTCAGGGAATTCACCCTCCATGGTTCGAGCTTGATTAGGCTAATGGAACTACAGTATAGTAGTGCTCTGCCAGCCCAAACATCACTGTAAGTAGGGACTTCAATCGAAAAACCAAATTCGCGAGTTTCGCATAAAACGCTAGTTTTTCTAAACCGGGAAGATGTGAGAAACAACCTGTGAAAATTTGAACCTGAAATTCCAAGGCAATCTAGAGTTATAGTCGATTGAAGATCGGAAAACGGGCGAGAAAGTAGTCACAGAAGTAAATGCAAGTATGTATGTGAGCCGTGTGGTTTCCGTCCAGCACTGCACTATCTGGTGCATACATGGCGATACAGGATGTGTGCATGCCATGCAGTGTGCACGCATGCCGTGCGCCCCTGCTTGCACAAGTCACACGTTTTCACCGTCACTGCTTCTACAGTGTGCGCGCAGTTCACTCGATTTTTCGTCTTCCACCAGGAAATCGCCGTGGGCTGGTTTCTGTGATCATCTTCCTTCTACCGCGATGAAGCGCGAGCCTCAATGCTCTAGAATCCTCTTGGTTTAGGCTATTTCGAGGCCGCTGAACACGAAAATCGGGTGTTCCTCGCGGGGCCGAGTACGGATCTGGTCGAAATTAGTACTTCGAAGTGCATCAGCGCCAAGCGCGGATGCATTATTTTTGGAAGCATAGCATGTGTGGCCCCATTGGAAAGGTAATGACCTCAGCTACCTAAAAATAGCATCGACAAGGCCGAAAAGGCCGCGGGAGAAGATACTCGGGCCTCGAACTGCATCTCGAACTGCAGTCACGAGGCGCCCATTCACTTTATACAGGCGAGCTGTGACTGCACTTTTCGCTTTTCTGTGACCCGAACTGAACTGTAAGGATGTAAACCGACAGTGACACTCTGTTTCCACAGCGACAGACAGTTGCGCGGGGGGGGGGGGGGGGGGGGGCAACAGCAGGAGTCAGTGCCACCAAGAGTACATAACCCCCAAGAGTGTGCAACTCCAGCTATGGGGTCTGCGACGGCAGAACTTCACATCACGTGATGAACCCGTACACATTATTTGCACTCTGTGCATGATAGATACAGGGTTGTACGCAGCCCAGCTTTGGGTACAACTCTCTTGTGGTCACTTTGCACTGTTTGCCAGCATAACCTTTTGAACTATGTCACGTGATGTGAAGTTCTGCCGTCGCAGCACAGCATAGAGGTTGTGCAGGCAGTTGCACACTCTTGGGGGTTATGTACTCTTGGTGCCACCCATGGAGCGACGGGAAACAGATGGTGAGGACCTTTAGTTAATCATAACATCGTTACCTCTGATTGTTTTGTCGCACACCGGCATAGGGGACAATGCGCAACACCTTTAATAATTATAGACTTACAACAGGTACTGTAGACGGAATTTAAGTTTACCGCTAACCAACTGGATTGAGCGATCACCTGATCTGTAACCTGTGCATCAGAAGCATCCTTCGATTTTAACTGATGCCATGTAGGCCAGGATTGTGCGTTTTGCTGAAAACATTACCGTAAAAGTCCGTGAATAAGTACGTATTTACTTTCAAATTTAGTGACCACACCCGTACTAACTTTCGGGCGGGTACTGACTTTCGGGCACGAACTAGCTTTCGGACGGTATCGGACCTGACTTGTGTGTAGTGGAGAAGTCCTTTTTCATGTCGATGTACATGCTACGTGCTGCATGTGCGCATCGCACCGGTACTTATTTCGGGCAGTATGTTTATCGGGCTTGACTTGACTTCAACAGGCAGAGCCAACAGAATGAAGGGGGTATTTTATTCAGGCAGCTACTTATTTACGAACTTTTACGGTATTAATGTACTAGGTCTTCTCTTGTGTGCATCTGTGATCTCATTTCTGTGGGCCAGATGCGCGGTGCCCTGCCCTCATTGCGTTACACCCACACATACACGCTGTGGAAAATCAAAGATCAAAAGGGGGGGGGGGGATTTCCCTGTTCTTTGAACCTACTTTCGTACGGAGCTCACCCAGTTTTTTTGGGTTTGGTTGGTGCCGGATCGAATGAATCAAGCAAAACCAGTCATGTCGGTGCGAGAGATTGTGATTTTGAGTGCTTGAGTACATAGCATGATGTAGGCAAGCTACGTGCTAAAGCCACATGGCAAGAAGTGTGCCGCACTGTGAAGTGCAGATTAGATGTTCAGCTCGGTCATAGACCCTGCTCCAGCCCTGGTCAGGTCCAGGGCAGTCCCAGCCCTGGTCAGGTCCAGGGCAGTCCCAGCCCTGGTCAGGTCCAGGGCAGTCCCAGCCCTGGTCAGGTCCAGGGCAATCCCAGCCCTGGGTTAGGCAGGAAGCAGGTCATGCAGTTTCCTTTCCAGTGTCTTTTTTTCGGAGGGTTTAGAAACTGGATCGCGTGGCATCTGTATGCCAAAACTGCCTCCTACTCCTGGTATCGTGCATGCTCAGTGAAATCCAATCTCATGAGTAATGTTACATGAAGTTCTTGCTTCGACCCAGTGCATAGCCACCCGTGTTATATACAGTCGAATGTCACTTATCCGGTCGCCAGTTATCCGAGCACGTCCGTTATCCGACAAGCCCGGGAGTGGTAATTTGATGACTCTCAACAGTAAAATTCTAAAAAAAAAATTTGTTGTTGTATATTATACGGTGTAATATGCATTTACTTGAAGTAGATGTGGTCAAATATGCTAACATGTACATGTATGTGTACCAGTGTCTGCTCCAGCCCCGGGTGAGCCGGGTAATCCACCCGGTTGGGCGGCGCTTGGACCCGGTTGAAAATATAGTACCGGGTCACCTGTGACCCGGTTGGTATTTTACACTTTCGAACTTTGAAAGGACTGACTACATGGCTTGTATCAAGAGTACATGAAAACGGTTTTCATGTACTCTTGCTTGTATGTGTCAGATACTTCTTCTTCCTTCGAAATTTTCTAATTCCTGTCCTCTCTTTTCTAAATGCGGCTTATCCATTCGCCTTTATATCATTGGGCCTAGTTCCCGTTTATTGTCCGAATTAAAATAAACCAACCAACCAGTTAAAGCATGTGACTCGGCTGGTGAGACAGCGCCATGTACATGTCATGTGTACCCGGGTACCCGGCTCCGACCCGGTTGAAATGGTTGCGCCAGGTACACGTGTACCCGGCTGTCCTACAATCCTAGAGCAGACACTGTGTACATGGAGCAATTCATGAATAT